GTTTTAAAATTTTTAAAAAACAAGCTAAAAACCAACAATTGTTCTCGTGAAAGCGTCGCGCGCTGCGTCGTCTCGCCCGTCGGGTGGATTCGACGTCCAGATTTTCGTCGAGGCGCCAGTCGAAAGACTTGTCGTATCTTCGAAAAGTTTTTGATTTAAAGCATTTGATTTAAAGATTTAAAGCAATTGGAAAATGGCAAAGCTAAAAAAAAAACGAATTTCAGCGAATTTTGAATTTTTGAAAAGAAACAAACCATAAGTTTGACTCGAAATTGATGGGAAAACCCAAACCCAGTCTTCTGTCGTCATCCCAGCATCTAGAAACATGCTTTTAGTCAGTAGGCAGTCCGCCAGTAGCCATGCGTTTCACAGAGCACAAAGTACACTTACCCGAAGCTGCTAACATTAGCTTTCTCTGTAAGCCGTATCCAGCAGCGGCACAAACGACAACAACTGAATAGGTTTGTTGGGCATTTTTTCACAAATTCCTGCAATCTGGAGTGCACACTAGCTTTTGAAGATAAAAATAGAAAAATCCCATGTAAATCTCCAAAACGTCTAAACCTACCGTAGTCCATCCAACGTTTTTCGCCAAGTTTCCATAACCCTAGCTCATAGGTTCTAGGAAAATAGTTCAATCTGGAATGCACGCTAGCCTGGGCAAAGCTTGCCTAGCATGTTCTCTAATGGATTAATCAACCACTCTTGACCAATCAACCATTCTAGTCTAAGAACCCTGGATCTGGCCTTAACCCGATTTTGCCAAGAACTCTAGTTTAACCCTAGCTTAGTTTAAAATCTACCGTAAATACTGTAATAGTACCCCACCCCCAAAATGACGGTGCGGAGCGTTGCGTAGGCTAGCTTTGAACGCGTTTTTCTCGACACTCGTTTATGCTACAATGCTCGTTTAAATATCAAAAAAATAGCTGAAATTCAGGGCTATTTTTTGATACCAAAGATAATGACGGTGCGGAGTGTTGCGTAGTCTAGCTTTGAATGCGTTTTTCTCGACACTCGTTTATGCTACAATGCTCGTTTAAATATCAAAAAATAGCTGAGATTCAGGGCTATTTTTTGATAATTAAATGGTAATTAAATTGGTAAATTTTGGTAATTAAATTTTCGACAAAATCAAAACTCAACGAGTTCATTAAGTGGAGTGACATCCAGAATACGGATTTTGAATAGTTTTGAGAGGATTGGAGTGGGTTTAAGGGAGGAGACTGGGGCCAACTCGAATCCTGCTTGGACTTGATGATCGTTTTCAACGAAATCCATTGGAAATATGTTCAAAAGGTGAAATGACATCCAGAATGACATGACATCAAAAAATAGCCCTGAATCTCAGCTATTTTTTGATATTTAAACGAGCATTGTAGCATAAACGAGTGTCGAGAAAAACGCATTCAAAGCTAGACTACGCAACACTCCGCACCGTCATTATCTTTGGTATCAAAAAATAGCCCTGAATTTCAGCTATTTTTTTGATATTTAAACGAGCATTGTAGCATAAACCAGTGTCGAGAAAAACGCGTCCAAAGCTAGACTACGCAACGCTCCGCACCGTCATTATCTTTGGTATCAAAAAATAGCCCTGAATTTCAGCTATTTTTTGATATTTAAACGAGCATTGTAGCATAAACCAGTGTCGAGAAAAACGCGTTCAAAGCTAGACTACGCAACGCTCCGCACCGTCATTATGGGGGTGGGGTTCAATTAAAGTATTTACGGTAGTACTTTACTGGAAAATCCCTTACTCCTTGCTCGTTGATTAATCTCAGAGAAAAGCAGCTGAATGGAAGCATTCGAGAAATCTTTCAACTCGGCCATATAATTCGTGATCACTGTGTTCCCATACTCGGTCACTGCATCCTGTCAATATTTTCATTTTTTTATCAATCCTGGACATCACAAGGAAGTTTGAAATAAAAATTTTAACTCTAAAATAAAAATTAAAAAATTGAAAATCGAAAATTCGAAATTTTTAAAATTAAAAATTCGAAATTTTGAAAAATCAAAAAATCGAAAATTTCAAAAATTTCATTTCAAAGCTAGAGCTTAAATTTTGATTGGAATGGGTGACGTGATGTCCAGATTGATATTTCTGCAAAGATATACCAATCTTTAAAGCTAAATTCATCGACTTTCACCCACTTGAAGATCACTTTTAAAATATGGACATTGATCTTCATCGAAAAGGGTTGAATAGATGAAAGCGAACTCGTGCCAGCCTAACTCGTGAAATGTAGACAGCATGGCGATTGAGAGGCTGAAAGAAAATGATCGACTGGCTTGTGGAAAATCTACAGATAAAAGTTTCTAAAAAAGTTTTTAAAAGTCTTCTTTAGATTTATTTTCTTAAACGCACTGAAACCAATTTGGCACAAGGATGATCGTTGACGGGAAACGGTCAACATTTGCCAAATCGGACGATGTAGTGAGTCCCCAAGTGAAAATCGGAGTGTCATAGTAGGAAGCCAGTACAGCCGATGCAATCGCTGCTGGAAAATAAAAATTCTCATCAATTCAATTCAATCAATTCCTGCAAAGATCATCATTGTGCAACCCAGAATCACCAAATTTCTCTTATTTTAGCTGATTGTCCATTTCCATGACTAGAAAAACCTCCAGCTATTGATTGTCAGAGGGGAAAGGAGCTGTCAACGACTGAGCGACTCTCGGAAGGGTCAGCGACTCAGCCACCCCGCCATTTTGGATGTCACTACGCTCATTTTCTGTCTTACTATTCGATTTTGCTTTATTTTTGGAAACTTTTTAAATTCTCGGAGTTGGAAGATTAGAATTGAATTGAATCAAAAATTGGAAAATAAAAATTCTCATCAATTCAATTGAATCAATTCTTGCAAAGATCATCATTGTGCAACCCAGAATCACCAAATTTCTCTTATTTTAGCTGATTGTCCATTTCCACGACTAGAAAAACCTCCAGCTATTGATTGTCGGTAGGGAAAGGAGCTGTCAACGACTGAACGCCTCTCGGAAGGGTCAGCGACTCATCCACCCCGCCATTTTGGATGTCACTACGCTCATTTTCTGTCTTACTATTCGATTTTGCTTTATTTTTGGAGAAAACTTTTTAAATTCTCGAATTTGGAAGATTAGAATTGAATTGAATCAAAAAAGAATCTAATCTTTAAAATCTTTAAAATCTTTAAAAACATTAAAAACAAACGAGCATTGCACGTTGGTCCGATGATAATGTTCACGTTTTGTTTCGTGATCAAATCGACGGACAAACCGACAGCTTGTGCCTCAATGCAATTGTCGAAATCGACGACGTATCTGAAAAAGGTTTACATGCTAAATCCAATTGCTAAACAGCTGCTAAACAGCTGCTATAGCTTTCTTTAAACAGATATAGCGATCTTTAAGCCGATCAAGTAGATCTGTACTCTCTATTTGCCCTGAAACCTCGACTACAGTAAACAAACTGAAAATCGTATCCATCAAGCAAATGCTCGGCCCGAATCCGATCCTCAGCCACCAGCAACGCGCCCGCACTCGACTCGTAGCCGATCACGTATTGAAGATCACGAATCCCCTCCACGAAAAGCAATCCCACAATGATCACCGGTCGATTGCTCTAGGGTTACGGTCATTCAATAGAAATCTTCGTTAAATTTTGTTCTTCTTACTTTCAAAAGCTAGTGTGCACTCCAGATTAGACTATTTTGCTAAAAATAATTGTCTAGGGTTATGGGAACTTGGCGAAAAATGTTTGATAGACTACGGTAGGACTAGAGATTTTGAAGGTTTCCATAAAATTCTCTTATTTTTCTTCTCAAAAGCTAGTGTGCATTCCAGATTGGACTATTTTCCTAAAAATAATTGTCTAGGGTTACGATAAATTGACGAAAAATCTCGGATAGACTACGGTGAGTCTAGAGATTTTGAAGGTTTCCATCAAATTCTCTTATTTTTCTTCTCAAAAGCTAGTGTGCATTCCAGATTGGACTATTTTCCTAGAACCTATGAGCTAGGGTTACGGTAACTTGACGAAAAATGTTGGATAGACTACGGTAGGTTTAGACGTTTTGGAGATTTACATGGGATTTTTCTATTTTTCTCTTCAAAAGCCAGTGTGCACTCCAGATTGGGGAATTTACAAAAAAAATGAGCAACTGTTCCATTCGTTGAGCTGGGCGTCGTCGTGAACACCGTCGTCGTGGGAGCGATGGTCGTCGTCGTCGTCGTGACTGTGGTTGTTGGCTCGGTCAAGAGTTGACCATTTGAGGAATGCTAAACGGGATCTTAAATCAATGGCCCAGAGCACTGTCGCAGTCTGCCCAGCGAGAACTCACCACTATCAGGCACAGCACTAGCAGCAACATCGGGGTCTCGAAATTTCGAAATGCCGAGTTTCTGTCGTTTTTCGCAAAACTGAATCGCGGGATTTGTCGAGTGTGCTCCAGATGGGGATTTGGTTGAGTTTCGGTAGGAATTTCTTCCAAGAAACACAGAATATTGCGATCATCTCGGTCTTGTCGAGGAAAAGGCGGGCGAGTGACGAAAATCATCGGGGAAACCCCGCAAAGCTTTGAGAGATTGAGCCGAATGAGCCGAATGAGCCAAGGCAATCGAAAGTAAATCTCGATAAGAGAAATTTGCATTTAAAGTAAAAAGATATTCAGTCAAAGAACGACGAAACGACTTTGACGTAAAATCGCCGATTCCGTGGGGTGGATGAGATCGAAAATTGCGAATTCGGCAATTATGGAGCTCATGTTTTGGCTAAAAATAGATGGATTGCGAGAAATTTGATTTTTAAACATATCCCACGAATCACGGTAGTGGGCCGAGCTGGAATCTCAGGATTAAGCCAATTTGCATGATTTCCCAAAAATTCTTGCAATAACTATCATTGTGCAATCCAGAATCGCCGAATTTCTCTCATTTCAACCGATTGTCCATTTCAATGACGAGAAAAACTCCCAGCTATTGATCGTCCGAACGTCAGGTGTAAAATTTTTCGCATCACTTCACTCCAACAATTTTTTTCGTGAACCCTGCGCTCCAGAAAGCCATAAAAATCAATAAGGTTTCAGATTTTTCAAAAATTTCCACTAAAGAAAGCGGTCGATTCAATTATTCAACTCGAAATAAGTTCTTCGAGTTTTGCTAAAGTTCGGACTTCAAAAATCAATGTTTTTCATGGAAACTGGAACGCAGTATAGTCAAAAATTTCAAATTTAAATCAGTTAGAGGTTTTTGAAATTTTTGATAGCTTTTCAAAAGTCATATCAATTTTTTTTTATAAATTTAAGCCTTTGAATTGAAAATTTCTTGAAAGCAGAAGAGCGCAGAAAAGTGAAAAAATTAAATTTTGTGATTAGTAGGCAATTTTTTGCTTTCAAAAAGCATCAAAGTGAGATTTAGAATGGACTATTCGCCCGCAGCAACTACAACTACAACTATTGGGTTGTCCAGTTATGGATGCGCGTTTGTACTATTTTGTAAATTTCTCAAGATATCGAACAGACGTATATGAGTGTTATATATCATTCGAAAGCTGAAGATCTCCTCTACATTTTGGAATAAAAAAGTTTTTGAATTCATTCAACTTTTTGGGAAATTGACTGCACAAAGAAGAGGTCGTTTTCGAAAAAACCCATTCCAGCTTAGCAACTCCTCAAGTTTTATGGTGTAAAATAACCGCCCAGAAAAGAAAAGTAAAGTAAAGATGCTCTGAAATTGTTATATTTAAAAAAAACTTGTATTGTTATATCTATTGGCCAAACGTCAAACGGTTAACTCAATTTGAGCGGAGCCAAAACTTGATCCAAGGGTCCAAAACTTGATCCAAGGGTCCAAAACTTGATCCAAGGGTCCAAAACTTGATCCAATGGTCCAAAACTTGATCCAAGGGTCCAAAACTTGATCCAAGGGTCCAAAACTTGATCCAAGGGTCCAAAACTTGATCCAAGGGTCCAAAACTTGATCCAAGGGTCCAAAACTTGATCCAAGGGTCCAAAACTTGATCCAAGGGTCCAAAACTTGATCCAAGGGTCCAAAACTTGATCCAATGGTCCAAAACTTGATCCAAGGGTCCAAAACTTGATCCAAAGGCGCCCTTCCATTTTTTGGCCACCTCTTCTTCTGTGCAGTCAATTTGCCCAAAAGCTGAACAAATTCAAAAACTTTTTATATCAAAATGTAGAGGAGATCTTCAGCTTTCGAATAATGCTCATCAATATCTTTTTCTTGATTTCGGTATCTTGAGAAATTTACGAAATCGTAAAAAACGCGCATTCATAACTGGACAACCCAATATAAACATCAACTACAATGAATTGGAGCGCTTGAAATGTTAGTTCATTATTTTGCTCACATAAAGTATTCAAAATTTATTTAAACAAGTAAACAGAATTCATTTTTTATCATTAATTTTCACAAATCAACAAGGCAAAGCTCCACAAGTTTTCCCGCTCGTTTTCTAAATTTAAAAAAATTCTAGAAAAAAAATTTACTTGAAATTTTTGCCATTAAAAGAATTCGATATTGTTAAAATTTTTGATAATTATTATTATTCATAATTCTTTTTAAAGCTTTTCTTTTCACAAAGCGCTATTAACCCATTCGAATGGGTTAAATGGCAAAGTTTTTCTTGTAAACTAGCTTCAACAAACCGTCAACACTTCACACAAAGCAGCACATGTAGTTGCTGCAGGCGAATAGTCATTCCAAGCACCAGCCACAATCTCATTAGTGCTGTCCATAAACCAATTGATGTACATCTAAGCTTTCTCATCGATTCCCATGAAAACCTATTTGTTGACTTAAAAAGCTATCAAACTGTTAAAAAGGTTGCTTTTAAAATCCTTGAATTCTTAGCTCCTTAAACCCCTAGCTCCTTAAATCCCTAGCTCCTTAAACCCTTAGCTCCTTAAACCCCTAGCTCCTTAAATCCCTAGCTCCTTAAATCCCTAGCTCCTTAAATCCTTAGCTTTATTTGATAAACCTGTGTTGATGGCTCAGCTCCTTGCAAATCTCCATTATTCGGTTCATTTGGTGACCAATTTCTACAAGAAATTTGAAAATTTTCTTAAATTTTACATACCGATATGTGGAATTTCCTCCATTCACCCATGAAACTCCATTCGGATCATTTTCATTGTTCAACCCAATCCACATTTGCTAGAATTTAAGGCATTACAAATTTCTGACAAGGCTTACAAGGCTTACAAGGCTTACAAGGCAAGGCTTACAAGGCTTACAAGGCAAGGCTTACAAGGCTTACAAGGCTTACACGGCTTACAACCACTTTGATCACTTTGATTAAATCAAATTGTCAAAGTTTAATTGGAAAAACTCACGAATAGATAATTATCCCCATAGTCGACGTTTGAACAATCATTTACGGCGATATCTTGGCTTAACTCTAAAGTGTTCATTAGCTAGACAATTGCTGATAAAAAATCTTTAGCTCTTTGCCTACTAGATCTATTTCTAAGTCTATTCCTAAGCCTATTCCTTTAATTTCCTTACGATATGTCCCTGTGTTCTCGGCTTTACATCGAATTGTGCCAAGATTTGCATTAGCATGAGCATTTTTACAAGCGGCAATGGCTGCTGCTCGATTCCCGTTCACTACAACCACCTAAAAAAACTAGTATTGGGATCATAGTAGAGCTGAAAAGAGTTTTTCTTTAACAAACTGAACAAACTGAACAAACCTTGTAGCAAGATCCACCAATATTTGTAAAGCCATTCCCCACAGCAGCACAGTTTGCGTATTTGATTGGCTGAAAAATATGAAAATCAAGAATTGATAGATAATGAGATCAAGAATTGACAAGGCTTTTCAAGTTTCGGCTTTTTGACAAGGCTTTTCAAGAACAAAGCTCAAGGAGGACAGTGACAACAAAAGAGAAGAAAGTGCACGAAAGCCTACGCTACGCACACCGATTCGATCATTCTACAAATGTGCTCGAAAATTAGCCTCAAAAATGGATTCGATGAGATTGGATTTCAGTGTTTGGAGTGTTCTAGAGGACAAGAAATGCAGAAATGCTTTTAAAGCTCATTCAATCATTGATTCTTTGAAGAAATCTCTTTAAAAGGCTATTCTGTACATTGCTTATCGCCGTTAAACAACTCACATTATGAGAAACACATCCACTCGGCGGTTTCTTTGTTGTCGGCTTTCTTGTTGTTGGCTTTTTTGTTGTCGGCCTTTTAGTCGTTGGCTTCTTTGTGGTTGACTTCTTCGTTGTCTAAAGTTTAAACCTCTTACATCTTTAGCTTTAGCTTAAAACTAACAAATTGGTGTGTCAATTTGCATGGTGTTGCCTTGTCATCAGTTGGTAGAACCACTTCACCACAATAATAGATCCCATCCGCTTCGTTCTTGATCTTTTTATAGCCTGCTGCACAGGTGTTCTCAGGGAAATCACAGAGAGAATCAGGGCAAGGGACTTTACGAGTAAGCGGGCCACTGAAATGATGAAATTATTAGAGAATATGAAATTTTATTAGAGACCAATGTTATCTAACAATTCTATTCAATACAATATTAACTTTTTACTGTTATCAGCTTTGAAACCATAGCTTAAGCCATAGCTTAAGCCATAGCTTAAACCACAGCTTAAACCACAGCTTAAACCATAGCTTAAACTATAGCTTAAACTATAGCTTAAACCATAGCTTAAACCTGAGCTTGAACCATAGTTTAAACCATAGTTTAAACCATAGCTTAACCCTGAACTTTAAGCTCTCACTTGCACGGACATCCAAAACCCATCGATGTACACGTTCTTTTTTGCATCTTTGACCCATAAAGACCGCATGTTTTCGTGCAACTCGTTGAATCTTTCCATTTTGAAAAAATTCCTGAACTCGTTTTTTTCTGAAAATCCCTAAAATAGCGAACCTTTAGCTGGACATTTTGTACATGGAGCCAATGAATGAATTGATCCAATCAACAAGAAAACGGCTGAACTTATCGATAACATTGAAAACTTGTAGCCTTTCTATTCCCCAACTTATCTTTATATCTGTTGAACGATGTTTACAAAAAATGGGTACACGATCGTTGAACTCTTAGCGCTTTCTAGCTTTCTAGCTCTAAAAATCCCCATTTTTCTGCATGAAACGTTTTTTTTTGTCAACAAGCTTTGTGGCCTCTGCTTTTCTTTTCAAAAAGCTAATCTAGATTTAGAATGGTCATTGACGGTGGAGTTTTTTGTAGAGCTTTCATCAAAAATCAACAATGAATGGATCTATTTTGTGCTCACTTTTCTCATAAATATCAACATTTTTTGTGGTGAACAAGAAAAGATCGTTTAGCAAAACAGCGCCGTTCAAAACAGTGCGCTGTTTTGAAATAGCGATGTTCTGTTTTGAAACAAAACAAAACAGCGCGCTGCAGCGCCAAATTTAAAGAATTTAATGTAGATCAAGGCTCTTTTGAAGTTTTCGATAAAAGCTTTAGTTTTTTGGGCATTCTCAAGTAAAATAGTCGATTTTTATTCACGAAAGATTGTATCATACGAGTTCCAACGTTTCAATGAAGTCTGTCGACCTAACGAAGCGACTATTTTGAACAAATCCAACAAGACTTTTCGAAATACGGATATCAGCCTATAAAAAATTAAATTTATAACAAAGATAAACAACAAACTGTAATTTTTTAATAACGGCATTTGCTTGTTGTCGGCTTTTTAGTCGTTGGCTTCTTTGTGGTTGGCTTCTTCGTGGTTGGCTTCTTCGTTGTCTAAAGTTTAAACCTCTTACATCTTTAGCTTAGAACTAACAAATTGGTGTGTCAATTTCTCGAAGTCGCATCACAAGACATCAACCGATTTTATTGCATCAAGCCATCAACATTTATAAATGTTAGTGCAAGCAATCCTTTCACATAGACAAATGTATTTAGATCACAATAAATGTCTTGTAATTTCTTCTCCTAAAAGAATAGATAAATATTGCAAGAATAGAAGTCTAATAATCTTAATTTTGCCGAAGACAGCCTTGAAGAAATGAAAGAAGAAGTGAAAACAATAGAAATGGACGATTGTATTGCCGTAAACTGCTATAAAACCATTGACAATAGCCAGATCCATATCTAAAGATGTTTTCTAAATTATTTGATGCAAAAAATGGCCTGTTTTAATTTGTAGCAATCCCTTGTAATAACTTGTAGTTTCTTCTCCTAAAAGAATAGATAAATATTGCAAGAAAAGTCTAATAACCTTAATTTTGCGGAAGACAGCCTTGAAGAAATGAAAACAATAGAAATGGACGATTGTATTGCCGTAAACTGCTATAAAACCATTGACAATAGCCAGATCCATATCTAAAGATGTTTTATAAATTATTTGATGCAACAAATAACCTGTTTTAATTTGTAGCAATCCCAATTGTTTGATCGGACCAAAGACATCGAGACATGACCAAAGACCAAAGACGTTTGTGTCAATTTCCTTGACAGAAAAGCATAGAAACGAAAAGATGTTCTATCTAAAAACAAGATTATAAAAAGTCTAACATAAAAAAAATCTCAACCCCTTTTTCTTAATTATCTTAGTTGTCTTAAAAAGTTTAATCTCGCTTAATCTTAAAGTTTAATCTCTCTTAACCTTAAAGCTTAATCCTTAAGCTTTTTAGCAACAAAAAGTACCTGTAATTGTCACTAGCCACGTCGAATCAATTGCAACGAGTCTTCTATTTCTTTAGATGACATTCTTTACGTTCTTTTACCTGAAAAACACAAAATTAAGTACAAAGAACCGTGAAAAAAGAGAAAACGAGGAAACGAAACAACGAAAAACAAAATGTGTCACATTGTTTATCTAAAATCGGCCATAAAAGAGGATTCTAATGATGAAAAATTCATCGGTTTGTCAAAACACGCGCAAGGTGCTTAAAAAATGTTTTAAATATAACAAAAGTTACAAGTTGTTATGAGAATATTGGAAAAACATTGGAGTTTAAAAATTTCATCGCAGTCTTTTTCAATTTGGCGCGATTTTTGTATGGGCGCTGTTTTAAATGACGCGGTTTGGAAATGAAATTGAATCTAAAGTTTGCAAGAAATCATTTGAGCATGTTAAACTTTCAAGTTGGAATCCAAAAAGGGTAAATTGTTAAAAACTGGATTGATATTCGTTGCAGAACTCAAGAAATTCACCCAGTTAGTTATAGTTTTTATAGCTGGTTGATTCTGAGAAAGAATACGAGGATTTCTCTAGTTATTTATGTCTTAAGAAATAAATTGGAAGGCAAGATAGTGATTTTCGAGTGAACAAAAGCCGCTTGCTCAGTTCGATTTGGTTGTGTTTTAATCGAGAGTCTATAGCTGGTCACTTTTTTGGGTCAAAATCTATAAAGACAGCTTTTCTTGGTTAAAATATTGAAGTTCTGGAACGCAACTTGACACTATAGACGGTTTTACGAAGAAAAGTTCGAGTTAGTTGTGGTTCAAGAGTCGATAGCTGGTTACTTTTCTAGGTCAAAATCTATAAAGACAGCTTTTCTTGGTTGATCTATTGAAGTTCTGGAACGCAACTTGAACATCTATAGAATCAGTTTTACGAAAAGTAAAAATAATTTAAACTTCAGGGAAAAGATGTTAGTTTGAAATGGTGTCGAATCAAAGATTTATAAAAACACATTATAATATGAAAATTATTTTAAGTTGTGGTCCAGAAAGATCAAATTTTTCGTAACTTGGTCTGCTTTCGGTTAAAAAGTCCGACAAATTCGCCCAGCTACGATATGTGAGCGTAGCTGGTTGCTTTTCAGAACGAATTTCCGGATTTCTATGGGTATTTGTGTTTGAAGAAAGAAATTGGGATGCAAAATAGTGATTTTCACGCTGAGAAAGGTGATTTTGTAAAATAGGATTTTTAGTGGATCGCACAAAGGCCACAAAAACGGTTAGTTTGAAATGGTGTCGAATCAAAGATGTATAAAAACACATTATAATATGAAAATTATTTTAAGTTGTGGTCCAGAAAGATCAAATTTTTCGTAACTTGGTCAGCTATCGGTTAAAAAGTTCGGCAAATTCGCCCAGCTACGATATGTGAGTGTAGCTAAATCAAAAAGCTATTATTTTCATTTTTTGAATAAATTTCTGGGCATTGTGACATCCAGATGGACGAGATGGCAGTCTTATGGAATTCTCAGCTCTGTTGACATGGTAATCCTTGGCAAATAGTAATCCTTGGCAAATAGTAATCTTTTTTTTGCCCGCATATCATTGCAACCTTTTAACCCCACCTCAATATGGCAACACTAGGAAAAGCTGGACAAGAGGAGAGGAATTTGAGGGGAAATCCATGTTGACATTCATTGCGTTGCACTTGGCCGCGAAAGAGAGGCACCCCCCTGAGGCGGCCATCACCTTCAATTTGCATGTGTGACCCTCTCCCCCATCTTTCCCTCTTTTCCCCTCCAAAAAGCGATCTCTTCCACCGATGATTCTTTCATCCTGGAGCGCATGTGTTGCTTTGAAATAGTTGTTTTGAGAAGAAGCCACAATTTTTGGGCACTATTATTTTGCATTTTTTGTACTCGGATGAAACTCGCAAGTTTCTGATTCGATTTCGGTTTTAACTTTTTCCGAGCTCAATCTGGATGGCACGAGGCTGAGTTTTGATATAATCAAACAATAATTGTCATTTTAATAGTACGCTTAGCTCCAGTACGCTTAGCTATTCAGTACATCAGTCAAACTCGGTCATTTCGTGTCCGTTTTGGGTTCTAGCTTTTTCTAGACGAAATCTGGATGGCACGAGACTAAGCTATAAGCTAATCAACTACAAATTACCATTTTAATAGAATTCAGTACGCTTGGCTACAATGAACAATGATATTTGGCTTTTGCCAAAACCCTCCAAATATCATTTTCTTTTCAAGATCTTGAAACATGACCTCCAGAATGAACATTTCAATCGCTATCTTTGCTCCTTTGTGGTCAAAAAGAGTTGAAAGTCTATGCAGCTATGATGCTAATATTGTTGAGTAGCCTCTCATATCGACTTTTCGTCTTTTCCCGTTTTTCTCAAATTTTTCCCCTTTTCTCAATCCATTTACATGGATTTTTCTCAAATTTTTCTAGATCTTCTAGGCCTTTTCTAGGCTTTTCTCCAAGGGATTAGACAAATCCGCTGAATTTTTTTTATGAAAAGTAAGAAACCAATCAATTCTCCTTGGCCATTTTCTTCTATTTCTCGTTTTTTCAAATTTTTAGCAGTCATTCATCCATTTCTCGGTTTTTCTCATCATTCTCGACTGCCGCCAGAGTGATCAGCGCCAGAGTGATCAGCGACAACTGCTTTTTAGAATTTCCCCGTGATTAATGAACAAGTTAACGCCGGGGATCGCCAATCTGGAACACAGCACCCACCCAGGGAAACTTTCAGCCCCAACAGAGCACCCAAATTTTTCCCAATTTTTGAATGTCAAAACAGTGCCTCGATTTTCACCCTGGGCTCAAGGGTGCCTCCCAGATTGACGGAAAATCCAAAAACTCCGACCACATTCCTTTCCGGAATCATCCATAAATCAGCGCTGACAATTTGTCGCCCTGGCTTTGGCCTAAACGGCCCCCCGACCCCCCAAAAGTGAATCGCTTCCGTGAATCTTTTTCATTCACACACAATTCCCCGATCCCAAAGTGTTCCCAAAGGGTCCCAAAGGTCCCAAAGGTCCCAAAGGGGTCCCCACCAAACCAAGAATCGAGCTTAAAAGCCAATACCTCAGGTCCGACCACTTTTCTTAAAAACATCGAATTGCCAATTGCCTTGGGCTCAATTCCTTCTGTGAACTCCATATTTTTGATTCACATTTCTCATTTAGCCAAAAATTCAGTAAATCCAGGATTAAGCCTCGAAAGAAATCACCAAGCAAACTACCGAAAAATTATTTTTTTCATTCAGTTGCCCAATTTTAGCCTAAAAATTTTTCGTGCTATCCAATTTGCCGTTTAGAATCGAAATTTTTTCAATTTATCAATTCCAAAGCCGTGAACAAGGTCAGCAGAAGTTTACGCAACGTTAGCTTTTTCATTTTTCCATTTTTCACTCCGTTTCTTATTTCAGCCTATTTCTTGACACGGCTGAGCGATTTATTAATTGTTTGTTCTATCTCCGGCCCCACTACCAGCACTGGGATAAGTGAATTTGCGCACTGATTTGGTCGCACTCATTTCTCAAGCTCTATAGCCACTCGAGATTTATTTTGCTTTTTTGTTTTGCCTGTTTTACATTTTTTCGTTTAACAATATCAATGCTAAGGAAGCCAAGAAAGCCAAAGAAGGCCCCGGAAAGGCCAAGAAAGGCCCAGGAAAGGCCAGGAAATTGAAAAGGTTTGAATCGGCAAGAAAAATCGGCAAAAAAAATCGAAAAAAAAATCGGCAAGAAATTCACTCAAGAATTTTTACTATTTTCTTTTTTTTTTCACAAACCGTTTCCCGATTCTCTTTGATTTTAAAAATTTGAAAAAAAGCTAGTGTTTGGCCTAGAGAATCTAGGGGTAATGAGTTGAGCAGTGATGCATGAGAGATGCCCCTTTTCACCCTCCCCAACGAAAGAACGAAAGAATCAAAGCCAACAGCAACTATCTCTTTGCTCTATTCTTAAATCCGATTCCTCACTTCTACCCCTCCACCTCTCTATCTCTATCCAAAGCGATTAAATGCCGAGAAATCTTTTGGAGATCTCCTGGAGGTCTCCTGGATCTCCTGGAGATCTCATGGCTCTCCTGGAGATCTCCTGGAGATCTCCTGGATCTCCTAAATCTCCTAGAGATCTCCTGGATCATCCATTAGATTCAGAGGATTGTAATTGCTTGCTACAGCCTTCTGAAGCCAATATTTCCCAGTCATTTCTTTCTTTTTCGATTCTAAACTCTTTAGAAACAAAAGAAGATCATTGCTAGGGTCAGCCTGGTTTCCCTAGAGGCCCTAGAGGCCTGCCTATTCTGTTTCTTTCCTTTCAAAGTCGAGTTCGATTCTAGAGACGATCCGTCATTCTAGGAGACGATTCAAAGATCCGTCATCTTCCCGAAAAGCATTTCTCTTGTTTTTTTGCAATTTCTTGACTTCATTTTCATCTTAAAACAAATCATTTGCTTGTAAAAATCATTGATTTTCATTTTCAGTGTGGATGAGTGATGTTCCATGACTTGCGCCCCTTCCTTCTCTACTTTACCGGTAAAATTTGAGAACTATTTTGACGTGTGACATCCATCTTTACCAAAAAACCCATTTCAGCCCTCTTCTCATCAGCTCTGGAGGGCTCTAGACGGGGGGACACTTGGCGAGATCGACATCCACAAGCTCGGCTCCTAGACGGAGGTCAGGATTTCAAAACTTTTAACTTCTTTAATCATTTTGGAACTCATGTAACCCTATCGTATTGAATTTTGACAGACGTGCACGTTTTTTGTAAGTTCAAGTACACTAGGTCCAAGTACACTAGGTCCAAGTACCTAGTACACTATGTCCAAGTATCTAGTACACTAGGTCCAAGTCCAAGTACACTAGGTCCAAGTAACTAGTACACTAGGTCCAAAAGTACTAAATCTGGCATGCCTACCGCAATTTCACCGCTCGCATTTCCCTTTCACGATCATTTTTTATGCAAATTACTTGCCCATCACTTAATTGTTGTCAAATTTGCATGCGAAATGAGTCGCGGCTACGGTGGATCAAGACAGGAAGACAGACTAATTTTTAATTCAAATTCAAATTCAAAACTCATCCATGAGCTCATAAATTCTCGGCTCATAAATTCGAAAATGCGTCTAGAGGCATCGGCAACAATTTAGAGGCTGGTTGGGCACTCCTGGATCTTCAGGTCCAAGTCCCTAGTCCCCAGGGACCACCTATTCGTCCGCTCACCCGTTTACGAAAAAAAGGAGACCTCATGAATTCACTCCCCATTCACAATTGAGTCTTTTTCCGATTTAGTTAGAGTACGGCTTCGAGTAGAATTTCTGGTATTTTTCATTGCTAGCTATTGCCAAGACAAAAAAAAACGAGAAGACAAAGCGATCAGAAAAGAAAAGGGGAATCCCCAACGGTGGCAGGAGTCACGTTAATTTGAGTGGATGTGCACTGGAGGCATCCCTTCCTTCGACTCCTTTGGTCCCCTGAGGCCTTGACTCCTCAAGTAGTTTACTCTTTACTTTGATGGACTCTATTCTTTTTTTCTTTCTGTTTTCTGTTTTCTCTTTCTTTTTACTCATCCATTTTATCCATTCTTTGATTAAAAAACAAGCAAAACAGCGAGTTTATTGTTTTGTGTCACAAGAAAATTTAAAATCTCTCCTTTTCTCCAATCATTTATCAAGATCACTATTTTGTATTCCAATATACTCTCTTCAAACAAAAATTCCTTCAAAAGCTCAATGCAAATGATTAAAATCCACCAGCTACCAATCATCGAATTTTCAATTTCTATACTCAATGACAAGTTCCTCAACAATCACTTGCCATCAATATTTTGCATTCCAATATCTCTTCTGAAAAACGAAACTCTAGCAAAACTCTTTAATTTAGCCTCAAAAGCCACCAGCTATCAATCGAAAAATTTAAAATCTCTCCTTTTCTCCAATCATTTATCAAGATCACTATTTTGTATTCCAATATCCCATCTTTATACAAAAATTCCTTCAAAAGCTCAATACAAATCATGAAAATCCACCAGCTATCAATCATCGAATTTCCAATTTCTGTACACAATGACAAGTTCCTCAACAATCGCTTGCCATCAATATTTTGCATTCCAATATCTCTTCTGAGAGACGAAAGTCTAGCAAAAAACTCTTTAATTAGCCTCAAAATCAACCAGCTATCAATCGACCACTTTTCTGTTTATAGCTGGTTGAATTTTTTTGAGTTTTTTTGAATTAATGGATAAAATCATTAAAAATTTCTCTTTTCTGGATAACAATTTAAATATTTTTTAAATATAAACTTGTCATTTCAAATTTTTCATTTTTTAGTTGCTCTAATTCCTTTCGTAGCTAGGTGAATTTGTTATTTTTGTAATTTGTGAGCAAGGCAATTAATCAAAATTCTATCTATCTGGATAGCAGCTTGAAAGTTTTTGATTTCAAACTTATCATATAGTTAGTGCAAACTAGTTAGTGCAAAATGAATGAGCCTTCCTCTTTTATAAACTTCAATCCGAAAAACTCAAGAAAGAAACATCGTACAACCATCAAAAATCCTTGTGTTTTCCCTCCCGAATCCGCTCGACTTTTCCACTCAACTGCGCCATTTTTGTTCACGCTTGAAAGCGCATCGGCTCGAGCATTTTAGCTTTAGCCATTTTAGCAAAAGCCGAAAGCCAAATGCTTTCTAAATTCTCGACAAAGTGAATTCCCTTTGTTGGTGAAGAATTCCATATAAACTTTCTCAAAAGTAGCATTTCGTTTGCTTGACGTGCCTCCTCATTCTCTTTCGATTTCCCCACGATTTCCTCTTCAATCCCTATTTCATTAGACCCAAATGCCTCTCTTTTTTTCCAATGAACCTAACCTTTTCCATCCATTTTCGAAAGGGATTAGCACCCCACCGATTTCGCTCTCCATATAGGCTCTCCATATAGGCAATTCTACGACTCCTTCACTATACTTTGAGTTCTTCATCTAGTACTTTGTACTTTCTTATAGTACTTTATACTTTCATATAGTACTTTATACTTTCATATAGCACTTTGTACTTTCTTATAGTACTTTGTGCTTTCTTATAGTACTTTGTGCTTTCTTATAGTACTTTATACTTTCATATAGTACTTTCTACTTTCATATAGTACTTTATACTTTCATATAGTACTTTCTACTTTCATATAGTACTTTATACTTTCATATAGTACTTTATACTTTCATATAGTACTTTCTACTTTCATATAGTACTTTCTACTTTCATATAGTACTTTCTACTTTCATATAGTACTTTCTACTTTCATATAGTACTTTCTACTTTCATACTTTTAAATATGATAAAGTTCTTAACTTGAGAAAAATGCTTCAGTCAAAAATACTAATTTCTCTTTTTCTTCCACTCATCCAGTCATCTCTATTTCTCATCTTTTTGCTGTTTTTTTTTTGTTTTGTTTTTGGCTTGTGTTGTTTCTTTTGGATTCTCTTCTCTGCAGTAAACCTTCCCTTCCTTCCAAAATCGAATCGCTGGTGGACAATCGTGAAAACTGGGAGTAGAAAGGCGGAAAAATACGCGCAAAAACAAGACCACGCAACACTAGGCCAATTTTTTTTCGCCAATTCTTTTGGCTCGGCTTTCTTTGAGAAACCTTTGAAACTTGCTTTAAAATATAAATTCTAATTTTATTTTGCTCTTGAATATAGCTGGTTGAATTTGCGAAGCTTAAAGCCTCAAGATTGAATAAATTGCGGCTTACCGCGTGTTTTGGAACGCAATTTAACAAATTTACATTTTTTATGCAAAAACTTACCGATAGTCGAACTTTGTTTTTTTTTCGAATATAGCTAGTTGAATTTACAAAGATCAAAAGCTTAAAATTGGTCAAATCGCTATGGGTTTTGTGTTTTGGAGCACAACTTAGCTAGTTTTATTGTTGGCTAGTTTTATTGTTAGCTTTCTTAAGTTTAAATCATTTTTGGGTTTCATTGAATACGGTAGCTGGTTGATTTCTGCTTTATTGGTGGCTTTCTGAGAAATTATTTTGCATTTTCTAGTCTTTATGGACCTCACATTGATTGTTTTGTTAGCTAAAGTCGACCTTTTTGACGTTTGGATCATTTTTGGGTTTCATTGAATACGGTAGCTGGTTGATTTCTGCTTTATTGATGGCTTTCTGGGAAATTATTTTACAGTGTCTAGCTTTTATGGACCTCACATTGATTGTTTTGCTAGCTGAAATTAATTTTTTCAAAATTTATCGTTTAGTTATATCTTAACCTTAAAAGCCAAACCTTCTCGACATTCCCGATTTCTTAGGTTTCACAGAAATACACCGGTTTTCGCGTTGTTTTGTTGTTGAGAGAGGGAGACAAAGAAAAAAAAGAGGGCATTTGTTTTACGCGAAACCGAAGAAAAGCCTCTACTCTGCCTCAGTGGCCTTTCAACGGTTTCAAATTTCACTTTTCAAAAACCACAAAAAGCCGTCCGATTTTCGGCTCAAGTCCCCCTCACAAAGGCATCCCATTTGTGCCGTAGTCCTCATCAACGTAATCCAATTTTTTTTTCACATCTTCACATCACATTTTAAATTATCCATTTTTATCGTCTCGAATCCCTAAAAGCTATTTGCAAAAGCGTCCATCAAAAAGGAGAAAACCGGGAAAAAAATTTGCTTAGGTCTTGGCTTTTTGGCTTGGCTTTTTGGCGCTCCCTTTTCCCCCTCACATCTCCCGCCCCGTCCCGTCAACGGTGTTTAGAGAAATTGCTTAAAAAGTCGAAGAGAAATTGGGGGATCTGGGGAAACGAAGAAATATGGAGGGGAAAAGAGAATCGGCCAGCTCTTCCCTTCAACGAGGAGTTGTTCACCTCTTTGATTAGGCAAGACGGGCAAGCTCGATGTTTGTTCCTTTCACTTTCTCGTTCAGCAAAATTTAAGACCCCTACATCTCTCTGAATTTGAAATTTTTATTTGGTGTTCCCCGGAAACCTCCATCAATCCGTCAACGCCGTTTTTGTGGCCTTTGTGCGATCCACTAAAAATCCTATTTTACAAAATCACCTTTCTCAGCGTGAAAATCACTATTTTGCATCCCAATTTCTTTCTTCAAACACAAATACCCATAGAAATCCGGAAATTCGCTCTGAAAAGCAACCAGCTACGCTCACATATCGTAGCTGGGCGAATTTGCCGGACTTTTTAACCGAAAGCAGACAAAGTTACGAAAAATTTGATCTTTCTGGACCACAACTTAAAATAATTTTCATATTATAATGTGTTTTTATAAATCTTTGATTCGACACCATTTCAAACTAACATCTTTTCCCTGAAGTTTAAATTATTTTTACTTTTCGTAAAACTGATTCTATAGATGTTCAAGTTGTGTTCCAGAACTTCAATAGTTCAACCAAGAAAAGCTGTCTTTATAGATTTTGACCCAGAAAAGTAACCAGCTACCGACTCTTGAACCACAACCAAACTCGAACTTTTTACTTTTCGTAAAACTGATTCTATAGATGTTCAAGTTGCGTTCCAGAACTTCAATATTTTAACCAAGAAAAGCTGTCTTTATAGATTTTGACCCAAAAAAGTAACCAGCTACCGACTCTTGAACCACAACTAAACTCGAACTGGGCAAACGGCTTTTGTTCCCTCGAAAATCACTATTTTGTTTTCCAATTTATTTCCTAAGACATAAATAACCATGGAAATCCCCGTATTCTTTCTCAGAATCAACCAGCTATAAAAACTATAACTAACTGGATGAATTTCTTTTAGTTTTGCAACGAATACCAATCCATTTTTTAACAATTTATCCTTTTTGGATTACAACTTGAAAGTTTAACATTTAACAAATGATTTCTTGCAAACTTTCTACTCGGCCCTATTTCCAAACTAACGGTTTTTTTGTCCAGTTAAAATCCTTTTTTCTCAAATTCTTTTGTAGGAGCCTATATTGCGTCCCAGATTATAAATATCTGAATATAAAAATCCCTATTTTATGTTCTAACCCAGAAAAACAAACCAGCTACCGTTTATCGAATTGACGTTTTTCCTAAACTTGTCATTTTTGTAGATACCTATTTTGCGATTGAGTTTTTCAATATTTTCAACGCTTTGGGTAATTTGAATCTCATGTATAAGAGCTAGATGCAGGCAAGATGCTATAGTTTTAAAAATAAATTAAGTTTGTGGATAAAGAAGCTTTTTAAAAATCAACCACCTTATGTGAGTGCCAAAATGCTCCGAAAATCGTTAAAACCGAAAAATGATTAGGGGCGTATGAGCAGCGTTTGTCCCCTTCTTCCCCTTCTTCTTCCCCTTCTTCTTTCCCTTCTTCCCCTTCTTCTTCTTCCCCTTCTTCCCCTTCTTCCCCTTCTTCTACACCTTTTTCGTCCTCAAAAGACTCTTGACTTTCTCCCCGCATCCTTCACGATAAACGCCGTTTTCTCATGCAAAACAGATATTCGGAACGACACAAAGTTTACCCCTTTTTAGCTTTCCCTTCACCAAAACGGCCGCAAAAATATGGACGTCTTGTCGTCGAGCTATACACGAATGCTCAAAAATTTGAGGCTATTCTAGCTTTTCCTGCGAATAGTCATCATACTAGTTTTGAAGAAAATTCTATAAATTTATTCTATAGATTGAATTCTATAGATTGGATTCTATAGATGTTCAAGTTGCGTTCCAAAACTTCAATATATCAACCAAGAAAAGATGTCTTTATAGATTTTGACCCAGAAAAGTAACCAGCTATCGACTCTTGAACCACAACCAAACCCGAACTTTTTACTTTTCGTAAAACTGATTCTATAGATCAAGTTGCGTCCAGAACTTCAATATATCAACCAAGAAAAGATGTCTTTATAGATTTTGACCCAAAAAAGTAACGACTCTTGAACCACAACCAAACTCGAACTGGTCAAACTGCTTTTGTTCACTCGACAATCACTATTTTGTCTTCCAATTGATTTCCTAACACATAAATAACTATAGAAATCCCCGTAGTTTTTCTAAAAATCAACCAGCTATAAAAACTAGAACTAACTGGATGAATTTCTTGAGTTTTGCAACGAATACCAATCCAGTTTTTAACAATCCAGGCTTTACTTTTTACAAACAACTCTAGTTTACCTAGTTTTCTTTATCGTCTAGATGATGAGCTTAAAGATTTACGATCCACATCTATTTATTGCTCGCTCAAGTTTTTCGCACAACGTTAGCTCGTTTTTTTTCCAAACACATCCCCTTTCCCGTATCTATTTCATATTATTTTTTTGGACTAGGTTGCGCAAACTCGATAGCAAAAGCAAATTTTCGGGCTCAGCCGCAAAAAAAAAATGGATTCCAGACTCTATTCGGCCAAAAAATTTTTTCCCAATTTCACATCCAATGAGAAATTTTTTTTAGAAAAGTGTAAAGCATCTCGAATCTCGAATTTCATTTTCAATCAATACTAACTTTTTGTACTTCTCATTCTTGAGGCTTAAAGCCACCATTGTTTTCATTTATTAGCGCGAATCAATCGGATTATGAATTTCTCCCTTTCTCACTCACATCTGGAAAAAAAAAAAGAAAATCTTTCCAATGAACAATTCACGGCACTTTTTCTTTTACAACTCTCAATTCGTTTTTCTCATTTCTGTCGATTTCTCATTGATCTCTTTCGTGTTGACAACGCTTTACTAGGTCTTTACTAGGTGTCAAGAGGTTCTCGACGTCGTCGGATTGGTGGAATCGTTGGTGGGTGAGTGATCGAACGGCACACCTAGAGCAGCAACGACTCAAGGGTGCCCTTGACAAGGGCGAACCCCCACCAAAAAGCGATGAGGACAAAATGGCAGCTCAGTTTACGAAAGTCGCTTTAAACTGGGTGTCCATTTTTTTAAAGTTTCAAAGTTTAGCTATTCTCTTTCATTCTCGCCAACGTCCACGATCCGGCTGCTCTCGATGATTCAGGTGAGGGGAAATAAATGGGGGAATTTATTTCTTTTCTCTATTTCGGTCTTGATTCAATGGGAGACAATTTTTGAGATAAAAGTTTCAGTCTTTGAATCTTCTCTGACTTCTCTGACTTCTCCGACTTCTCTGGGGATTTCAAAGAAGTTAGAGAAGTCAGAGAAACCAGAGAAGTCCCGGAGTAGATTTCCGTCAAAAATTTGATTGAAGATGACATTTTTGGTTGCTTTTTTTGAATCCGTTTACAAGATTACAGAATTCTTTAGCTTTTTTAGTATCATTTTTTTGATTTTTGACATTTTTGGTATTTTTGGCATTTTGCCATTTTTAAGCCTCAACTTATGGAAAAGTCCTTTCCGTTTTTTTTTAGGAGAGTACCTTAAATTTGTCGAATTTCGACATTTTATAGCTCATCCTAAAGCTGAATTCAAGACGGATCGATTGGTAAAAACGGTTTTGAGATATCTCTTTTCGAAAAGTTTTTACAGCTATTTTAGTAAAGGGCGGCAGAGCCAAAAACAGCCAAAAATGGCTGTTTTCACATTTCGTTAGTTTTCCGTGCAGAAACCTAGGCTAAAAACATGTGTTTCGTGATCAGCGTCAAAAATAACCCCTAGACACGCATTTTCAGAATCTTAGCAAAAAATTTTTGAAAAATATTGTCACCGGTGGGAGTCGAACCAGCGACCCTCAGATCAATAGCCTTTCCGCCGCTTTTCGCGATTTTCCTTCGTTTAAAAAGCTATAAAACGCTATAAAACGTTACGGTACTCTCCCAAAAAAACCGAAAGGACTTTTCCACTAACCCAATACTTTCTCCAAAATTTTCAGAAAAAATTTTTAGAAAAAATTTTCATAAAAACTTTTCACCCAAAAAATAGCAACTTATCTCAAAACTCTAAAAGGATTATTTCATTATGGAGATCAATTTGGCCAAGAAGACCAAGAAGCCCCCTTTATCTTCATTTTCCCCCCTCCACTTTTCTTCTTAGACATTTATTAGACACTTGTGATGAGCTGAGAAGTGTGAATCGATTAACTTCAGCCCATCTTTCGCCCACCAACTCCCTCAAGACCTCAAGACCGGGATTATCCGGTAAATCTTTGAAATTTCGATTTTAGCAATCATTTTCAATGATTTTCCTGTTTCTTTTACCATCAAAAACCCTTTTTCGATTTTTTTTCATTTCGATTTTTTAAAAACCAAAGCCTCATTAAAGTTTGTCGAGTAATTACGAGTTTTTTCTTTTATTTTTTTTCATTTTTCTTTTTCTTTAAGAAAACCTTTCTTTTTTTTCTTTCTCTTCAAGAAAACGAAAACCGATTTTAAGGCTTTTTCTTAAAGAAACCTCCAGAAATCTGTTTTTTGATTGAAATCTGTTTTGGATTGAAATCTCTTCTTAAACCCTACAAATCCTTATCAATCTCAGCCTATTTTCAATCCAAAAAAGTGCTATTTCCTTGATTTTTCCCAAAAAACTCTTTTAAAACGTCATGAACCAAAAAAACCAAAAAAAACCAAAAAACCGAAAAAACCGAAAAAAAAGGATTTTCGGGGCCTTCAAAATTCACTTCTCTTGGGGTGAAAAGTGTCAGAATGGAATGTGTTTGGAAAAATTTGGCAAAAGAAACGGGAATGGCGGAATACCCTAGGGACTAGCGTCGGCTGAAGAGATTTCAGGGCACCACCAACTCATCCAGCCCCCCAGCTTTTACCCCTCAAAAACTCAGTCAACAAATAAATTTCTGAGCCTGATTTATTTATATTAGCTGGGTAGATTTTGTTTTCAGCAAATACAGTAATCCCGCCCAGTTACTCGCCGATTTTTGACCGATTTCCAGCCAACATTTTGACTTGACCGAGCTTGAGCCGATCTTGACAAATTTTTTAGGCATTTAAAACGTCGAAATGTTTTTATTTCAAGTTATTTGCCTTTTCTGGATGTCATGCTAGCGTTTTAGTGAAATTCCGGTTTAAAATTTTGATTTTAGAATTTTTAAGATTTCAGAGTTTCCCCTCTGAAATCAAAATTTTGAGATTTTAGAATTTTGACGGAAAACTACCGTAAACTTTTAGTGTGACATCCATAAAATAGATTGGAAACTAAAAAAACGGATAATTCGACTACCGTAGTTGAGAAAATGAGGCCTAGACAATCTTTTGCATTTCATGCAAATTGTGTCAGAGCTTTGTCCACTTTGTCACATCTCCAAAGGAAAAGCCATTCAAGCATTCCATTGCCTTTCTTCTATTTCTTCCATTTCTTCTCCACTCCCGGCCACTACCGCTTTTTCTTTCCTTTTTCATTCTTTTCTCTTTTCTCTCCCGATTTGCATATTCCCCGATTGCCGGCTTTTACGCAACAAATTTTTTCGTTCTTGGCTAAAGAAAAAGATCACTCAAACGCTGGAATCCATACGTTTTAAATCAATTTAGCTTTTTCAGCCTTTTTATGGATTCAGCCTTTTTATGGACTCTTAACATTTTGCCTTTCTAGCCATTGACTTTAACCACTAGCGTTTACCATCGAACTTTCGAGGTTTCCCACGTTTTTAACCGAAAATCCTTTCATCCTGGAACGCACAGCGACTTTTGAATGAAAAAAAATCGACCAACTATGAAGTTTTAACATTGCTCTTTTTACTTTTGGTCTTTCGGTCTTTCGGTCTTTCGGTCTTTCGGTCTTTCAGTCTTTAACTGCGAATTTCCCCCTTCATTACTCCTTTTGACCTCCAGATAGCAATTTCTAATCGTTATTTTCACGAGAAATACTTTTGTTTACAAGATTTTGAACCAGCTACGTTTTTTCGATTACCACTGTCATCCCTTTCAATCTTTAACTGCGAATTTCCCCCTTCATTACTCCTTTTGACCTCCAGATAGCAATTTCCAATCATTATTTTCACGAGAAATACTTTTGTTTACAAGATTTTGAACCAGCTACGTTTCTTCGATTACCACTGTCAGCCCTTTCAGTCTTTCAGTCTCGCCCAAAAGTGGCTGCCAGTTTCCTCGTCGCCTCGACACTTTTCTCGTTTCTGAATTTCTCGATATTGGAAAGGATTGATGGGCATCGTCAAATCTCAATCGTTCCACTGATCACGAAAAAGCCGAACCCTTTCGGGGGACGAGGCGGGGGATCACGAGGAAAAAGCAATGAAATGGCCACGGATGTCCTGCAGCTAGTCTCATATTTTTTGGCAAATATCTCCGATTATTCTTCAGGTGGTGAATAGGTTAAATGGTAGCCAATCAAAAAAAAAGGCTAGCTTGACTTCTGAGATTGGTCTGAGATTGGTTCTGAGATCCAAAATCCCGGTTATCCAAAAAGCTGATTTAAAAGCTGTGAATTGTTCAATTACTAAATTGCGTTCCAGAACACGCGCGAAAGCCGAAATATATTCAATTTTATGGTTTTAAACTTCAAAAATTCAACCAGCTATATATAGGAGTAAAATCGATTAGCGAATTTCGCGAAAATTTCACCTAAAATCATCGAAAATCATCAAAAATCATCTAAAATCATTGTTTCATTTAAAAAATCGTATTTCTCTAGGCGTGGGCACAATCGTTGCGCCACCACATCCAAATTTTATCTCAACATTGTACCCACGAGCGACAGGTTTCCAAAAAAAAAAAAAAAAGGCATTGCGAGTGAATTTGCATGCAAATCTTGAAAACTTGAATCTTCGCATGTTTGAGAATTTCGAGAAATCTCGAGAATCTCGAGAATTGAGAGTTTCTAAGGGTTGTGTGCGTTCCAAAATCTCGATTACATCGTCCCAGGAGGCCCAGGGGGCCCGGGGGGCCCAGGGGGGCGCCAGCCTTTGTTCCAATGCCAAATTACTAAAGCGGAACTCAATTCGCGCTGTCGAAACTCAATTAGCGCTGTATGTGCACGTCTGTCCGAATGTCTCGAAATAAACCCAAGTTATCGCTAGGAAATTTCAGCCATGAAGATCCCGTGCTACAGTTGTATGAGCGAGTATATGAAAGACTCATTTCCACATCTCCAAACTCTCTACAAGAAACCGTTCGCCTTCAACAACGCCTGTGATCAAACTGAGTGAGTTTTCTCGACTCCAATTCTGCAGCTTTGAGCCCGCCAGGGCCTCTACAAAACAGAAAACTCCAATTCTGCAGCTTTGAGCCCGCCAGGGCCTCTACAAAACATCAGAAAACTCAAAGAAACCAAAAAGCAATCAATTCAGAATGAATCGTCACGCGCTTTTCGTAAAAAATTGCACCGAGATGTGTGTGACGCTGCGGATACATGACGTGGTCGCAGGTGAGTCTCAGCAAAATTACAATCGCATTTTTGGAGCTCACAGTATCTTTTGAAACCAAAACGAAACGAAAATTCCGAAAATTTTACAGGTCGACGTCGGATAGGCTTCATGCGAGGCTGTCTATCAGATATCACAGGTAGAACCCTTTCAAAAAAAAAAAAAGCTAATTATGAAATTATGAAATTTCCCCTTTCAGGTGCCTCAACACACACGCTTGGCCGGCAATTGGCGGGCTCTCGATGCTTTGAGACCGATGTGCGTCAACTTTTCACTCTTACCGCGCAAAAGCAAGAGTTGGAGCCGACAAAGTAAGTGAAAAAAGTCAAATTTTCGCAAAAACTAAAAATTATTTCTAAAATCTGGAAGTCACAAGAACTTTTGAAGTTAATAAAACAATATTAAAGTAACAAAAAAAAAAAAAAAAAAATTTTTTTTTATAGATTATCCGTTTGCGGTTGTGAGGGCGATTTGTGCAACGAGAGCCGTAGAAAAGCGTCGATTTTCTCCGTATTGCTAGGTTTTCTTCTTCTCTTTTATCTAGCAGTTCATTGATTTGTTTCATTTTTCTTCAAAAAAAACATTTTCATTCATTTTTCATTTCCTCGAAAAACGGGTCAGCACGTCTTTGAATAGCTCGTTTAAAAAAAGTCAAATCAAAGTCATTTTTCAATTTTTTTTCAATTTTAAAACTCTCACGATCTCATTCTATTTACTGCTCATATCATAGAAAAAAAGAAAATAGTTTATTTTTTTTAAATTTCTCATTTTCTAATAAAATCTTTATTTTTCATACTTTCGAGTAAACCAATCAAGTTCAAAAAAACGTCAAAATAAAGAAAGAAAACGATTTTAAAGTTAAATGCATTCCAAAATGGCGATTAAGCGTGACAGTTTGCGGGAAAATTCACAAAAATCCCTTGATCGTCTTCTCAACGATATCGCCAACCTCATTAATCTAGAGAAAAGGGTATTTAATTCAAAAATCGAACGGAATTAATCATTCTGGATGTCACTAGCTTAGAAAAAAAGAGTAAATATCCAAAAAGATGTTATGTTGAAAGTATGGGCTCACAACTATGAGCTATCTTAATAGAGATAGCTCATAGTCTCTATTAAGATAGCTAATAGTCTCATCCCTATAGAGAACCAGCTTAATTAAAACCCTCCCTAATCCCTGTACTATCCTTGTCTACAGTACTGTTGCACAGTACTGTTGCGTAGCACAGCTTAAACTGGCTAGAACTGGCTGAGCTTAAACCAAATTTAGAGGGATAAGGAACCAAATTTAGAGAGGGATTACAGCTTAAACTGGCTAGATTACAGCGTAAACTGGCTAGATTATAAGGCGTACTTGTGTTTGATTGATGACGAGTGGCGGAGTGAAGCGAATCGTGTCCCCGTGAGTGTTCTGAATCGAAAAAAAAGTGTTTAAACCAAAAAATTCCTTTACCTTTGTAAGAAGTCCGTTCTCTTTCAGCTTTAAGCAAACATCCCACGCCTTGCACACATCTAAAATGAAAAACATTAAGGATATCAGCAAAATTCATCAGCAATTCATCAATTTTATGGCAAAAATCAAAAATCAAAAGCAGAATCAAATCCCCAGAATCAGACCAAATGCATGACAATGGTTTTAGCCTGGGTTTGGCTTTGAAACAAAGACCAACTTACAAAACCAGGCCAACTTAAAGGTCTAGAATGGTGGCCAGCTCTCTAGCCATGAGAATTTTTAACATTTTCAAACTTTAAATCAAACCACTCACTCTGATCGATAACAATTGCCAAAAAGAGACCCCTTCCACGGACTTCTTTCACGATTTTTGTTGGCAATCTTTCCAATCTTTTCTTCAGCACATTGCCCATCTTTGCCGAATTCTCGCACAGCTTCTCGTCCACGAGAATCTAAAAAAATTACAAGAATTTTATAACAGCAAACTAATTATCAATTTGAATAGATTCAGTGCCTAGATTGGACAATTTTAGAACAATTTGGATGAGAAAGCTCGGATTACCAAATCTTCTTTAGCACTCAGAAATTCGCACCTCTAAAGCCGCTTTCGCCAGCTTGCACCCGAGTGGATTCCCGCCGTAAGTCGATCCGTGCTGTCCGGGTTTGATGTTCAGCATGATCTCGTCATCGCAAAGCACTGCCGAAACCTGAATGAAGTTGATTGTGATCAGACACAAGTTAGCTACAAGTTACCTATAAGTTAGCTACAAGTTAGATACAAGCAATCCCATTCACCCACCGGATACATTCCTCCCGAGAGCGCTTTCCCGAGTACAACAATGTCCGGCCGAACGTTCTTCTCATGGTAATGAGCAAGCATTCTGAAAATGCAATGTTAAAGAAGAATGCTTAGTCAAATTAGCCAGATTAGTCAAATTTAAGCTTTAAACTAGACTCCGAATAAAACAAGATAAAGAAATGCTTTTCAAATTACCGAATTTAAGCCTTAAATCAGGATTAGAATTGAAAAAAAAGACGGAATAAGCCAAGCAAAAGATGAAATTTGTTCCAGATTGGCCAATTCGAAATCCGCTCACTTTCCAGTGCGTCCCAGGCCACTTTGCACCTCGTCAAAGATCACTAACACGTTTTTGTTTCGGCAAATCTCTTGTACAGCCTAAAACCGATCTATAGTTGGATAAAAGAAAAAGCAGCTTCACCTTCAAATATCCATCCGTCGGCACGATCACCCCAGCTTCTCCTTGAATCGGCTCGACCATGAAAGCGGCTGTGTTTGGTTTTTCGACTTCTTTCTAAGACAGGCTGACAGCTTTTCCATAAATCAGCTATACCTCGAGCGCTCGCAAATCGTTGTAGGAAATTTGTTGAAAGCCGGGCAAAAACGGACCATAGCCTTCGTAAGCTTGCGAATCAGATGACGCGGAAACGGCAGCGATTGAGCGACCCCAAAAATTGTTTCGCGCAAAGATCACCTAAAAAACCGACAAGGATTTGAGCCCAACAAAAAACACAAACCCTGGCCTCATTCTTTTTAACACCCTTCTTGTCGTAGGCCCATCGTCGTGCCAGCTTTACCGCCGTTTCGCAAGCCTCGACACCTGAAATAAATAGCAAAATCACTTTTAAGACTTAAAACTTTGAGAAATGAGCATTCTGGATGTGACTGGCTTGGTTGAGCGCAATTTTTAAAGCTTAAAACATCAATAAAAGCTCTTACCCGTATTCATCGGCAACACTTTGTCGTACTTGAACATTTTCGTGATGAACTCCGCGTATTCACCCAAATAGTCATTGTAGAAGGCTCGTGAGGTTAGTGTCAACTTGCCGCACTCTTCACGCATGAGCTGGAGAAAGAAAGAATTAATTGAATAGTTAAATCTCAAGAATTGCACAGTTAACTACAACTATGAGATGAAATATCAACTAGGAGTATCAACTAAAGCTACGACAACGTTAGTGCCAACCAAGCCTGAGCTTGTCAACCAAGTTTGAGCTTGTCAACCAAGCCTGAGCTTGTCGTTAGCGTCAACGACAAGCTCAGCCAATTTAACAACTTAATCACTCAAAAGCTTATAAAGAAACGTTTTTACATGGTTAAGCCTTTAACTTTGTCAATTTTAATGCTTTTCGAACAATCTCGTAGTCAGCTACTTCTTCTACATCAACAAATTCCTCACCTTGACCAATTTTGGATGACAGTGTCCCTGGTTCACGGCTGAGTAGGCAGCAATGCAATCGATGTAGCGTTTCCCTTCAACATCCCAAACGTAGATTCCTAAAATTGAAAAAGGTTACTGGTTCAATAGCTTTTTCCGCTTTTTCACCCATTCATACGCAAATTTTCTGGCGTTAGATGCAAATCATTGCCGTTTTTGTAGGACGTACAAACGTCTGGATAAGTGACAAGAGCGTGGCAGCATCACGAAGTCAAGACGAGAACCTCTCTCGATTCCGCCACACATTCACATCCTTCTCTAACTCGGGAGACGACTACGGTTGCACTTTCTTTTGCTGATGGTCGTTTTATCAATCTCAACACGCACACCAGGTTCTCCGGCACGTCTTGGATGCAAAACAAAATGCTTGGCAAACACACCAACTATTGGCACAATTGCACTGTATTCTTATTGACGCCAACTTCCCAAGCCAACATCTTAACCGAAGCGTTGAGTTGAAGGTATTAGTAGGAGTCACAAGGATGTTCTTGAAGAAGATTCCTATGTAGAAGCCAAATCGGTGTCTATCTTTGCAGCGACGATGGTTGCATTCTCATCAAGCCTCAGGCTTAGGCATCATCATCACCTCATCATTGCTCCAGCGTGTCCACCAGTGTAACGTCTCATATCTTGCCAGCAACTTGGGCATGTTCGCTTGCGATGAAGAAGACCCAGATCCTAAAGCCACATCTCGAAGTCATCACCAGATAGCAGCCGCTCGAGTAGCAGCTTGGGTGAGCTCGAGCAGATGTCTTGAAGAGCGTTGATTCCAGCCATTTTGCCTGTTTTAAATCGGTACTTTTTGCCGTTTTGGCACTCGGTTAAGCTTGAGGCCTTCAAAAGATTGGGGCTTCAAGTTAGAGCAAGTTAAACAAGCCCAGCTCCTTTAAATCAAGTTGTATAAAAGTTACCCTAAATTTGTAAATAACACGAGAAAATTTGTGGGCTTAAAAAGCGGAAAACTTTGATACGCTTAAAAAAATCGTGCCTTCAAACTAGGATAGCATCGTACTAACGTCATTAACGTACTAACGAGATCGTACTATCGTACTATCGTACTAACGTACTAACGACCTACGTACTAACGTACTAACGTACTAACGACGTACTAGCGTCATTAACAATCAGCTCTTCACAACATAAAAGCTTCCATCTGTTCCAAGATCACCAAATTATGCATTTCAACTCGTTTAGAGTATTCGATTTGTGATAACAACACTGACAGCCATATTTTTATGGCTCCAAGGCTTTCCCTGCGTTCCACCATCACCAAAATGCGCATTCACAATGAAATTTTTACCTTCTCCTTTCGTCAACGCGACGGGTAGCGGCGCATAGTTGTGCGCTCCGTATTTGGCCTCACGAGCGAAGATTTCTCTCGACGTCAGCACTAAATAAACGAAAAATTAAAGAATTTTTAAAGAATTGCATTGTTTTAAAGAAAATTTGAACAGAAAACGATTCAAAATCTAGGTTTGATAAGAAAAATTTGAAAATTTGAACAAAAAATGATTAAATTTGAAAGTTTTTAAATACTTTCAGCTTTTAAACGAGTTTTTTTTACAAGTTATTCTTAAAGAGTTAAGAATAACTTGTAAAAAGCGCGTTTTACGGGGGTGGGACAAATGCTACCTTTTTTTTGCGCACCTGGACATTTGCGCACCTTTTTTTTTTTGCTGGAAAAGGCCTTAGGCAAGGTCGTAGAGCTTCAAAAATGTTTTCATATAAGGGAATCGTATGCGTAGATTCCGAATTTCGACAAATCAGACCTCGCTGACACGTCAAATTTGGGCTAAAAGGCAAAAACTGCGGAAAAGCGTTAAGTTGCGTAGTTTTTGCCTTTTAGCTCAAATTTGACGTGTCAGCGAGGTCTGATTTGTCGAAATTCGGAATCTACGCATACGATTTCCTTATATGGAAATATTTTCGAAGCTCTACGGCCTTGCCTAAGGCCGTTTCCAGCAAAAAAAAGGTGCGCAAATGTCCAGGTGCGCAAAAAAAAGGTCCAAAAAGGTCGCACCCCCGTTTTTTACAAGTTATTCTTAAATATTTAAGAATAACTTGTAAAAAAAGCGCGTTTTACAAGTTATTCTGAACTCTAATAGCTAAAAAGAAACTCAAAAATTTTAAATATAAAAATTGAAAAAATAAAAGTCAAGTAAATTTTAGGAGAAGTAAGCTTAACTAGCTTTTGAGAAGGTAGAAGTACGTTGTACACCTATGGACGTTCGGGTTATCGTCTATAAGTCGTCTACAAGTCTGCCAATATGTGAAAATGCTAAAAAAAGCGTACCTTTTTCTCCTGTTTTGCAACCATTACCACAATTCGCTGAAAACGAACCAAAACGAGCCGAATAGCCAATGAATTTGTGCATTTTATAATCAAAAAATGGATTTTGTCGCTTTTTTTAATGATTTTTCAATGCAAATCGATTTCTGTTAAATGCTAATTTTTTTTGAGAAATTTTGACGATTTGGAAATTTGCATTTATTTTGACTTTTTTCAAATTCATCCAATTCTTTTAATTTTTATTTCATTTTATTGTGTGCGTTCCAGAATCGTAGAATATTCATTTCAAAAAAAGACAAAAACCACAAAAATACAATATTTTTCAAGACGAGAAGCGAATGACTACGGTAGCGGACACTGAGACACAAAAATAAATGCAAATTTCAACATTTTGAGATTTCGAGGATCAAGCTCATAGGGAAAATGGGAAAAAATGAAACAAGGGAAAACGAAAGGAAAGCATATTTACAAATTTTGCAGCGTCGTGAAAGTGGTCGGGATTTGGAGGTCATAGGCGGTGGTTGGCTGAAGGCTAAGCGGCGTTTGGAAATAGCTCGCATACGGAGACGGGTAGAGGTTCTAGAATTTTGATTTTTAAGCCAAGGCTCGATCTGGAGCGCACTCTAGGTTACTGGGCGATAAAATTTGAGAAAAGTTCTATCAAACAGTGGTTCTATCAAATAGATCTGTCTTTTTCAGTTCACCCACAGTGTTTTCATTGTTTTAAAAAAGAAAACCCCCTATTTTCAAGTGCTAACTCAAATGCTGGATGTCACTAGGAAAATTGGTTGATTTGTTTTCAAGTATTTGAGGGTTTTAGTATTTCAGTACTGCCTGGCTACAGTACAGCTGCCTGGCTACAGACTACAGTACCCTTAGCTAGTTACTGTAAGCCCTACTCACCGCTGTCTGCATTCCCATCTGTGTCATGGTGGCCATTTGAGACATTTGATGATTCATATGAGCCATTTGGGTGGCAACGTCAGGTGAAAACGAGGAATCAGCTGATAAAGAAGCTGGCGGTTTCGAATCACATCCAGAAGAACCCTCATCCGAATCGATTTTTCCACTCCTGTAAATCCTTTTGAAAATAGATATTCAATCTGCCTGTATTTCACTTTTTACGCGAAACTTTCTTTTCTAGAGTGATCTAGGTTCATTTGGGTATATCTGGTGATTGCGTGTCGATGATCTTATGGAGAGATCTGCCAAGAGCCCCCCCCTTTTCACTCAAATCACTTCACTTCACTTCACCACCAACAGAGGGGCACACCTGGGTCATTTCACAGAATACAGTAGCTCTGAAGTAGTAAGTCTAAGCCTTTACATTTCCCATATCACCTCTTATACAGCCAATGAGTACGGTAACACCCGCCGTGCTACCCAATTTACACGATTAGTTCAATGATTTTTGTGAAAACTCAGAAACAAGGGATTTTTGGCTTTGGCCTCTATCCTCTCAAAAACGAATTCTCTAGTTTCGACCCTAGACCCTAATTTATCTCTAAATTATGTAGGGTGACATCCAGAACGCCAGAAATTACCATTTAAAACTTCTGAAATCTCAAAAACAACCCATTTCTGGCCTTGGTCTCTATCGACTCAAAACCGAATTCTCTAGTTTCGACCCTAGACCCTAATTTATCTCTAAATTATGTAGGGTGACATCCAGAACGCCAGAAATTCCCCATTTAAAGTCGACTGTAACAGGGGAATCCACTTCTTCAACTCACCGATCCAAATTCCCAGCTGCTCGATCCCTTTGTCGTTTATTTTTAAACCAATTGCTCACTTGTACCACCGTCAGTTCAGTTTGTTGAGCCAATTTCCTTTTGTCTTCCACTGACGGATAGGCGCATTTCTTATAAGCTTCACGCAGGGAAAGACGTGATTTGGCCTAAATTTTTCAAATTTCAAATAAAATTTAATTCATTCCTATAGCTTTTTGTGAAATTGCAGAATTTACAAATAACCCATTCCATTTTCGGATTTCATTAGTCTTCCTGACTTCCAGTTTGACCAAAAATCAAATTTTTACATTTCAAAGACAAACCTTGAAGCAATAATTCGTCTCCTCACCATCCCAAATACCCGGTGGGAACTGAAAATGGCTTGTAACGATAATTGCTTGTAACAAGTAAATAGTAACAAGTAAATGTCGAAATTCTAAACACAAACCGGATTTTTCTTCCTTATTCGGTACTTGCAAACCGCGCCTAGCTCTCTTTCTTTCGTCTTTTCAGCCTGAAATTTACGATTTACAAGTTCTGCTAATTTCTGCACGTTTAGATACGAATACGGTTCCAATACGGTTCCTATTTTGATCTAATACGGTTCCCATTTTGATCTAATACGGTTCCAATACGGTTCCTTTTAAGGTTCCAATACGGTTCCAAGACGGTTCCAATCCGGTTCCAATACGGTTCCAATACCGTTCCTTTTAAGGTTCCAATACGGTTCCAATACGATTCCAATACGGTTCCTATTTTGATCTAATACGGTTCCAAGACGGTTCCAATCCTGTTCCAATACGGTTCCAATCCGGTTCCAATACGGTTCCAATCCGGTTCCAATACGGTTCTAATACGGTTCCAATACGGCTCCAATCCGGTTCCAATCCGGTTCCAATCCGGTTCCAATCCGGTTCCAATCCGGTTCCAATCCGGTTCCAATACAGTTCCAAGACGGTTCCAATACGGTTCCGATTTTGATCTAATACGGTTCCTAATTTAGAGAGATCATGAACCAAATTTAGAGAGATAAGCATCCGAAATTAAACAGGTAAGAAACCAAATATAGAAACAAAAGGAACTCAATACCGTATTAGATTTAAGTAAAAATTTCGAAATTTTACGCGAATCTGGATATCATGTAGTCCAACAAAATCATTTTTTCCCTTTGTTTCCTCTATTTTACTTAAGGCTACTTTTTCTTGTGTACCCCGTCCGTATAGTTTTTGTTTGTTTGCAAAGGTTGCGTAACTTTTCCGAGTATGCCCAACTTCGATCTGGAGCTCACACAGAAAATTGGGATAAAAAAGAAAAGACAAAGAGCGGAACGGGCAAATATTTGGGTAAAGACTTCCTGGATGGATGAGAGGACGAAAATTAGCAGAAATATCCAAAAAAAGGCAAAATTTCAAAAACAACGCTGAAGCAGTGATTTTTATATTCTGTGACATCCAGATCCCTCAAAAATCTCAAGGTTTTAATTTCAAGCTCATCTGGTCGGGCAGAAATCAGTCGAGCTCAAACGCTTCAAAAAGTGACGTCATCAAAATTGTAAAATCAAAAACAAAACAATGATTTTCTTATAGCATGACATCCAGATCCCTCAAAAATCTCAACAATTTCCGTTTCCAGACTCACCTCGGTGTAATGAGCGCGCAGCCAGAGATCTTGCAGCACCTGGTGGTTACCGACGGAGAATTTGTGGGACTCCAACAATCTGAATCGGTTCTTGGCTTCAAACTTATCCCTTCGCACTCACTTGTAGAGGTATTTCCAATTCTGTTTGTAGAAAGCGATCAGCGCGAACCCTTTCAGCACACATTCCAAGCTTTGAGCTCGATAGTCGAGTTGAGAAATGAAGTGCTCCTAAAAAAAAGTCGTAAACTTTCTAACTATCTACTGTGCGCTCCAGATTGAGCAAAAATTTACATATCATTGAGAAATACTACGTCAGAGTTGAGAATTTGATGTCAACTCAATGCCAACATAATTTCAATTTCTGTTCACTACTAAAGACAACTGAATTCCGAATTTTCAGCTTTTCCCTCTCAACCGATTCTCCCAGAAAAGGAAGAAAGCTTGAATTGTGAAGAAAAAGAAGAAATTTGATCTGCTTTCCTTTCGTCAACGGGAGAGGGAAGCAACTACATCAAATGGACCTAGAGCCCTAGCCCGAATTTCGTCGATGAGTGTCCCCAAGTACGGTAACACCCGCCGTGCTACCCAATTTACACGATTAGTTCATTGATTTTTCTGAAAACTCAAAAACAAGGGATTTTTGGCTTTGAACTCTATTGGCTTAAAACCGAATTCTCTAGTTTCGACCTTAGGCCCTAGTTTATCTCTAAATTCTATAGTGTGACATCCAGAACGCCATAAATTCCCGTTTAAAACTTGTGAAAACCCAAAAACAAGGGATTTTTGGCTTTGAACTCTATCGACTCCAAACTGAATTCTCTAGTTTCGACCCTAGACCCTAATTTATCTCTAAATTCTGTAGGATGACATCCAGAACTCCATAAATTACCATTTAAAACTTGTGAATACTCAAAAACAACCAATTTTTGGCCTTGGTCTCTATCGACTCAAAACTGAATTCTCTAGTTTCAGTCTGATACCCTAATTTATCCCTAAATTCTATAGTGTGACATCCAGAATGCCAGAAATTACCATTTAAAACTTGTGAATACTCAAAAACAAGCCATTTTTGGCTTTGAACTCTATCGGCTTAAAACCAAATTCTCCAGTTTCGACCTTAGACCCTAGTTTATCCCTAAATTCTATAGTGTGACATCTAGAACACCATAAATTCCCGTTCAACTCACTAATCGATCAATATTTCCGGTTTGATAGGACTCGGCGAAAAGTGCCTCGCAAATGCACGCGATCTCCGGCTCCGAATAAGCGGCGCTGGCACTGAAATTGTAAATTCTGTCAAGCTGGATGTCATTCGACATTTTTTATATATTAATAACAAATAAAAAGAGAATCCAATTCCTTACATGATCGAGAAATCGTTTGACTCGATTTTAGCAGGGAAATTCCCGATTTCTTGTAATTTCCCTCGACTAGGGGGCATTCTGGATAGCACAATAGGGAATGAATCAGTCAAATTAGTCAAATGGGTTTTGGAAAAGGTTCTAGATTGATGGATTGATCAAGACCACGCCTCCTTTTTGGATCAAAAAGTTTGTTTGTTCAAAAGTTTGTTTTTTGACAGATCATCGACTCCCGAGGGGCACTTAAGAATGGATTGCGTAAATGAGAGAAAATTGAGATTGAGGAAGAGCTTGGAGAAATTTTGAAATCCGAGATTTGATTGAGGGATTTTTTGTGAGAAAAATTTGAGTTTTTTGGGATTTTTTTGATTGTTTTTGATTGTTCTCTTTAACCATTTCAAATCATTTATAATTAATTTAGCTTAGAATTCTATCTAGTTATGAATTATGTTTTAAAATTTCCAAAAAAATTAAACCCTTGACGCGAGTGGGAGTTGAACCCGGGTTGTCTTGGGCTAGAGACATCCGAGTTCCCACTGAGCTACCAGGTAAGAGCTTGGCCGAGTGGTTCAGATGAGCGTCTATCAAACGAACGGGAGAATAGGGGGTCCCGGGTTCGACTCCCCTTCCCGCCAATTTGTTTTTTTTTGTTTTTGAAATAAAGCTGAGTTTGAGAAGAGGGATGGCTAGATCAGTTTTCACTAAGAAACGATCGTTTTCGGGATAGCTGTGTGTATTTAGTGTTAGTTTTCGGTAACAGTAACCTCTCTTTTCTCTCTCTTTTTCTCTCCCCATTCCCACCTCGAATTCAGAGGAAAAATGAGCTGGAGGAGGATCGTTTTGCCCACCACTCCCCACCCGAAACTTGATAACTTGAGGAATTTGATCCCCGTGTAGATCGATTTCATTGCTTATCAAAGGCCACCCACCTGCACGCTTGCTGCATTGGTAACATCGATGTCGCCAAGTAGGCCTGCATCGAGCTGATTGTCGAGAAAGATGATTGTCGAGAAAGATTCAGTGAAGCTGGAGGGCACAACGGAGAATGGGACGACTGGGGAGGCCTGCTACTGGCCTTGGAAAGAGGGACAGCTGTGCGACCAATCGCCACCTCGGCACGACTCCGACGCCGCCCCCTTCTCCCCGTTCAACAAGATCGGGGAAATTTTGCGCGGAAACGTTACGGTGGAATGCACAGCCAAAGCTGGAAATGAGATTTTTTAATTTTAAGAATTTTTAAGAATTTTTCAAAATTTGGTTTTATCATCAAATTTGAAATTTTTAAAATCACAAAAGGGTTAAATTGAGAAAATTTTGAGTTTAATGCTGAGCGTGACATCCAGAATTAAATATTATTTCTTTAAATTTTCTTTAAAGTTTCTAATTTCAAGAAAAAAGGTGAAGAACAAGGTTTTTTTTTTCAATTCCAATGAGAATCAATAGAATTTTTGTGGCATTGAAACAAGATATTCAGCTCATCGAATGGGGGTCAGTAAAAGACTGAAACGAGAGAAGGAGAAGAAATTGTAGAAGTAGAAATTGAGAAGTGGAGGGAATGAGTGACGGAGGAGGAGTTGATCAATACTTTGACACAACGATGATGGAATTTGAGACGATTCGGTGAAAGGGGAGGACAGGAGAGGACAGGGGAGGACAGGAGAGTTCATACTGGAGCTCACAGAGCTCACAGAAGGCAATGGGGCAATGCGATAGTTTGTTTCTATTGATTCTCAGCTTCACCCTTGATTCCAGTGGTGATTCAGCTATTTCTATCTATTATTATTCGATCTAAACCTTTTTATTGCTTAATCTGGATGGCACAAAGACTGCTAAACAGAGCTAGAGAAGATTTCTGCCGCTTTGACGTTGCCTTGATCAAGCTGTTCGATGTTGATTTGATTTTAGAGGGGGGGATTCTTGATTTCTTGAAATTTCTAGGACTAGGCGACATTCTGGAAGTCACAATAGGGAATGAATAAGTCAAAAAGCGTTTTTGGAAAAGGTTGATTGATGGTGAGTGTCAAGTAGATGAGTTTCTCTCTCACTTACCAAGTTTTATTGAAAAAAGGGTGATAGAAGGGGTCACCTGGCAGCTCTGGTAGCTCCTCCCGCTGATATTTCACCTCAAAAGCAATAGATATTGGTTGCTAAATAAGTTATCGTAGCTCAAGTATGCCCCTACGTAATCCCTATGTAGTAATCAAAGCCTAACTCTTATTAAGTTTAGTTTTGAGTGCTGCTAAGGCTCAGGCTGAGTCTGAAGGCTAAGGCTTAGGCTGAGCCTGAAGGCCAAGGCTGAGCCTGAAGGCCAAGGCTCAGCCAAGAGATCTTTTTTAAGCTCTAGGCCCAACCACTAGAACATCTTGCACCAACATAAGCAGATGTTATCGATGATTCTAGTCATGGAGTGCTTTCCAGAAGGCCCATATTGATCAGAGTTTACTCAACTAATCTACTTCCCTTTGCACTTTCCAACCCAGCTCTCTAGCCAGCTGCTTTTATTTGCCAAGTCGATGTTCTACCCCTTCTGAGACAAACGGTCTGCATTCGTTTTATGAAAGCAAGCTGGATTGGGAAAGGGCTAAGAATGATATAAATTGAAGAAAAGAAATGGCAAGGACAATGCCAGCCGCAATGCCAACCGCAATGCCAGCCCCCCGATGGATGACTGGCAAATCAAATAATCGAATCCTCGTTGACCCCCCACCCCGAATTTCATGGCTTGTTCTCCCCAAGTACGGTAACATCCGCCGTGCCACCCAATTTACACGATTAGTTCATTGATTTTTGAAAAAACTCAAAAACAAGGGATTTTTGGCTTTGAACTCTATCGACTCAAAACTGAATTCTCTAGTTTCGACCCTAGACCCTAATTTATCTCTAAATTTTGTAGGATGACATCCAGAACAACAGAAATTCCCATTTAAAACTTGTGAAAACTCAGAAACAACCCATTTCTGCTTTTGGTCTCTATCGACTCAAAACCGAATTCTCGAGTTTCGACCCTAGACCCTAGTTTATCTCTAAATTCTATAGTGTGACATCCAGAACGCCATAAATTGTCATTTAAAACTTTTCATCGATCGATTAGGCTGACTTTAACCTAAACCGATCTATACTGACCTGTCCTGGGCTAAATTGAGTCTAATTTTTTGCTAAAATTTTAATTTTTATTAAAAGCAATAATAGGTAGTGAATTTCAGAAGAAGGCTTGAAAAATTTAAGAACTTTAAAAAAGAAGAACTTTAAAAAGTAAAAAGAAAAAGTTGACTGGCTGGCTGGCTGGCTGGCTGATCGGTTATGTCATTTGTGGTGATTTCATCCTCCTCACTTATTTCGTTGAGGAGGCTGATGTGCGGAAAAATGAGCCGACTGATGACATGGAATGGCCCTCTTTTCCTGTGATCCCCCCTTGTCACTCAATGCCCCACAGATTTCAATCAAAATTTCCTTTTCGCCCTTGATCTCAATCAAGCGCCCCGTCGCATTTCTCGTTGACATGACCGATTTTCGTGCAAAAAATCAAGACATTCTCAAAGCAAAGTTCGTGTTCAATAAGGTTCATCCTGTCAAAGTGCAATGCAAAGCTGTTTTTGTGCTGATTTTTCGAGTTCCAAGTCCAAATTGGAGTTCACTGGAGCTTTTGAGAGTGATTGATTGGGAACGGTTTGCATTCTGTGACAATGACGAATCAGGGATAAACACGTCACCTCGATAAATCGTCTGGCAATGCCGCAAACGGAAATTCTCTTGTAAACCTAGAAATCCTGGATAGCATTAAGAGCAAATTTGCATTTAACAACCCTTTTTTTCGAAATTTCTTTTTTCTGACCTAACGCTCTTTGGTAGCTGGCCGATTTTAGCCACTTCTCTAGTTAAAAATGGATAATTACAAAATTTAAAGTTAATTCTGGGACGCACAGTAACGATCTTGAACGGAATTCTGCGATTTCAAGCAATTCTGAAAATATTGATCAAAGGCCAAAAGTTGGTCAATTGGTAGCTGGTCGATTTTAGCCAATTCCTTAGCGAAAAATGGAAAATCTCAAAATACAAAGTTAATTCTGGGACACACAGTGACGATTTCAAACCGAATTTTGCGATTTCAAGCAATTCGTAAAAGATTAGTCAAAAGCGCTCTTTGGTAGCTGGTTGATTTTAGCCACTTCTCTAGTTAAAAATGGATAATCACAAAATTTAAAGTTAATCCTGGGACACACAGCGATGATTTCAAACGGAATTTTGCCATTTCAAGGGATTCCAAAACTATCAGTCAAAACCGCTCTTTGGTAGCTGGTTGATTTTAGCCGCTTCATTAGCCAGAAATTGAAAATTTACAAATTCAAAGTTAATTCGGGGACACACAGTGATGATTTCAAAAGGAATTTTGCAATTTCAAGCAATTCTGAAAATATTGGTCAATGGCCCACAGCTGGCCGATTGGTAGCTGGTCGATTTTAGCCAGTTCGCTAGCGAAAAATGGAAACCTTCAAAATTCAGAGTTAATTCTGGGACACACTGTGATGATTTCAAAAGGAATTTTGCGATTTCAAGGAATTCCAAAAATATTAGTCACCAATCATTTGACTTGTCAATGATTCACGGCAGAAAAACTCGAAAATGTGAAACACTTTGTCGCAAAAAGCCGCAAAGTGTTCTTTTTGTCTTTTTTGGATAAGTGTAAACTATGATTATCCCCTTTGGATTAAAAAGAATGGAGGTGGCTTTGATTTTCCGTCTTTTTCGGGGCAGCACCTGTGCTCGATCCCTTTTCAGCTAACGGATTCGGTTTCAGCTTTTGATATCGACTTTTTTCATCTTATTGGATCTCAGGTCAAAGCTGGGAAAGATTTCTGAGGTTATTGAAAGGTGTAAAATTTTTATTTGGTTATAGCTACAGTATCCCAAAATTGTCTAAAAATGATAAAAGTTTTAAAGGCTGATTTTGAAAGATAAATTGCAGAAATCGATAACTACCGTATACCCAAAAAGACTTGAAACTCTCTCTTCCTTTTTCTCTTTTATTTGAAAATGGTGAGAAGCACTTGGAAAGAAGGCTGAAGAGAGCGGGGGTGTCGAATTTCATTCTTTCCCTACCCTACACCCAATTCTAGCCTCACTCCTCGTGTTAAAAGCAAATATTGATTAATTTTTGGAAGGCACTAGGGCAAATGAATCAAACAGACATCAAACAGAAATCAAACAGAATCACTTTAAGTGTAAATCCAATTATTCCCTGTTCATTGTTCAAGTTCAATCAAAAATCTCACTCTTTCCACCGGGAATTTTATTTTCTTAAGCTTTCAAACGAAAATCTGGATAGCACAGAGCATTTTCAGCATATTTTTAGCGAATTTCACAAGTTTTGATAGTTGTTGACATTGACGGAAAATTGCATGATCTCTGGCGTGATCCCGTAAGGCATGACACCTAAATTGCAAAAGAATATGCCCATCTGGAGCGCACTAGGCCAAACCTGGATATAATAAAGCCGAATAGGTCGTCGAGTAAATGGACGGTGTGGCTTTAGACGTAGTTAGGGGTACGGTAGTTGACTGAAAAATCCAATCTTTAGCTTTAACAGCGATCTGTTACTGGTTTCGAACTCGTTTGGTCCTCTTCAGTGCTCGAGAAGTCTGAGTCATCTTTTGGGTGCAGTGGATCCCTAGATAAATTTATGACAAGCTCGGTACCCAGCTATCGTCACCCCAAACCACTACAGTACTCCGAATCTTGTCGACGAGCCTTCCCAAGTACGGTAACACCCGCCGTGCTACCCAATTTACACAATTAGTTCATTGATTTTTCTGAAAACTCAAAAACCAGCGAGTTTTTGGCTTTGATCTCTATCGACTCAAAACTGAATTCTCTAGTTTCGACCTTAGACCCTAGTTTATCTCTAAATTCTGTAGTGTGACATCCAGAACGCCTCTAGAACGCCATAAATTCTCACCTCTCCCTCGAGTCAGCAGCTCGATCCCGTTGCCGTCGATTCTTGAACCAATTGCTCACCTGGGTGACAGTTAGATGAGTGGATTCGGCCAATTCCTGGAATTCTTGAAATTCGAGCTGCTTGTAAAGCGACTTCAGCCTTCTAAAACCAGTCTGACTTGATCTGAATCGATTGATCTGAATCCGGCTGATTGACTGATTGAAAAGCTTTGTTTCACCTTTTTCTCTTTCGGTGTCGGATATGGATTTTTCGTGTACCACTCGCGGAGGACGTGACGCGACTTTTCCTGAACTCCAATCAACGTTTTTGTTCTCTAGATTAGAACTTGAGACATGGTAGATATGATTCAATTCGTTAATCTCGTGATAAATAATCTCTTGCTTGCTATCAGAGTACCAGATTATGCAGCTTGCTTCCCTAAGTAGCCCCTGGATTGGTCTGTAATCTGATGGCTTTCGTTTCAGCTCGGAAAATGCAGGTCAGGGGATTTTTTTTGAAAAACTAGAAATCCTGATGGCCCTAGAAGAGAATTTGCATTCAAAATTGCATTTTGCTCAAAATCTCCATTTTTCTGACTTAACGCTCTTTGGTAGCTGGTCAATTTTAGCTACTTCTCTAGTTAAAAATGGATAATTTCAAAATTTAAAGTTAATACTGGGACACACAGTAACGATATTGAACAAAATTTTGCGATTTCAAGCCATTCCGAAAATATCAGTCAAAAGCGCTCTTTGGTAGCTGGTTGATTTTAGCCACTTCTCTAGTTAAAAATGGATAATCACAAAATTTAAAGTTAATCCTGGGACACACAGCGATGATTTCAAACGGAATTTTGCCATTTCAAGGGATTCCAAAAATATTAGTCACCAATCATTTGACTTGACGACTGCAGACCAAGCCAAACCCTAGTCAGAAGGCAAAAGCTTGGCCTGGATCTATTTAAAAGCATTACAGTAATCCTCCTGCTTTCCCCTATCTAACAAAGCTCTCGATCATTGTCCTTGGAGGTGTTTGTCCATTCGTTCTCCATTCTACTTCTCACCCATCCCATTGTCCCCCTTATTCTTTCAAGAACCCCCGGGATATTTACTTGACCTCTTTGGGTAAATAAGCCAAGTACAACGAGACAAGATTGGCTTCTTGCCACCCGCTGTGATTTCTGGACATTCTGTGGCAGATTCGCCGTTGACATGACCGATTTTCGTGCAAAAAATCAAGACATTCTCAAGCAAAGTTCGTGTTCAATAAGGTTCATCCTGTCAAAGTGCAATGCAAAGCTGCTTTTGTGCAGATTTTTTGAGTTCCCAGTCCAAATTGGAGTCCACTGGAGCTTTTGAGAGTGATTGATTGGGAACGGTTTGCATTCTGTGACAGTGACGAATCAGGGATAAACACATCACCTCGATAAATTAGCTGGCAATGCCGCAAACGGAAATTCTTTTGTAAACCTAGAAATCCTGGATAGCATTAAGAGCAAATTTGCATTTAACAACCCTTTTTTTCGAAATTTCTTTTTTCTGACCTAACGCTCTTTGGTAGCTGGCCGATTTTAGCCACTTCTCTAGTTAAAAATGAATAATTACAAAATTTAAAGTTAATTCTGGGACGCACAGTAACGATCTTGAACGGAATTCTGCGATTTCAAGCAATTCTGAAAATATTGATCAAAGGCCAAAAGTTGGTCAATTGGTAGCTGGTCGATTTTAGCCAATTCGTTAGCCAGAAATTGAAAATTTCAAAATTTAAAGTTAATCCTGGGACACACCGTGATGATTTCAAAAGAAATTTTGCGATTTAAAGCAATTCTGAAGATATTGGTCAATGGCCAAAAGCTGGCCGATTGGTAGCTGGTCGATTTTAGCCAGTTCGCTAACGAAGAATGGAAAACTTCAAAATACAGAGTTAATTCTGGGACACACAGCGATGATTTCAAAGGGAATTTTGCGATTTCAAGGAATTCCGAAACTATTAGTCAAAAGTGAAAAATAGCCAATTGAATCGAAAAAGAAAAATTTAAAACTGAAAAGCTGACTCGAAAGCAATAACTCGTCTCTTCGCCGTCCCAAATTGTCCTAAAATTGAAAATTTCGTTTTTCTGAAAAAATCAAGCCAACCTTGGAAGTGGGAATTTCCGTCGAATCCGGTACTTCCCCACCGCGCCTAACTCTCGACCGCGCATCTTTTCGGCCTTTAAGTTGATTGAAAAACATTTTGAGTCGAACTCACCTCATTGTAATGCGCCCTCAGCCAGAGCTCTTGCAGCTGTTGGTGGTATTCTGGAGAAAAAACGTGTTGCTCGAGCAGCCGATAGAGTTCCTAAAAATTCTGTGTGATCCAAAAAGCGAATCAATTTTTCGACACAAAATCCCCGGGTTCTGGCACGCACTTTGTAATTCCCGCGATGGAAAGCGATGAGCGCGTGCGCTTTAAGCAAGCTCTCATTTCTCCTGTGCTCCTCCCGCTGGGGCAAAGACCAAACAAAAGAGGCCTAAAGTTAATTTCTTTTTGCTGAAGCTCTAAATTGGCATGCACAACGGGGTTTCTGACCCAGTACCAATCGTTCAACTTCATTCGTGAGCGCCTCACAGATACAAGTGATCTGATCAGGTGAATAAAAATTGTCGATAGTATTCAATCTAAAGCAAATTCTTAATTCTGATAGCTCTCCTGATAGCTGAAGAATCCAAGCTCTCCAAAAAACGCTTATTTTTAAGATTCCCATAAAACAAAACCTTGAATACGACGGTGAGACTAAATAGGAGAGAAGTGGTTGACCGAGTCCCGAGTCCATGGTCGTTTCTCAAGAATTCCAAAAAACAATGAGTACTTTGTTGCTTCGAGTTTTCATTCTGGATCGCACAAGGCATTTTCCTAGAGAAAGTTTTTCGAAAAAATGAAAACCAAAAAAACGACAGCTGACGCCTAGCTTGTCTACTGTAAGTTTTCCCGAGAGAGCTTCAGTTTTTCATTTTTTACTCGTTTTTCCTTCAAATTGGCTATCACACATTTATTCAAGGCAAAAAAAAAGTGAAAGCTGAGCGTTTAAAAGTTTAAAAAAATTGTAGTAAAATCGTTGAAATCGAAAAAATTGAAAAACAAGTACATTGAAAAAAAAGTGGTTTATTTGAAAGCAACTGAAAAGTAGTGACTAAAGAGAGTGGTTTCTGGATATCACAGGATTTAAATCTTAAATAATTCGCTTAAAATTGCATTAGAAATTTAGATTGCAAAAATAAATAAGGTATTCAATTAGTTAGACTAGCTGAAAAACGGCATTACGATATTTGGGCAAAGTTTAAAAAGCTCGAATTTTCAAAAAAGGCTATTTTTTTGATTTTAAACATTACCAATAGTTGGAAATAGAGCAGAACAAAAAATTAAAAAATTAAAAAAATTAAAAAATGAAAAAAACAAAAAATGAAAAAAAGACACTTTTTAGAAAAAGGCACAAAATAAAATTTACATTGATGAGGTTACGGTAGAAAAATTGTAGAAAAGTTTAATGAAAGATTTTCGAGATTTTCTTTCATGAATTAGATACAGTGTGTTCCAGATCGGTGGAATAAGTAGATGAAAAGATTTTCAGTTTAGAGTTAAGCGATGATTTGCGGGCGAACGATGCTTTCGCTGACGAGACTCAATTTTGTTTCTTGGACGGGAGAGGGGAGACGAGGGGACACTTCCTAGAATGAATAGAGAATTAGCAGGCCAGGACAGCCAAGCCTCCTAGGACAGCCAAGCCTCCTAGGACAGCCAAGCCTCCTAGGACAGCCAAGCCTCCTAGGACAGCCAAGCCTCCTAGGACAGCCAAGCCTCCTAGGACAGCCAAGCCTCCTAGGACAGCCAAGCCTCCTAGGACAGCCAAGCCTCCTAGGACAGCCAAGCCTCCTAGGACAGCCAAGCCTCCTAGGACAGCCAAGCCTCCTAGGACAGCCAAGCCTCCTAGGACAGCCAAGCCTCCTAGGACAGCCAAGCCTCCTAGGACAGCCAAGCCTCCTAGGACAGCCAAGCCTCCTAGGACAGCCAAGCCTCCTAGGACAGCCAAGCCTCCTAGGACAGCCAAGCCTCCTAGGACAGCCAAGCCTCCTAGGACAGCCAAGCCTCCTAGGACAGCCAAGCCTCCTAGGACAGCCAAGCCTCCTGGGACAGCCAAGCCTCCTAGGCAGCCAAGCCTCCTAGGACAGCCAAGCCTCCTAGGACAGCCAAGCCTCCTAGGACAGCCAAGCCTCCTAGGACAGCCAAGCCTCCTAGGACAGCCAAGCCTCCTAGGACAGCCAAGCCTCCTAGGACAGCCAAGCCTCCTAGGACAGCCAAGCCTCCTAGGACAGCCAAGCCTCCTAGGACAGCCAAGCCTCCTAGGACAGCCAAGCCTCCTAGGACAGCCAAGCCTCCTAGGACAGCCAAGCCTCCTAGGACAGCCAAGCCTCCTAGGACAGCCAAGCCTCCTAGGACAGCCAAGCCTCCTAGGACAGCCAAGCCTCCTAGGACAGCCAAGCCTCCTAGGACAGCCAAGCCTCCTAGGACAGCCAAGCCTCCTAGGACAGCCAAGCCTCCTAGGACAGCCAAGCCTCCTAGGACAGCCAAGCCTCCTAGGACAGCCAAGCCTCCTAGGACAGCCAAGCCTCCTAGGACAGCCAAGCCTCCTAGGACAGCCAAGCCTCCTAGGACAGCCAAGCCTCCTAGGACAGCCAAGCCTCCTAGGACAGCCAAGCCTCCTAGGACAGCCAAGCCTCCTAGGACAGCCAAGCCTCCTAGGACAGCCAAGCCTCCTAGGACAGCCAAGCCTCCTAGGACAGCCAAGCCTCCTAGGACAGCCAAGCCTCCTAGGACAGCCAAGCCTCCTAGGACAGCCAAGCCTCCTAGGACAGCCAAGCCTCCTAGGACAGCCAAGCCTCCTAGGACAGCCAAGCCTCCTGGGACAGCCAAGCCTCCTAGGACAGCCAAGCCTCCTGGGACAGCCAAGCCTCCTGGGACAGCCAAGCCTCCTGGGACAGCCAAGCCTCCTGGGACAGCCAAGCCTCCTGGGACAGCCAAGCCTCCTGGGACAGCCAAGCCTCCTGGGACAGCCAAGCCTCCTGGGACAGCCAAGCCTCCTGGGACAGCCAAGCCTCCTGGGACAGCCAAGCCTCCTGGGACAGCCAAGCCTCCTGGGACAGCCAAGCCTCCTGGGACAGCCAAGCCTCCTGGGACAGCCAAGCCTCCTGGGACAGCCAAGCCTCCTAGGACAGCCAAGCCTCCTAGGACAGCCAAGCCTCCTAGGACAGCCAAGCCTCCTAGGACAGCCAAGCCTCCTAGGACAGCCAAGCCTCCTAGGACAGCCAAGCCTCCTAGGACAGCCAAGCCAACTAGATCTGTTGGCAATGGACAAGGCAATGAACAGACAGGCCTAGTTCTGGCTCTAGCTCAAAGCTCTAGCCTTACCTTAGACGAGTCGGAGACCGGTGTCTCAATTGGAGTGCTTTCTTTCACTGGAGAGGGTTCTTTCTCTCTTTTTTCATCCTCCTCGACCTCATCGCTTCCTTGATTTGTCAATTTTTCAATGAAAACCTCATCTTTTTCATTGACGCGTTGCTCTCGGCGCTCTTGCTTCACCACCTGAAAATAAACTTTATATATTTCCCTATTGATTCCCTATGTGCTCACTTTGTTCACGAGTTGATAAACAACATTTTTCACCGCATGATTATCGCTCTCTCGTCGCTGTCGGGGTTTCTAAAAGCTTTGAGCATAATATGAGATGCAAATCTTCCCCGAGCGAAACCCCAATCGCTCGAAATTTGTGGATTTCAGTGAAACAAAAGAGAGCTCTAGTGTAATGTGCTTTTTCCCCCAAAAATTAGCCATATTATGAACAAGTGACATCCAGAACGGCCATTTTGTTCAAAAAATCTGTTTTAAAGCTTTTCTAGAGGTAGTTTTCGAACCAGCTACAATTCTGCCTACTTTACCTATAATGTGTTGGTGTTAGCTAGCCTAAATTATTGTAGTTGGCTAGAATAAGTGACATCCAGAACGGCCATTTTGTTCAAAAAATCTGTTTCAAAGCTTTTCTAGAGTTAATTTTTCAACCAGCTACAATTCTGCCTACTGTACCTACATGTGTTGATGTTAGCTGCCCTAAATTCTTGTAGTTAGCTAAAACAAGTGACATCCAGAACGGCCATTTTATTCAAAAAATCTCTTCCAAAGCTTTTCTAGAGCTAATTTTCAACCCAGCTACAATTCTGCCTACTGTGCCTATAATATTTTGACTTTAGCTAGCCTAAATTCTTTTAGCTAGCTAGAACAAGTGACATCCAGAAAGGCCATTTTGTTCAAAAAATCTGTTCCAAAGCTTTTCTAGAACCAATTTTTGAACCAGCTACAATTCTGATATTTTGTCTTACCTAATAGGACAGGCAGTTTACCCCAAAACCAACTAACTGATCGAGAATTTCAAAAGAATCTCCAAAACCCACTCCCTTCTCAACATTGTTGTTGTTTTCTTGTCGCTGCTCTCCTCCGCTCACCCTCTGCACACGATCATGGCGTTTTTGCCACTCTCCGCGATGAGCACCCGATTTTGAATCATTCTAGGGAAACTATGGATACCAGGGAAACGAAATTACTAGATTTTTGATCTCAATTTTGAAGTCTGACTTCTTTCCATTTTGGCCATTCATTCTAGTTTTGTCGGTAGAAGTTCTTTCCTAAAAGATATTACAATAATGATATCCAATTAGAAATAAGCCAGGGTTTACGGTAATCAAAAGCTGCTTTAGCTATAGGATTGTTTGTACTTGTCGGTTAGAGATCCACAAAGACTCATTCCCGGTTAAGCATCCCCATGCAAGTTTTCTCGGTTATCGATTTTCGTTCGACTGATCGACTGAGCCCTTCAGGCACTCTACTTCACTGAACATCATCGTCATCATCACCCCTCACAAGTTGTCTGCCGGTTAAGCGCCCGAGTTAAGCGCCCCGAGTTAAGCGCCCCAGTTAAGCGCCCCGGTTAAGCGCCCTGGTTAAGCGCGCCGGTTAAGCGCCCCAGTTAAGCGCCCCGGTTAAGCGCCCTGGTTAAGCGCCCTGGTTAAGCATCCTCTCACAGTCTTAACCGACAAGTACTTGCTTAACCGAGTTGAGTCTCTGCATTCTCTGTGAATGTCTAACCGAGTACCGCATTCTCTTGCAACTCTTTCCTCAAACCTTATCAAAAGAAATCCTTCCCGCCAATCGTGCTCCCAAATTTGGTCCATCTCCCCGTTTCTGATCATTCTTTAATTGAAGATTCTGTCGCTCATTTCTTTCATTCCTTTGCGACCGTTGACTATTGTTGTGTCCATTTGTTTGCATTGGACGATCCCCTCCATGCGATCCATGCGATCCATCGCTTCTCTTCCGACCCTGCCCTCCACCGCCACCTAGAAATTTATTGTCACCACTAGAAGCCAGTCTTAAACCCTAAACTATCAGACAAATCCTATCAGCCTCTATTTTGACCGAGATTTCGAAAGATTTAAAAATTTAAACCGAAATTTGTGCAAGCTGGAATGCACTGAAAATGATGGGGGAAAAAGTTCAATGAAAAGAGATTTTGTTAAAAGTCGGTTTGGAGCTCGCTTTAAGTTCAAAGCTGTTTTTCCGTAAAAATCAGTGATTTTTTTGGATTTTTCAAAAAAATTCGGCCATCCTGGATGTCATGTAAGCTAAAAATTTTGAGAATTGACGAATTTGGGTAATTCTCGAATTTGGGTAATTCTCGAATTTGACACTCAACTCCGGTTCAAGTTCGGCGCTGTTTTGCTGGAAAAATCAGTGATTTTTTGAATTTTTCAAAAAAATTTGGCGGTCCTGGATGTCACACAAGCTAAAGATTTTGAGAATAGATTCAATAGGACCGGGCTAATGATCAGGGTCCTGGGTCTGGCCTGGCCCTGAGTCTGACCCTGAGCCTAAGCTTAGCCTAAGCCTAGCCTTAGCCTAGCCTAAGCCTAGCCTTAGCCTAGCCTTAGCTTAGCCTAGCCTAACCTTAACCAGACTCTTCCCTGCTTACAGACGCCTTCCCCACTCACCATCATAGCGTTTCCGATCAGTCAACTCCATCGACGGGACATTCTCACGCCATTGCTCTGCTCTGAAAACTTTGACGATTGCAAAGCTGAATCTGGATCTCACTCTGATCTGATCTGATCTGATCGACCCCTTGGAACTCACGGTGTTTTCCCCTTGTCCCACTCTCGATCCCAAGCGCCTTTTCCGGTTTTATTGCCCGAAGTTGAGCTAGGAGGGGACTGAAAATTGAAAATTGAAAATTTCGAGATTTCAACTCAAATTTGAATCCAATAGCCCTAGTGAGCTCCAGATCGAAAGAAAAATTCAACAAATCTTTAGCCAACTTGAAGAATTCTCGAGAAATTCTCACCTTTTCGGTCTTTTTCTGCTCGCCACCACCGTTCGCTTGAATTCGATCGGCCTCAATCTCCTGAATTTTAAAATCTTTCAATTAGACATCCAGGATTAGGAAATTTATGGAAAATCTATGGAAAATTCGTTTTCATAAAAAAATTGACTGTTTTTCTCGAAGACAATTTCTCGGAGTTGAAGAGAAAACTCAAAAATTACAAAATTATCAAATTCTCCTTTTCCAATCCAAATTTCCAATCCAATCCTTACCCTTAGCCTTAGCCTTAGCCTAGCCTTAGCCTAGCCTTAGCCTAGCCTTAGCCTAGCCTTAGCCTAAACTTGGCCTTCCCTGCTTACAGGCACCGTTTTTCTCCTATCCTTTTTCTCCAAATTCTCCTCATTCCAAATTCTCCTCATCCCAAATTTCCCAATTTCTTCTTAACCCACTTGTGCTCGTTTCTGGATTCGCTGGTTTTTCTCGCGAATCTCGGCGATTTTTCGATCAAGCGCCACCTCGTCCTCTTGGCTGCGGACGCGTTCCCCCATTCCTGGAAAGAAAATTACGAATTTAAAAACTTTTTTGCTCTTTCTGGAAGTCACAAAGGTAAATAGTCGTTTTAGAATTCAGAAAAAAAAAAAAAAAAAAAAAGAAAAAAACTTTTTCATATCAAAATATTTTTTCCCCAATTTTTCCATATCGATAAAAGATCGAATCTAATAGTCAAAAGAGCAGAAAAGAATGATTGTGAGCACAAAAGAGACAATGAGGGAATGGGGAAAAGGGATTTGTTCGTGTGGACGTCAATCACTCGATGGGGAGAGCGGCTACCACCCTTTGATCACCTAGAGTCCTACTTTTTTTTCAACTTGTACAAATGACACCTTTTAACGATCAGAGATCAATATGTGCCCTCCAGAATGTCTGAAATGATAAATAGAAAAGTTTGTTATAAACAAAAAACGAAAGAAATCCCTTTGATCAATTTTCGCTCTACTCCCTTCAACGAATTCTTTCTTTAGTCAATTGCTGATAATTAGAAATCGATGAGTGACCTCCAGAATGAAATAAACAATTGATGAAAAGCGTTTAAACTATCAGAAAAATGTTTAAATCTCTTTGATAAAGTAACGCTGAAAAAATTGATGGAAAAAAGCTAAATTTTCTCTAAATTTTGCCAAAAATAGCTTCAGTGTGCTCCAGCTTTGACTAAAACAATGCAAAGATGAGCAAATAATGTGAATGATTGAGGGGAAAAGGGGGTGTACATGAAATCAATAGGGAACGACCGATCGAAAGGGCGAACGGGCAGAGAAAAGAGGCGAAAGGAAACGGGGAAACGCTCAGGGAAATGAGAAAAATGAGAAAACTGCAGGGGAAAACGAGAGAAAAACGGGGCGGAGATTGGGCAAATGCGAGAGGTTTTGCGTTTTCCGCGTTTCGTCGCATAGCTTTGACAGTTTTCCCGGCATTTGTGGTGATAATTTTCAAAAATTTAACCGAATTCACGAATTCTCAAAATCTTTAGCTTGTGTGACACCCAGGATCGCCGAATTTTTTTGAAAAATCCAAAAAATCATCGATTTTTCCGGCAAAACAACGTTGAACTTGAACGCGAATGTCAAAATTCGAAAATCCTTCGAATTCGTCAATTCCCGAAATTTTTAGATTTAGTGACACCCAGGATCGCTGAATTTTTTTGAAAAATCCATGAAATCACCGATTTTTCCAGCAAAATCGCGCTGAACTTGAACCGGGGTTGAGTGTCAAATTCGAAAATTCCGCAAATCCGTCAATTCCCGAAATTTTTAGATTTAGTGACATCCAGGATGGCCGAATTTTTTTGAAAAATCCAAAAAATCATTCGTTTTTACGGAAAAACAGCGCTGAACTTGAACCGGAGTTGAGTGTCAAATTCGAGAATTACCCAAATTCGTCAATTCTCAAAATTTTTAGCTTACATGACATCCAGGATGGCCGAATTTTTTTGAAAAATCCAAAAAAATCACTGATTTTTACGGAAAAACAGCTTTGAACTTAAAGCGAGCTCCAAACCGACTTTTAACAAAATCTCTTTTCATTGAACTTTTTTCCCCATCATTTTCAGTGCATTCCAGCTTGCACAAATATCGGTTTAAATTTTAAAATCTTACGAAATCTCGGTCAAAATAGAGGCTGATAAGATTTGTTGAAGGAAAAATAGAGAAAACAGAGAAAACACCTCACCGCGACACCCAAACTATCAAAAAGAAAGAAAAGAAAAGAAAACTGACCGACTGAGTCGACCGGAGAACCGGAGAAATGGTGAGTGCACGGGGCCCAATCAAAAAAGACAACCGATCAGCGACCGGCCGAAAGTTTGTCAACAGAGGCTGGTAGGATTTTGAGGGAAAAGAAGCGCTTTGGGGACTCGGCGAAATGAAAGAAAACAAGAAATGGTCAAGCTGGATGTCAGTTTGGACTCTGGTAGTGATAGAAATAGTAGTTGCTCACAAAAATGGAGTTGGAATTGTAGGAGTTGGAGAGGAGGTGACTCTGGGGCTCTGAAAGCTGTCCGGGAAAATTAAAAAGATTAGAAATGGGCAAGCTGGATGTCAGGCTTGAGTTTGGGGGCGTTGGAGAAAGCAGTTGATGCCAAAAACTTTGGTACTATCATTGCAGTCAGAGTTGAGGCTGCAAGAGCTGAAGTAAGCCTTAAAACAGAAAGCTACAGAAAGAATGTTTGCTAAACTCGTTGTGCACTCCAGCTAGCCGATTAAATTCTTTAAAACTCCAAATTGGGTAATTAATCGGATTTTTTGAGCTCAAAGTCAATTCTCTTTAAATCAAAATTTTTTTTTTTATAAAACTTTGAATTTTCTCTTTGATTTTAACGCTTTGACATCCATAATTGTTAAATTTTTTCTTAAAAATCTCTTTTTTTTTTAACCTATTTAGCTTTTTCTCATTAGAACACTGATCAAATTTTCTTTTATTGCTTTGGGTTGGGTTGATGGAAAAGTCCTTTCGGATTTTTTGGGAGAGTACCTTAAATTTGTCGAATTTTGACGTTTTATAGCTCATCCTAAAGCTGAATTCAAGACGGATCGATTGATAAAAACCGTTTTTGTGCGAACTTTGGCTGGAAAACTTTTTTTTAAAGGCAAAAACGAAGGAAAATCGCGAAAAGCGGCGGAAAGGCTATTGATCTGAGGGTCGCTGGTTCGACTCCCACCGGTGACAATATTTTTCAAAAATTTTTTGCTAAGATTCTGAAAATGCGTGTCTAGGGGTTATTTTTGACGCTGATCACGAAACACATGTTTTTAGCCTACGTTTCTGCACGGAAAACTAACGAAACGTGAAAATAGCCATTTTTTGGCTGTTTTTGGCTCTGCCGCCCTTTACTAAAATAGCTGTAAAAACTTTTCGAAAAGAGATATCTCAAAACGGTTTTTACCAATCGATCCGTCTTGAATTCAGCTTTAGGATCAGCTATAAAACGTTTTTGTTTAGGTTCGCTTTCAATATGGATGCTAAAAAGAGGCGCACTATGATACTTGAGTTGCACAAAGCCGGAAAGATACCGATGGAGATTGTTCGAGTCACCGGATATCCAAAAAAGTCTGTCTATCGAGCCATTGAACGATTCAAGGAGCGGGGCAACGATCAGGACCGTCCAAAAAGCGGTCGACCAACCACAGTCGTCACTCCAGAGAACACAAACAAAGTCAGAGGCCGAATCCGTCGAAATCCCACTCGTTCAATGAGAAAGATGGCCACAAGCCTCGGAATCAGCGAAAGAAGTGTTCGAAGGATTGTTCATAAGAAACTTGGAATGTTCAGCTACAAATTTGCTCGGGCTCATTTCCTGAACGACGCCATGAAGCAAAAGAGGATGGCTAAAGCGAAGAAGATGTTGCACCTGGTCGCTGCTGGTCGTTTGAACAAGGTTGTGTTCACAGATGAGAAGATCTTCACCGTTCAAGCGATCCACAATCGTCAAAACCATCGCCAACTTCTCAAGCAAGGTCTGAAAAACACTTTTGCAGCCAAATTGATGGTCCGCCAACATTTTCCGAAGTCCGTTATGGTGTGGGCCGGCATCTGTGCCACAGGAAAGACGCCTCTTGTGTTCATCGATCGAAATGTGAAAATCAACGCTACGGTCTACCAGCAAAAGGTGTTAAAGGATGTCTTAGAGCCCTGGGCAGCGAATCATTTCGGACAAACTGGATTTACCCTTCAGCAGGACTGGGCGCCGGCCCATGGAGCTCGCTCGACTCTCGCTCTCTGCAATCAGCTGTTTTCGGGCTACTGGGGTAAGGACATTTGACCGTCGAATAGCCCCGATTTGAACCCCCTGGACTTCTCCGTTTGGTCGATCTTGGAAGACAAGATCTCTGGCAAGAGATTTCACCCCGTGGATTCTTTGAAAGCCGCTTTGAAGAGGGCCTGGGCTGAAATCACTGTTCAGCAATGCGCGACCATCGTCGGCAACTTCCGCAAGCGATTGAAGAAGTGCATCGAGGCCAAGGGTGGAAATTTTGAACATTTTTTATGATTTTTTTGTTAGTTTTGTCTTCAATAAACAATTTGTTATCGTTTTTGCCAAAGTTTGCAACTTTTATTTCTCTTCGAAAAAGTGTCAGAACTTTTGTCGCACCCTGTAGATGAAAATTTTGTGCTTAATTAGCTCAAATTTTGCTTAAATTTGTTCAATTTTCAGAAAACTTGCGAAATGAGATTTTTCTGAGAACTGAGAACTGAGATTTCTGAATGGCTAGCTAGGGAAAGAAGGAAAGAAAAGGGGGAAAACTACAAATCACCGGTCAATCACTTGAGTAAATGAAGCAAAAACGAAAAAAACTGACTTTCCCACTACAAAATTCAAAAAAAAATCTAAGTATTATGGCAAACATTTAACCTCAAAAAAACCCCAAACCCTTCACTTACTTCTATTTCAAAAGTTTACCCAATTTTCTTTGAAAATCATTTTAATCGCTTCTCTAAAAATTCCCTATTCTAAATAGGCACTTTTTAGGACCTTTTTTAGGACCTTTCTAGATTCTGGATGTCTTTTTAGGACCGTACTCCAGAATGAAATGAAAATTGGCGAAAATTCCCATTTTTCAAATCATTTTCTGAATTTCTACGTCAACTGACATCCAGAATGACTGAATTCGGCAAAATTTTCATTTTCGAACAATTTCCCATTCTTAAAATGTAGCGAGAACAAAACGGCGAAAAACCAAATTTTTAGAATCTCATCAAAATCCTCATTTCTTTATATTTTTATGCTCTGTGACATCCAGAATGACTGAATTCTGCGAAATTTTCATTTTCTAACAATTCCCTATTCTTAAAATGTAACAAGAACGAAGCGGCGAAAAACCAAATTTTCAAAATCTCAGCTAAATCCTTATTTCTTTAATTCTTTATGCTTTGTGACATCCAGAATGACTGAATTCTACAAAATTCCCATTGTCTAACAATTTCCCATTCTTAAAATGTAGCGAGAACGAAGCGGCGAAAAATCAAATTTTTAGAATCTCATCAAAATCCACATTTCTTTAATTTTTTAGGCTTTGTGACATCCAGAATGCTTAAATTTTGTGAAATTTTCATTTGCTAGGAATTCCACAATCTTAAAATCTAACGAGAACAAAACGGCGAAAAACCAAATTTTTAGAATCTCCTCAAAATCTTTATTTTTTAAATCTTTATGCTTTGTGACATCCAGAATAAGCAAAACTTTCACTTTGCAAACTTTTTGACAACTTTTAAAGATAGTTTTCCTCTCGTTAAACTTTCGGTGACTCAGTTTAGACTAATCCGCTCAAAAAAAGGGGGGAAAACATGAAACGTTTCAAAATTTCACGAAAATTTTTATAAACTCATTTTCAGATCACTCAAAATGCACGGGTTTTTTCGATTTTCGGCGTTTTTTATTTATTTTCTTCTTTCTGTAGAAGCTGATTTAATCTCGATGTTAAAAAGAACAAAACGAGCTCCACAATACAATGAACAGGTACGTACTTTGGAGTGTCACGGAAATTGTCGTCTGGCGTACAGAAAAGCTAATTTAAAGCTCTAATTTAAGCTCAAAATCCCTGTTTTTCTTTAAAAAAAAAAGGGAGAAACGATGTTTAGCTAAAAATATTTGGATTAGTTATCGATTTCGACTTTTCAATTTTTTTTAATCATCAAATTGGAACGCACAACAAATTCTGTAAATAAAAAATTCTTGATTTTAACAATTTTAAAAAAAATCGAAATCGAAATTCTTACACCCATGCACAAAAAAAATGTCACATCGTTTTTACAAAACTTTACGCCTAAATTTGACCTACTAAACGTGTTCCAAATTCTATGCTGTCAAAAGGTTTTAGATAGCAAAAAGCTTCTACTTTCTTGTGAAAAAGTGTTCAAGTTCCAGCAATTTGTTTAAATTTTTATTTTTCAATAAATACCGGAAGAACACCAAAAACGGGTGCACACAAAAAAATGTCACATTTAACTTGAACCTGCTTTTTTTCCGTTTTACTTTTTTTTGATTGCATTCTTTTATGCTAATTTTTTAAATTTTAGAATGGTAAAATCACAGCTCTCAACGCCAGACAAAGAAAAGATTGTTGAAGCAAGGAAACAAGGAATCCCGCGGAAACAGGTGGCCGAGCTGTTCAAATGTGATGTAAGAACCGTTTCTCGCATTGCTGCGAAGTCGAGAACGACTGGAAATTTGCACAGGACACCAGGAAGTGGACGGCCACCAGCCACTACACCACGCGAAGACAAGGCTTTGATTTTGGCGCACAATAAGGACCCGAATCTTAACGCGTCGGATGGTGTTTGCCTCATCAAGCAACAATTCGGCAAGGATATCAATCGAATGACAGTGAGCCGACGCTTGAATCGAGCAGGATTGATAACTAGAAGGGCCGCCAAGAAGCCTCTGATGGTTGCCAAGCACAGGAAGATCCGACTCGAGTTCGCAAAAAAAAAGTACCAAAGTTGGACGCCGAATGACTGGGCCAATGTCATTTTCACCGATGAGTCGAAGATCAATCTCTTCAACCCTAATGGCAATCACTTGATCCGGAGACCAGTTGGACAACGCCATAACATCAAATACTTGCGGCCGACAGTCAAATTTGGTGGCGGATCGATTATGCTATGGGGTAAAAGACTTGTTCCCTTATGTCAACTAATCTTGCTTTTTTTCAGGAGCGACGACTAGAAGTTCACCAGGTCCGCTCGTCTTTCTCAACTCAACCTTGAAGGCCCAGCGGTACAAGACGATCCTGGAGAATGATCTTCTTTCATTTGCGACCACGAATATGGGACAAGGATGGTTGTTGTACCAGGATAACGCTCCGTGTCACAAGCACCAGATGTTGATAGGAAGGGTCGGACGACTTTCAAACGGTGGAAGGGCTCGTTTACCGGGATGGTTCGCTGACAATCGTGTCAAGCTCGTCGCTGCTCCACCTTACAGCCCGGATCTCAACGTAATCGAGCATTTGTGGTCGCACATCAAGGGTAAACTGGAGGGCAAACGATTTGCGACCAAGGTTGAGCTTTGGTACTTCATTCGAAGCGGAAGATTTGAGGATCCTCTTGGAGGATTTGACTGATTCGATGCCACGGAGGATTCAGGCAGTTATTCAAGCTAAGGGAGGCCCGACAAAATATTAGATTTTTGTTTTTATCAATTTTTATTTTATGTGTGACATTTTTTTTTGTGCACCCGTTTTTGGTGTTCTTCCGGTATTTATTGAAAAATAAAAATTTAAACAAATTGCTGGAACTTGAACACTTTTTCACAAGAAAGTAGAAGCTTTTTGCTATCTAAAACCTTTTGACAGCATAGAATTTGGAACACGTTTAGTAGGTCAAATTTAGGCGTAAAGTTTTGTAAAAACGATGTGACATTTTTTTTGTGCATGGGTGTATTCTCTGAATTTTCATAAACTTTTCTAGTCTAGCGCATTGGTTTATGAAAGATAAAAGAGCGTTCTGTGCGTTCCAGATTGAGCTTTGCTATGTTCGATTTAGCAAAGAAAGCATTTTAAACGTCTAGAATTGAATCCGATTCAGGAGGCTCGAAAATACTTCCAATTCTCGGCTGCCGCCTATGCGGAGACTCCAGAGAAATGCTTGATGAAGTGAGAACTAGTCTTAGAACTCGTTTTTCTCCTCTAAATTCAATCTCTCTCTTCAGCGCTTTCCCAATGAACGAAAATCGTCAATTGATTAATATAATGACAGCCTCGTGTGATGTGATCTCATCTCTTTGCTCTGGTTATATTGTTAAATCCGATTCCCTGCAAGAGTTGACGATCGTTTTTCGGGGTTTGTTGCTCGATCTGGAAAGCACAGCAGTGATCATGAAAGTTTCTAGGCACGAAAACGCAAGAGCAACTTTTACTTGAAGGTTGGTCAACACTGACACCACAAAAGGACTTTTTCGGAATCGGATCAGTGAGTTTTTAGAAGTTTAAAGTCAAAGCTGGATGTCACAATGTGATTTGAAATGCAAAACTCCATCTTAAACCGTAATCGAAAAATTCAACACTCCACCATATACTAAACTCGAATTTCAGGTGAACGCCTATTTTTTCCGGGCTCATAACTTACTCTGGGATTCCGTGGGTGCGGCGCTGATGAATCCGGCTTGGAAGGTAAAAGAAGAAGCTTGTTTTACTGTACTTTGTAGCTTGTACTGTACATTGTAGCATTGTACTTTGATCTCATTTCTATTTTAGAAGTATCGTGTCGTCTTCACGGGGCATTCCCTGGGTGCAGCACTTGCAGCTCTTGCCGCCGCGAGAACTGTGGCTCAAAGTAAGTTCAAGAGAACCAAGCAGGCCCGGCCAGGCTGGCTCTAGGCTAGCCTTTGATGCTGATCCCTAGATCCGCAAAAGTCAGCCTAAATCTTCTCAGCTCTGGCATGGCTTACCGGTCCTGCTATGGCTTGCCGGCCCTGCCTCATTCTTGGATCTTTTCACAGATTTACCTGACTTTGGCCCAAGTCTTAGCCGGGAAGCAGAGCTTTTAATTTGCATTTTTCAAGTCATTGTCTGAATTTCTACGTCAACTGACATCCAGAATGATTAAATTTTATGAAATTCTCATTGTCTAACAATTCCCTATTCTTAAAATGTAAAGAGAACGAAGCGGCGAAAAACTAAATTTTCAAGATTTCATCAAAATCCACATTTCTTTAATTCTTTATGCTTTGTGACATCCAGTTTGGGGAAAACTTTCACTTTTTAAAGTTATGGTGATTTTTAAAGATGGTTTCAAACTTTTTGCAAGCAATTCAGGCACATTGGATTGGTCAATATGCTAAAATCAGGCAAGAGCTGACCAGAGACTAACCCTAGGTCTGGTTCCAGGTCTGGCTCCAGATCTGGTTCCAGGTCTGGCTCCAGATCTGGTTCCAGGTCTGGTTCCAGGTCTGGTTCCAGGTCTGGCTCCAGGTCTGGTTCCAGCTCTGGTTCCAGGTCTGGTTTCAGCTCTGGTTCCAGGTCTGGTTTCAGCTCTGGTTCCAGGTCTGGTTTCAGCTCTGGTTCCAGGTCTGGTTTCAGCTCTGGTTCCAGGTCTGGTTTCAGCTCTGGTTCCAGGTCTGGTTTCAGCTCTGGTTCCAGGTCTGGTTTCAGCTCTGGTTCCAGGTCTGGTTTCAGCTCTGGTTCCAGGTCTGGTTTCAGCTCTGGTTCCAGGTCTGGTTTCAGCCTGGTTCCAGGTTTGGTTTCAGCTCTGGTTCCAGGTCTGGTTTCAGGTCTGGTTCCAGGTCTAAAGACTTCTTTTTAACCCCAAACAGTTCAATTTCTCGATATCTAATGAAGATTTACAAAAATAAAGATCAAACTGAGGTAAAAAATGCAAATTTTCTCAGATCTCCGTGCCGGAAATCAAGTAAAAGTGATAACTTTCGGCGAACCGCGCGTTGGCAGTGTGATTTTCGCGAAAAATTTCGATCAGATGATCCCCGATTCGTGAGTTTTCCTCAAAAAATCTCCGAAAAAACAAAAATCTCCGAGATTTAGCTGGCGAATCGTTTTCCGCAAAGATGTTGTCGCCCATTTGCCCGGATGTAAGTCATTTTTTTTAAAATCCTGGAGCGCACAAAGACTTTTAGGCGTAAAAGATTTCATGAATGGAACGATTGACAAGGACGCGAGTTTACCGTGTGATCCCAATAATCTCATTCGATCGTATCATCACAGCACAGAGATCTGGTACGCAGTATGGCTTGCACTAGACTACACTTGCACTACCGTAACCTTCTAGTATCTAATTATGGAGAGTAGAAACTATTGCATCTATTAGGTTGATGCATAAGTCTTTTTGTTCCTTTTCGTCTGCCTTTTCAAGCCAACAAATGCACGAATTAAACTACGGTTGATTTCATTAGAAAAAGCAATTATTTTTCTACAAAATAACATTAAAACGGGTTTAAAAATATTTTATGCCTGGATTTTCTTGAGAGTATCAAGTCGGGTAGTCAAAAAGGGCTAACTCGATGATGCGGTTTAGACACCTTAAAAAAAAATACCGACTGGGGCTACCAGTGGTGAATTTATCGCATACACGAAATATATCAATCACAATACAACGACACACACAATACTAGGCTAGATCTTAATTTAACCCACGTCATGACAGACGGCTCCCTAACCCTAAGCTCAATGGGGAACTAAATAGCTTTTTTGGTGGTGAAGGGAAGGTGACGATGAAGGAGTGGCTTGTCACTTTAAAGAACTGGGGCCACAACCACCAGACTGCCCTCCAGAAAACCTCTCAACCCGAAGGGAAAGGAAATCCGAAGGGGGTGACCATGTCGCATGTGGGGTTCGAACCCTCGACCTTCCGATTAAGATAAAAGACACTTAGCCAGTCAGCCACACGTGCATTAGCTAAAGAAAATCTATCTTCGTGTCAATAGATAAAAGATAGAGAAAAAAAACGTTTGATATTTCGCCAAAATTTCAGAGAAATTCATTCAGCCAATTTTTTCGTAGAGTTTTTTTTTATAGATTTTTACGAAAAAGGCGTTTTTTCACTCTCGAATTTGCTTGAAAGTGAACCGAAATTCATTTAAAAAGATGCAAATTGAACAAAAAAAAAACACTTTTTTTTTTATAGAGCAAACTATAGATTAATTGGTGAATTTGTTACTTTTTAACAGAAGTACGAAAAAAAACGAAAAGACTTATGCATCAACCAATTACTTCAAATAAGAGCTTTTTGAATATCGTACTCTCAGTGACCGTAGCTACCGTAATACTCCATTATAGTTTACACTAGAGCTACAGTAATCCTCTAGTATGTAATTATGGATGTCACAGCGCACAGTACCCCACTAGGACCCAGCTGTTACAGTACCTCAACCCTAGAACTACAGTAGGATTCTATGCAACAGTTACACCATCCGGCTTACAGTACCCTGGCTTACCGAGCCAAGATTTACAGTGCTCAGTCTGCGCCCAGCCTTTTTTGATCTCTAGGAGACAAGATGGTTACCGTGCCAGACTTCTAAACAGTTACGGTGCTTTTAAGTGTACAGTAAGCGTCTGTGGCCATTTACCGTTTCTCTTTAGGTATCCAGAATGCATGGAACCTGGCTGTCAATACAGAGTGTGCACCGGTTTGCCGAAAGGCGAGGATTTCTCGTGCTCCGATCTTTACAAATTCGATCTAGCACAATCGAATTCGTATATCTGGGATCATCGGCACTATTTCGGGATCAAGGTAAGATTTTTTTAATAAATATTTGACACAAATTTAGCTTTAAGTTTAGCTTTAGCTCAGGCTCAGGCTCAGGCTTAGGCTTAGGCTCAGGCTTAGGCTCAGGCTCAGGTTCAGGCTCTAAGCCTAAGCCTTAGCTCTAAACCAAAGCCTAAGCTCTAAGCCTAAGCCTAAGCTTTACAATTAGTTCACTAAAAGCTGTAATCAGCTTTCTGATCAGTCTGCGACACTACTGACCTTCATTTCAGATCACCGAGTACGGGAAATTGGGCTGTGACGCGAGTGCTGCAACGGTGCGTGATCAAGAGCCAAATGGGAACTCATTCTCTGACAAGATCTTCTCGGCATTCGACTGGGTGGCGAATAGATTTGGAATAAATGTTTAAAATCATTCTCGTGCATGCCAGAAGGAAATTTGTGCTTGAAATTTTTGAGTTATTTATGAAATTTGCACATTTTTTTAAGTGACTGACCACATTGTTGAAGTCGAAAAAGTTTCTTCTGTTAAAATGTGTTAAAATAACAAAAAAATTCGATGAGCTGTGCTCCAGATGAGCTAAAAATGTCAAAGAAAGCTTTATTTTAAGCAAATTCCAATGCGAAATTGACTCGAACACGATTCACGCTTAAAATTTCGTTAAAATATGACTTTTCCCAAATGTTTTATCGATTTTTCATCGAATTGGATGTCATTCAATGGTTTGATTCATTTCTTTTTAAAGATTAATTGTTTTTAGACAATTTTGTATTTTTTTAGACAATTTTGTATTTTTTTAGACAATTTTGTATTTTTTTAGACAATTCTCGATTTTCCCCTAGATCTGTCTTTTCTAAAAAGTGCCCTCATTCTTTTTTTTTTGGCTCTTTGCCAATTCGATTTGAATTCATTCCAGAGTTTTCTCGAAGTTTTCTCGTTTTCTTTTTGGTGGCCAAAAAATTGCGCAAATTCTCAATTGAGCTCCAGTAAAGCAATTTCTTAAGTCAGAATTTCGAAATTCGCGAATCTTGCCGCTAAATTCGCCCAAACTCCTTTATGCCTTTTAAGCAATTTCTCAATTTTAATATTTTTTTGCGAAACATTTTTCAATCACTCACGTGCCTTCCAGATTGTCGTTTTCATTTTGAAAAATTTTCATTTCCCGCTTTCTTACTCAACTTCTGCTTTAGATCTCATAATGGCGACTGACGAAGCGGTGCAGGAGAAAAATCTCGGCAACGAAGCCTACAAGAAAAAGGTTTGTTTGTGATTCAGCTATTCTGGATAGCAAAAAGGCTCTGGTTTGTTGAGTTTTGTTTATTTATCGTATTTCTTCGAATAGAAGACCGGGTAAAGAGTATCATCACGTACTCCTGCGTAGCAGCCCTTTGTTAAAATTTCTTTTCCGCATAAAAGCTTTCAATGAAGTGCTATAGGGCTGGCTGGTTGGCTCAAAAATGGCTCAAAAATCTGTTAGCTCATGTGGTATTTTTGAGCCATTTTCCAGCTCTATAGCACTTGATTGAAAGCTTTTATGCGGAAAAGAAATTTTAACAAAGGGCTGCTACGCAGGAGTATGTGATGATACTCTTTACCCGGTCTTCTATTCGAAGAAATACGGTAGCTTCTTTTTAGGATTTTTCAACAGCACATATTCACTACGATAAAGCAATCGAGTTGGATCCGACGAATATCGCTTTTTACACGAATAAAGCTGGTAAAGCCGTGTTAAAATGCAACTAAATTTTTGTCAAATTTTAGCGGCACTCTTTGAAGAGTCAAGATTTGACGAATGTATTGAGTTATGCAAAAAAGCCGTCGATATTGGAAGAGATAATCGAGCTGATTATCAAATGATCGCAAAGTGAGTTAAACAAAAAGTTTTTCTCTTAAAAACATCGTGTGACATCCAGGATGACCGAATTTAAGTCTTAAAAAGCATTTGAAACAATTTACAGCTATAAAATACATAGCTGATTATCAGATGAGCAAAGGGAGCTCAGGAAGCGAGCCTAAGCCTAAGCCTAAGCCTAGAAAAGACTGCGTGACATCCAGGATGACCGAATTTAAGTCTTAAAAAGCATTTGAAACAATTTACAGCTATAAAATACATAGCTGATTATCAGATGAGCAAAGTGGGCTGAGGAAAGTCTTAACTGAGCCTAAACCTAAACCTAAACCTAGAAAAGACTGTGTGACATCCAGGATGGCCGAATTTAAGCTTTAAAAGCATTTTTGAGCCATTTATAGCTCTAAAACTCATAGAAAGGCCGTTTCTTCATATAGCTGTTTTCTAAAATCTTCTAAGAAGGTAGCTTCTAAGAAAAATAGTCGTAAAAAGCCTTTTTTTTAAAAGTCGAGCCTTTTAATTGAATGTCTTTAGAAAAGAATAGTTTTTTTTCTTAAATTAATAAATTTTTAGAGCAATGGCTAGAGCCGGGAATGCGTATTTGAAAAAGGAAGAGCTGAAAGAGGCGCTGCTTTGGTTTCAAAAATCTCTTTCTGAACACAGGGATCAGGTTGGTTTTAAAGCATTGGCTAGAGCCGAGAAATGTACACTGTTTTCCAGGAATTAGTGAAAAAGGCGAAAACTCTTGAGGCGCAGATAAAAGAAGCTGAAAAGCTGGCTTACCTAAATCCAGAAATGGCCGAAGAGGAGAAACAAAAGGGAAATGAGTACTTCAAGGTTTGTTTTTGGTTTTGGTTAGCATTTGGAAACACTCTAAAATAGCCTAGTCGAGGCTTGGCTATCTTGGTTGATGTCAAGACTCTAATTCCGAGATGAGACTAATGACGAACAGGACTAATGACTAATGACGGTCAACAAAAAAGCGTTGTTTTGATATTGATGAAAATTCGAATCTTAAAAATTCTAGTGTGACATCCAGGTAGAAGAAAAAACACAATTAAAAACAAATTGCGCTTGTCGATTTTTGGGAATCATCGCGAACTCTTGACAGAACTAATTTGTAGACTGTTGATAAGAGCAATTTCATTTTAATTGCATTTTTTTCTTTAATCTGGATATCACACTAGAATTTTTAAGACTCGAATTTTTGATTTTCATCAAAACATTTGTACTCGATCTGCACTGTCAAGAGTTCGCGATGATTCCCAAAAATCGACAAGCGCATTTTGATTTTAATTGCCTTTTTCTTCGATCTGGATATCACACTAGAATTTTTAGAATTCGGATTATCAAAATTTTTGATTGTCAAAAAAATATTAGTTTTAGAGTTTTTGGATTCGAATTTTTTCTGAACTGAAACCTTGAAAACACGAAATTTTTATTTTCACTCAAAATCAATTAGCTTTAAAGCTAGCTAGCAAATTCCAATTCCTGTGATTCTCATTTCATTCTACGATTCTCTAGAAAGGCGACTACCCAACAGCGATGAAGCACTACAATGAGGCGATAAAGCGCCACCCTGACAACGCCGTTTTATACTCGAATCGGTGCGTTTCCCAGGGAAAACAAAATCCATTTCTTACTCGTTCTGGATGTCACAATGACAATTTTCAAATGTTTTTTTTCAGAGCCGCTTGCTACACAAAGTTGATGGACTTTCAACGAGCGCTCGAAGACTGCGAAAGTTGCATTCGAAGAGACAAAAAATTCAGTAAGTGCGGTTAAAATTTGAATTTAAAATATCGAGTGCCATCCAGGATTGAGAAATCTGAAAATCTTTAGTCAAGGGCTACATCAGAAAAGGCTCGTGTCTGCTAGCGATGAAGGAGTTCACGAAAGCGCAAGAGGCCTACGAACAGGCGCTCTCCATTGATCCGGCGAATGCGTGGGTTTTAAGTACTCGTGCTGTGACAGTACTGTTTAAGTACTCGTGCTGTGATAGTACTGTTTAAGTGCTCGTACTGTGATAGTACTGTTTAAGTACTCGTACTGTGACATCCAGGATTAATGAATTTAAGCTTTAAAACCCTTTCTGACTATTTTAGAGCTGTAAAAATGCGCAAACTTTTTTTTCTAAATACCACCCTTTTCTAAAAAGCACCCTTTGAGAAAAATTACCGTAATCTATTTTATGTGACATCCAGGATTAATGAATTTAACCTTAAAAACCCTTTCTGATTATTTTAGAGCTGTAAAAATGCGCAAACTTTTTTTCTAAATACCGCTGCTTTCTAAAAAGCACCTTTTGAGAAAAATTACCGTAATCTATTTTATGTGACATCCAGGATAAATGAATTTCACTTTTGTAAGCAATTTTGCTTAATTGAAAACCCTGAAAAACTTTAGTGAAGCGATGCAAGGCTTGCGGCAATCGATCTCCAACTCTGATGCCACTCCGGAACAGGTTTGTGGGGAAATTTTGAATCAAGAAAATAATTTCTGGACGTCACGAGAGAAGCTGAAGCTTTCAAAAGTTTAATTTCTCAATTTTCAGAAAAAAAAATTGATTTTATGCAAAGTTTCAGTTTCAGTTTCAGTTTTTTAAAAATTGGGAAAATTTACAAAATACCGTACTCATCGGCCTTTGTGATGTCCAGATTGAAAATTCTTTTCAAAAACAATTTTAAAAACGAATTCTAGGTTCGCGAAAGAGCGCTGAAAGATCCCGAAGTACAGGAGATTCTCAGGGACCCGGGAATGCGAATGATTTTAGAACAAATGAGTCAAGTGGGTTTTATTTAATGATATCCAAGATCTTCGATAAGATAAACATAAAATAGCTGATGGCTTTTGATTCGCAAGAAAAGCTTGAGAACTCGAATTCGTGGAAAAATTTCGAGTTTTAAGACAAATCTAACAGAAAAATGGTGGAAAAGAGAAAAAATCAGAAAGAATTAGGTATTCAGTCTACTTTAGCTGGATTACGGTATTTAGTGTAGATTGGGTATTCAGTCTAGAATAAGGAATTCCGTCGACTTTAGCTGGATTACGGTATTTAGATGGAAAAGCTGAGTTTATTTGGAAACTACAGTGATAATTGCGAAGTGATAAGGTGATAATTGCTAATTCTAGGACCCTGGCGCTGTGAGAGAGCACCTCGCCAACCCGGAGATCGCGAAAAAGATTTTGAAGCTGAAACAAGCGGGGATCATCCAGATGCATTGATTTCGACGATTTTCCACGACGATCTGGCTCGCACACTATCTCAATTCACCGATAAATCCCTTAAAAACGCTATTCTACAATATTCCCTTTTCTTACCGTAACTCGGTCATCGTTTAGAAAAAAAACTTCAATTTCGTTGTTTTAAAAAAAAAAATTGATTTGTGATGTTGTTCCCTCGTTAAAATCACATTCTATTCATGGAAATTTGAAAAAAAATAAATGATTTATGGAGATTGGTTTTGTTTTTGAAATGCTAAATGACAACTGACAGTATATAAGCGAAAATTTGATCAATTTTTTAAATGTTTTGTTCTTTTTAAACGTTTTTTAAGCAGTTTTTTCACTTTCTTCACGTTCTTCTAACAATTTCCTCAGAGATTTATCTTTTCTTTTTTTAGATGGACGAAGAAAATCGAGAAGATGAGCCGGTAAATCCATTGGTAACGCTAGCAGCAGCTGCAGAGGTAAACTTTTATGAGCAAATCTTCTATTTAAACTAAGCAAATCTTCTATTTAAACTTTAAACTAACCTTTGCTTAAGCTTGTTATTAGTTTTTGTAAGTATAGAGTAAAGATTTGAAGCTTTTAAAGTGAAAAAAAATGACATAATTTTGATTTGATAAGCTATGTTATTGGTTTTTGATAAAATCTCAATAAAGGTTTTGAGCTTTACAGACGTTTACGCTTACGAAAGAAAATAAACCAAACCGAGGCTTTAAAAGGTTTTACAAACCTTTACAAACCTTTACAAAGCTTTACAAACCTTTACAAAGCTTTACAAACCTTTACAAACCTTTACAAACCTTTACAAAGCCTTTACAAACCTTTACAAACCATTATAAACCTTTATAAACCTTTATAAACCTTTATAAACCTTTATAAACCTTTATAAAGCTTCCTTTTTCTTTAGACTTTTAAAAAAACTGATTTATGTCTAGATTTTTCTGTTTTAAATTAAAAATTGAAAAATGAACAAATCACTTTGAAATGGCTAAGATTTGATTTAAAATTTTCATTTTTTAATCATCAAATGCGAAATAGGAATTGATATTAAGCGAATTCCATCAAAAGTTTGCTCAGACTTTGCTCAGACTTACATCGATAACCCTTTTTTCAAATTCAATTTCTAATTTTAGGCAGTTTCTCGCAGTGGTGAGCTTTCAACGACAACGCCGAGCATTTCATCATCATCATCATTGCAACAACAACAAAAGAAAACCACAGCGCATTGGACATTTGATGAAGCGCTGGCTTTCTATGAGTGCATCAAAACGGTAATTTTGGTGAAAAATTTGTTAAATTTGCGACTTAAAGCTAATCTTTTTAATGATTTTGTCAAGAAATTAATAGCTCATGAAAGAATTTAATTCTATTTTGAACTTTACTGATATAAAAGTTGACAAAGATTATCTAGACAGCATTTTGGATTAGTTTTTTTATCAGAAACTGTTAAAATACCTTGATCAATTGATTTTTTGGAAAGCAAAGCTTTAAAAAAAGATTTTGAATAGATAAAAAGATTTTATTAAACTTTTTAGAAAAAGATGCTGTTGAAGATTACTTCTTATTGCTTTCTAAATCACTTTTCTTGTTTTAGATAAGATTTTTGAACAGAAAAAGCTATAGAAAAAGTATAGATTATTTGGTTATAGATTATAGATTATTATCTATAGCTTTCGAGATTATTTGATTTCATTTATCGATCAATTAGTTTTATTTTAGTATGGCCGTGACTGGGAGACGATCTCGCGGGTGCTCGCAAAGAAGAAAATCCACAAAAGCGTCAATCAGATCAAGAATTTCTCGTTCAACGTCGCTCGATCGGTTCGTCAGATAACTGGCTTCGATAATCAAGGTTAGTTTTTGTAATTGTGAACAGTGTTTTCCATCCACTCGTTTCTTGGCTTTTAGCTGTGCCAATTGACCTTGAGAATCAATCATTTTGGCCTAGAAACTTTAAAAATAGCATTGCTCAAGAGTACGGACGGATGGACAAACGTTTTTTTTCTATAGTTAAATTTCCAAACTTTCTAGACGTCTACAAGAAGATTCCGACTGATGCACGCGAGCTGATGATGGTAATAGCGTCGATGGAATGGCGAAAGAGGACGACAAACAAGAAATACCACAACGATTGCTTGCGAGAGCTGCTTTTCGAGGGGTTGGTTGTCAAAAACGGAGTTTAAGCGCTCTTTTCAGCGCTTTTGACCTCAGAACTAGTCAAATTGTGTGCTCCTTTTCTTTGAAATAAGCTAACGCCTGTTTCGGCGAGGGTAAAACGTGTTTGTTTGCCGTATGAACTCAAATTCTTGTTATATTTACCTAACTACATCTTTTAGCTCGATATCCTACCGTTTCCAGAAGAACAAGTTGCCGATTCTCATCGAAATGCCCAGTTGCCCGTCGTTGAGCGCTCTTTTCACAAGTAAGCAAGCCAGAAAGATGTAACTTAACATTTATCGGCTCTTTGCCAAGTTCTAGCTTCCGTTAAACCTGAAAATTTATTGATTCTTGGCTAGTTCTAGGTTTTGAGTTGTTATTTAGCCGTTTGTTTTGTTGTTTAACCGTTCGTTTTGTTATTTAGCCGTTTGTTTTGTTATTTAGCCGTTTATTTTGTTATTTAGCCGTTTGTTTTGTTATTTAACCGTTTATTTTGTTATTTAGCCGAGAAACGCGTCGAGAAATTCCCTGGCGACGTGACGATTCAATTGGAGCCATTTACGAATGGTGATCAGTCGACAATTGCCTCAGCAATGCTGAATCCTTTATTGAAGGTGGGATTTTGAAAGAGATTTGCTTAAAATTCAATCGTTCTTTGAATTCTTGAAATTTTTAGGTAAAAGTTGGCATCAACGAACGTTTGTCACGACTTTTCGAGCTACTCCAAGTGAAATGGGGCACTCCGTTGAAGCATTTGGTTCATTATGCAGTGATATCTAATCAAAATTTGCATATTTCTATATTTCTAGCTTTTCGTCTAATCTTTAACCCATTAGATGCAGGAAATTTGTCGTTTTTGAGGCTTAGGCAAATCTTCTAGTCTTAGTCGGATTTGAGCTGGCAAATCTTTTTTGATTTAACTCTATCTAGGCTTTGGTTTGTGTCTTTTCATACTTATAAGTATTGTAAAAAGTTTTAGATATCTAAATTTGCTACAAAATAATATTAAAACCGATGATCCGTTTAGTCGACCGATGATCACCTCAATTTTTGTCTCTTCGTGCATCGAGACGTCGATGTTGGTAACGTTTTCTTCACCGAGGCTCATTCGACGCCGAGTTTGAAGAGGTTTATTATCAGAGTTACGGGATTTAGCAAATCTAAGCCGAACAGATCAATCTCTGATCAATTGTAGCCCCTAAATTTGGTCTAAACACCGCTAAAATCTCTAATTTTTGACTGTAATTGACTAAAATTATCTTAAAAAATGAAGTCTTTATGTTTTATAAGGTATAATTTTCTTTATTTTAGGTTACTCAGCGAACATGAGAAGCTCGAGAACATGAAGAACGTGCAAAAGGGACACTTTTCATGTGGTGAGGTTTAAGGAAAACGTTTCACAGACTTTCAGTAATCCTGGATTGTCAATTTCATGGATTGTCGATTGAAAAATTATCAATTGCATTTAAATGACCAAAGTATCTTCCAGTAGTCTTTGATTTCACGATATTTTAGATCCATCATTCACTGTGTCGACTCGAACAATCGATTGCCCGTTGTTGCTTCGATCGGAGGTGCTGCGAGCGGGATTGACGGGAGAAAATTGTGGCGATGCGTCGTTGGCTGAGCTCTTTTGCGTGGTAAATGATTTTGAGTGCTTTGTCAAAGTGCTTTGCTTTTTCAAAGGCTTCAAATAAAGCTTCTTAAACAATTTTTTCATTGTTAGCTGCTTCTGAACGATTTTAATACTCTAAAGAACTAATTTAGCGTACGAAACGAGTGATTTCTTGTTAATAAGTTGATTTGCCGATAAATGATACTTAAATACTCGTTAAAGTGCTTGAAAATGAGCTAAAAACCTTTAAATCAATCAATCAATCAATTTTGTTTTTAGTGTGGCCTCCAGCCGGTGATCCGTTTGATGTACCATGTGACGAATCGACGCGATCATCTCTCCACATGGGAGATCTTTGCCGATTTGATCAAGAGAGACTACCCGGAGTGCTTATCGAATAGGTTAGTTCTATAGTGTAAGACAGTCCTACAGTGTAAGACAGCTCTACAGTGTAAGACAGCTCTACAGATAAAAGATTTGACTTTTGTGAGATAGATTTCGAAAACTAGACCCTTCGGCATAACATTTACTCTTTTTTAGCAAAGAAAATCGCCCGAAAGTCGCCGCGAAAGAGATGAGCAACAAGATGAGCCAGCAAACGCAAACCGAGAATTGCTTTTTGACGTGAGTTTCTTTTTTAAACTTGCTAAAGTAATCCTATAATTGAAAATATTCAATTTCACTTGTTTCCTTTCAGAAACGTGGCCTCAAATCGAGAGAATGACATGCGAAAAGAAGGTGAATCGACGCCAACAGCCAAGAGGAAACCGTCGTGTTATCCGGCAAGAAGGGTACTTTTTGAAATTATCTAACTTTAAAATATCTGTACAGTAAAAACTGCCACATTTGACTAATTGCCTAATTGAAAAATTGATCGTTTTTGTCAAATCCCCCGTATAAACGAGGCTCTCACAAAGCTCTTAGCCTTTTGTGGTTTTAAACGATATTTGTACCATATTGTAACACCTATATCGGTGTTGTTTTTCAGCTATATCTAACTGAGCACTGAACCGTATTGGAACTGTATTAGATCAAAATAGGAACCTATTGGAACCGTATTGGAACCGTATTGGGACTGTATTGGGACTGTATTGGGACTGTATTGGGACTGTATTGGAACTGTATTAGAACTGTATTAGATCAAAATAGGAACCGTATTGGAACTGTATTGGAACTGTATGGGAACTGTATTGGAACCGTATTGGAACTGTATTGGAACCGGATTGGAACTGTATGGGAACTGTATTAGATCTAAATAGGAACCGTATTGGAACCGTATTAGATCAAAATTGGAACGGTTTTGGAACCGTATTGGAACGGTTCCAATACGGTTCCTATTTTGATCTAATACAGTTTCAATACAGTTCCAATACGGTTCCAATGCTCATTTATTCAATTTAGTGTCTAATTAACTTTATTTTATTGGTTTAACCATAGAAAATATTGTTCATTCATCAATGCCAATCTTTAGGAAACACCAAAGTCGATGGCCAGCAACAGCAGCTCGATCAACGTGGCCAATTCGATCTCGAAAAATCAACCGACATCCTCGAAGGTAATTTTTTAATACAGAAACAATTTTGAATTCAATTTAAAATGACAATCTTTCGCTTATTAGAGACTTTTTTGATCTTTCAGATTGTCGACATTGAAAACGAGCAATTCCTCGCGCAACTTCAGGCTCTGGAGCAAACCTCGAGGAAAACGGTACAATTTTTGAGCCATAGAAAGCCATAGAAAGGTTCAGCTATAGAAATTGTTAGAGAAATTGAAGTTAAAGAAATTGATAGCTTTGTTTCAAGTTGAAATTTTGTTTTTAGCCCCTACAACGAGGCGCAAAACGACCAGCGACTAGCAGCAATGAAACGCCGACTCCAACAATCGCATCAATACCAATGGCAAACGAGCGACAACAAAACTCGCCGCACACCGATTTCTCGGTGGGTTTTGGATTGTTTTGAATTTTTAATATACTATACAGGCACGAATGAAATTAGAAAGCTATATGAATGTTTAGTTTAACGTTAGAGATACTGATTTTGGCTCAAGATGAACAAACATCCCGTTAAATGGGGTGCCATTCAGTTTTTTCTTTATTTCTTTTTTTGCTTTTTGTGCAATTTCATTAAAACGAGCTTAGCAGCTCATTTTTGATGAAATTGTCGAAAATCTAAAGAGAATTTCAGTAGAGTTTGCAAAGGATTGGCTAGCAGCAATATTTTAAGCTTTTCTGTCGATTGGTTAGAAAAATACCATCATTGTTATATTGTTGAGGCTATTGAAAAGATTTTTTGAATTTTCAGTCGATGAAAGCGCCGAGCGATCGTTGGATAAGTGGACGAATGGCGCGAAAGAGTCGATCACCGCAGAAGAAGAAACAATCGCCACCAAAAAAGCAACAAATACAAGAAAGCGCACTGCTGATGCATCACGATGAAACGGCTAGGTGGGATTTTACGTTTATTAGTTTTAAGAATAGTTTAAGAGTGATTTCAATTGCTCTTAATACAAGATTTGAGCACTTAATACAATAGTTTTCCTTTCCAGACATGCGCTCAATCAAAGTGACGCGCTCAATCAAAGTGACGAGCTTCATCCGTCAGCCTTGGAGATTCAGTGCTTCGGTGAACATTTGCAGTTGTCACAGTCGCCGAATAAGGTATTATTCAAGATTCACCAATGTAACCGTTCCTCTTGACTTGAATAAAAAGGCACCTAAACTACCGTAATCGACCGGCTAACCGCTTATTCGATCAACTCAATTTTGGTCACATTGACTGAGCCTTGTGATTCTGAATGTGATTGATTGAATATTGAATGTGATCAAAATTGAATTGCTTGGATGAAAATTGGTTGTTCGATTATGGTAGCTTGTCGAAAATAGATGTCTTTTAGGAAATGGATTAACTAAGGATGAGGTTTTAAATGAGAAAATGACTGATGTCTGAAATCTAAATGATCTAATAAACTACTGAGATCTGATAACTTTTAGTCGATCTCCTCTTTTCCGATGGATTTTCGTGGTTTCAGCGACGGTGAACGAATGTGTGCGCAGGTTTCTTTTGAGAATTTTTTTAGGGAAAAGTTCAATTAGATTAGGTAGAAGCAGATAGAATTTGAATTCAGTCGAATTCATTAAAAATTCTTAAAAAATCATTCTTTTGAGCAATTTGGGACTTCAGGGCTGCTTTTGGAGCGAAACTGACAAGTTTTTTGAACGGTTTTTGAATGAGTTTATGGCTTAAAGAATTGATTGACCAATTTAAAGGACCGATTGACCAATTTTTGAAAAATTTTAGAGTTTAGGACAATTTTTGGCAATAATTAGACTCGATTTCTTGAGAGTTATTATGCCAATGTTTCTCCAGTTTCCCCTCAAATTTCCCCTCAAATTTCAGGTGCTCAACCAGAACTCGATCGACTTCTACTCGCATTTCCAGCAATTCGTTGAGAGTTTCGATCAATCGCCGCAGAAAAGCCAGCAGCAGCCGCAAAATAATCTCTTGTGAATTTTCGATTCGCCAATTTTGATGAGATTCCACTTTCCCGATCTCTGTACGTTTTTTTTTCCAAACAGCTCCGAATCTCGCGCTTTACATGTCTGCCATGTCTTCTGTCTTCCTAACTTCTGGTACACTGCCTTGTCAGAAAACTCTTGCTGATCTGGCCATGTCCATTTCAAAATACCATTTCTCTTCAGTCTTTCGCAAATTTTCATTCAAACGACTCGTTTTTTTTTTCTACGGGGTTTTCTTTCAGCCCTGTCATGTCGATTGTGTAATTTTCCTGGCAGCAAATCGTTTTTGAAATTTTACTACACGCAAACGGTAAATTTTTCAGGTAAACACTTTGATGAATTTGTGTTACAATTTTTTGCCGCTCAATCGCCGCAGAAAAGCCAGCAGCAGCCGCAAAATAATCTGTTGTCGTTCGAGATGAGAGAATTTTCCAGCTGGAACTTTCGGGTGCTAGAATTCTGGCACTTCAGAATCGTCGTTAAACCCACTTTAGGCAATCTACCGTAATCTACCAATCAGCCAATTTGCATTCGATACGATTTTATTCGTTGAGCAACTTTTTACAGAGAGTTTACAAGAAGATCACACACAAATATTATGAGGAAATGTTTTTTTTGATTTTAAAAAGAGAAAGTAAAAAACTGTTAAAGTTAAGAGAGGTTATGATGTTTGTTTTTGTAAGAAAAATCTTATAAAAGAATTTTTGGCAATGGATTGACACAAAAATCGCGGAATTACAATCTTTTGGTTGATTTAGTTTTTGCCTGCAACCACGGGCGCCTCGAGATAAGCCGTCCAATCGTCGTTTTTGTTTCTAAAGAGGAAATTGGTTGAGATGCTAGAATTTCTGAGCTCTGTGCATTCCAGATTGAAAAATGATCAGTAGAAAAATCCCATTTTATTGTACCTTTCCACTTCATCTCGGGTCACGCGAATGCCGCGTTTGAAGATCTCGGCGAATGGGATTGTGGCGATCGGGTTCAGTCCGGCATCGCAAACGGCGACCACCTCGTCGTTTCTAGAAAGCAATCGATCGTTTACCGTACGTTCAAACGGTTACCATACGTTCTGACAATACTAATGACGATTATTAAACGACTACGCGACTGTACGCCGAAATTACCGTCTGCCAAATGTTTTCTTGAGCTCACTTGATATAGTATTTGCGGAAATCGAAATCGTTCACCTCTCCCCGCGTGTACACCTCGTCATAGTCGTCGGCGAGCCCTAGAGTTAAGAGAATTGGACTAAATTCTATGATGTCGTTATCTTTTCAAGCCAAATTACAGATTTCGGAGCTAGCTGTGATCTCGGCCAGGGTTAGACTTTCCTAGTTTCTGGTACACAGCCTTGTCAGAAAACTCTTGCTGATCTGGGCCTGGCTTTTGAGACTTTTTGGCACAATTCTGCAAAGAATACCCTTCAGAGAACTCACCAACGAATCGCGATCCCCGTTCCATGAAGAAAACGGTCCAGAAGAATGGCACAAGTGCGCCGGGATGCGGTTTACCGAGCAGGGAGTATGCGCAGAGTTCGCCTGAAAAGGAAAAATCGATGTTTAGGCTTTGACTTGTTGGTTTACTTGGTCATTCTAGAATCTAGAATTCACAGAATCTACTCAGATCTAGACTCTAGATCATACCAGGCTTTGGCTTTGACCTCTAGATCATACCAGGCTATGGCTTTGACTGGACACAACTGACTTGACTCTTTTGGACGTAGATTGGACGTAAACACCCATTCAAGGCTTCTATTAGAGTATTTACGGTATCTTATTTCATTGTTATCGATCAAACCAATCAGCTGACTTACCATGTTTCTGTGCTGTTTGAAAGTGTTGAATGTTGACGTGTTTCCGATTCCAATAAGGCAATGGGAAAGAGCAGACATCGCCAATCGCATAGATATTGTGATCGTTCGTCTAATAAAGTTTTAGATAGCTTTATTAGACCTTTAGCTTTCCTCAAAGTCTTACCTGAAAATCAGCATTCACCAAAATAAAGCCCTGATTGTCGAGTTTAATATTCCCGGATTTTCGTACAAAATCCGTACTTGGAGCAACGCCTAAAGAACAATAGAAAACAACAATTTCAATCTACCAACCAATTCCAGCAATGACAACTTGTGCCGGCAGATGTCCACCGTTTTGGAGACGAACCTGGAAAGCCTGTCCTCAACTTTGAAAACTTTCCCCCCTCACCTCAATCACATTTCCCATCGAATCACCTTCGAGTGAGGCGACTCGAGCTCGCGTTTTCACCTCGACACCTTTTAAACCGAAATACTAAAGAAAACAATTGCAAATTCTTAAGCTTAAACCTTTCCCAACCTTTCTAAAAGCCATGCCGACGTCTCGCCCGAAAGCGGGCATTGGTTCTTCAGTTGCGCAAATAACTGTCACCGATTTGGCGACTTTTGAGATCGTTGACGCGGATTCCATTCCTAGAATTTTCGATTCAACTACTGGTAAACTGAACGGCGAACAACAGTTGAATTGCCGTTGAAAATTGCCGTTGAAAGATCAAAAGTAAAAGCAAAAGGTTTCTTCATCAACTCACCAATAAACGATCCACCGATCACCACAACATCTTTGTCTTTAGCGCTCTCGACAAGCCCTTGCACATCAGAGTACTGAAAGATTTGAGAAAGATTAAAAGAAAAGGGGAGTGGGACATTTGCGCACCTTTTTTTTCCGCACCTTGCCCATTAGCGCACCTTTTTTCGCGTTTTAAAAAGCTCTAAAAAGCTAATATTAACCAATTTCTATTCCAAAAGTTGTTTTTCTAGGTAATTTTAGGGCGTAGAATCGAAATTTTGACATATCAGAGCTTGTGGAAACAAACGGACGGAGTTATACAAAGAGAAAAATCAACAATTGTAATTCTACGCAACAATTGTAATTTGATCTAGCCGTTTTGTCTTTCAAATTGGTTCCACACGCTCTGTTATGTCAAAATTTGAATTCTACGCCCTCAAGTTACCTAGAAAAACAACTTTTGGAATAGAAATTGGTTAATATCAGCTTTTAGAGCTTTTTAAAACGCGAAAAAAGGTGCGCTAATGGGCAAGGTGCGGCAAAAAAAGGTGCGCAAATGTCCGGGTGCGCAAAAAAAGGGTGCGCATTTGTCTCACTCCCAAACGAGCTTTTTACAAGTTATTCTTAAAGAGTTAAGAAGTTAAGAATAACTTGTAAAAAGCGCGTTTTACAAGTTATTCTGAACTCTAATAACCAAAAAGAGACGTCAAATTTTAAAAATAAAAATTGAAAAAATAAAAGCCAAGTAAATTTTTGAGAAGTAAGCTTAACTAGGGGTCTATCCCAAAACAGCGCCGTACCCAAAACAGCGCCGTACCCAAAACAGCGCCGTACCCAAAACAGCGCCGTACCCAAAACAGCGCCGTACCCAAAACAGCGCCGTACCCAAAACAGTGCCAATGCAAAAACGCCCAAAACAGCGACGAGCAAAAAAAAATTATTTTATAGATTTTTGCTTTTGCTTTTTCTGTCCACTTTTTGTGTTTTTTAGGGTAAAAAAAAGGCGGAGAATCCGATTTTTTTTAAAGCTTTACGCATGGGAAACCTGCGATAGCGTTTATAAAATAACCGTTTATGTTCATCATCGCTAGTGTTATGATGTTTCAGAGTCTCTTGGACTATTAATTTCATGCTATTTTAATGTCGTTTTTTTATGCATCGTTTAATTGTTATCGTTTATTGTCGTTGGTCATGTTATTTTTAAATAAATTATCAAAATTAAAAGCTGCTAATAAAAAAAATGAGTTTACATTGTAAAAGAAAAAAAACTTTGTTTTGCATCGGCGCTGTTTTGGGCGTTTTTGCATTGGCGCTGTTTTGGGTACGGCGCTATTTTGGGTGGCGCTGTTTTGGTCGCCGTTGTTTTGGTCGGCGCTATTTTGGCGGCGCTCTTTTGGGATAGACCCTTAACTAGCTTTTGAGAAGCTAGAAGCACGTTGTACACCTATGAACGTTCGGGTTATCGTCTATAAGTCTGTCAATATGTGAAAAAAAAGAAAAGAAAAGAAAACAAGATCAAAAACCAGATCAAAACCAGATCAAATCAAATCAAATCAAAACAAAACACAAACCTCTCTCACATAGTAAATGTTCTTCAGATTTGCCCCAGGATCTGTCAACTTTCGAACGGTTCCTGTGAATATTCAAATTTCGAAAAATATTCAAATCTTTCAATTACCTCCTGTAGCTATGACTAATTTCGAATATTTTAACTCTTCCCCATTCTCTAATTCGATCGTTTTTGTTGTGGCATCGATTTTAAGAACCTAAATAGAGTAAATTCGGTGAAAATCGAGCTATTTTACTACTTTTGTCTTTGTTCGGACAGTGATTTTTCTCTCTTGATAAAAATCGTCCAATCGGTGACGAATTGCATCAATTTGTACGTCGAAATTCTGAAAATTATGCTCCGTTTATTGTGGCTTCAATTTTCGCTTCGATTTGGCTTCGATTTGGCTTTGATTTGGCTTCAATTTTCGCTTTTAGACCGTTTCGATTCCATGATACAAAACGGAAACTATTTTTATACTAACTACCACAAATACTGTAATAGTAGTACTCCCAGCCTCATAATGACGGTGCGGAGTGTTGCGTAGGCTGGCTTTGAACGAGTTTTTCTCGACACTGGTTTATGCTACAATGCTCGTTTAAATATCAAAAAATAGCCCTGAATTTCAGTTATTTTTTGATATTTAAACGAACATTGTAGCATAAACCAGTGTCGAGAAAAACGCATTCAAAGCCAGACTACGCAACACTCCGCACCGTCATTATGGGGGTGCGGTACTATTACAGTATTTACGGTAGGTAATCATTAGATTAATAGTTTCCTAATAAGCACTGTAATAACCTTAATAATGTGATTTGTCTGTTTTTCAAAAAAGTAAAGGGGTTTTCTGGTGACCGGACTCGAACGCATCCTAAAATTCCTTTACGGTAGGTATGGTAATATCTATTTCATATTTCATATATATTACCATACCTACCGTAAACCGTAAAAGAGGCTTTTGGCGGATCTGAAACTGAATTTGTATCTGTTTTTAGGTCTATCTTGGCTTTGAGAGCTTGCAGAACTGGAGATTTCGAGTTGGCTACTCATTCGCTATCGGGATTAGAGTTGGCTATTGGTCTAGTTACTAAACTAGAACTAAAGACCCTAGAACTAAAGAACTTTGATCTTTCGATAACCTTGCTCAACATGACTCGATCATAGGGTGGATGCTCATCTTGCGTTATCATCACAATCGGCGTTGTGCAACCGAGCAATCGCAAAGTTTCAGTCAATGAATCCGCTGAGGGTCCTAAAAACGAGTTTTTAACCTTAAAAACGAATTTTTAACCTCAAAAAGCTTCAATCTGGAACGCACTAGAATCATTTTATCAAAAAAATCACTGGTGTTCTTGAGATTTTCCATTTTCAATGATTTCCTGACCTCCACCGATGACAACAATTGGATTCTCCTTTTTCTCGATCACTTTTGGCGCTTTTCGTGTTCGTCGATCGTTTCCCAGCCGTTTCTCGGTGCTTTTCAGGAATAATTTCCCGTTTCTGTTCTCAATCTTAACCAAGATTAATAGTTTTTAAAAAAAATAAAAAAACCTGATACGAGTTGATCGAATCGAAACCGGGAAACTCTTCGATGTCTCCAGTTTTCAACGAAAAACATGCGCCATGAAGTGGGCAACGAATTTTCCCCTCGTAAACGAAACCTCAAATCGATTTCTTTAAAGAATAGAGTTGATTTTAAAGAAGCTAGAGCTGATTTTAAAGAATAGAGCTAAGAATAGAGCTGATTTTAAAGAGCTAGAGCTGATTTTAAAGAGCTAGAGTTGATTTTAAAGAATAGAGCTAAGAATAGAGCCGATTTTCACTAAATCTAAAGCTTAAACCAATAAAACTCGAGTTTCACTTGATCAACTCAACAAAATGATGATCGTTAATCGATTCACCGTCTCTGAAAACCCCTAGGTGGGGAATTTTCAACTGAAAAGCTTCTTTTTAATCTATAAACAAAGCAAAAGAAGGGAAATCCCTTTGTGTTCTTTCTGCGCGCACAAAATCGCTCTCAATTTGGCATCCCCCTTAGAGTAGACCCCTTAAAACAACTCCACCTTAGAGAATCGATTACACTGATTCTGAATCTGTTTTCAGTTTTTTCTCTGGAGGCTTGTAACTCGTGATTTTTGGCTTTTAGCTTTAAGCTTTTTTTCAAGCTTTAGCTCTTACTTAAGTTCATTTTTTTGCTAGGCATCAAGCTGGGGGCTTAGTGCATTGCCAAAGCTCTCGACTACGGATCGAAACCATCCTGGTTCGATTCCCGTCATTGTCAAATTAATTTTGTTTTTCTTAATTTAACTCAAAATGATATTGGAAATAGTAAAAAGATGAAATTAATGATTTTTTTTTTTGATTGAATCTTTAATTATAAGCAATCCCAGATTGCCAAATTAAGAGATTGGCTAAGAGATCAAAAGAGATTGGCTAATTTGATCTCTGAGATGTCTCTGAGATCTCAGCTACTCGTTTACCGTTGTTTACCGAAAGATTGTTTCCCAATTTTCTCTATATTCTCTATATTCTTTGGGGATTTCTTTGTGATAATGATAAAATAGTAAATTCGATTTCTTTGCCTACCTTTAATCAATGGGAAATTGTAATGGGAGCAGAGAGCGTTCACGCAAAAGATTGTACCCTTGTCGTTCACCAAAAGCAACTTTCGACCATCAACTTCGATTTCTTTACGTCTGTAAAGATGAAAAGTTTCATTAGAAATTGTTCTCGAGTAAATACTGTAATCGTCGTACAGTCGCGTAGTCGCAAAAAAACGTACAGTTTTTTGTATTTCATTTTTTTCAAAGCGCTCGTACTTTCAAAAAATGCGTCTTTCGTATCAAAAAATAGCCCTGAATTTCAGCTATTTTTTGATACCAAAGATAATGACGGTGCGGAGTGTTGCGTAGTCTAGCTTTGAACGAGTTTTTCTCGACACTGGTTTCTGCTACAATGCTCGTTTAGGTATCAAAAAATAACTGAAATTCAGGGCTATCTTTTGATACCTTAACGAGCATTGTAGCTTAAACCAGTATCGAGAAAGACTCGTTCAAAGCAAGCCTACCAAAAAACCCCTTCAAAGCTAGCCTACGCAACACTCCGCACCGTCATTATGGGGGCTGGGGTACTATTATAGTAGAGAGCGTTCACGCAAAAGATTGCACCCTTGTCGTTCACCAAAAGCAACTTTCGACCATCAACTTCGATTTCTTTACGTCTGTAAAGATGAAAAGTTTCATTAGAATTTGTTCTCGAGTAATTATTTTTTTAAAAAGACATCGATTTTCTTTTATTTAACAATTAACGAGATTTTAATGCCTTTTTGATATAAAGCTTATTGAATTTTAACAAAAATCGAGCTAGACAGCTAAACAAAACTCACTCCCCAGGTGGTAGCTCGTCAACTGAACAGAGCTCTTGTTCAATGACTGGCGAGTCGTCGATGCCGATCTCTTTCCCCTCCGCTGTCAATCCCTTTGATGGGGGACAACAAAAAGGCATTCCAGTTGAATTACTTGAAAACGAAACTAAAAGAGGAAAGATTTAAAAAGTGGAAATGACGATCTGGAGGGCACAATGAGATTTGAGAATAGAAAGAAGACGATTGGAGAAACGAGGAAAGTTTTTTAGTTTCAAAATTGACTTCAGCTAAATATCTTTTGAATTAGAAAAGGAATTTAAAAAGTAAATAAAGATTTGGAGACTATGGAAATCACAAAATCATAAAAAGGCAAGGTCAAAGAAAAAAAAGAAAAAATGAAGACTGAAGAAATTTGGCAGACTAAGAAAAACTAATAGGATTTGTTTGCAATGATTTGCTTGAGAAAAAAATGAGAAACTTGAAAGACTTTCGTTTTATTTTCGTTTTCAGCAATGTTTCCTTCAAAATTGCCAGCCAAAATTCGTGATTTTCGATGATTTTTCGAAAATTTGAACGAATTTACGCATTTTTTTGGTGAAATTGATAAGATCGACTCATTTTTGTGTAGTTTATGAAAGAAAAAGAAGAAAAAGAAAAGCTGATCAAGGGAAACTGGAGTGCACAGAGGGAGAATTTCCATTGAAAACGATTCAAATTGAAATTTGAAACATTTCAAGTTTCACGGTGAAAAGTTGCGTAACTGAACCGGGCCTGGTTTCTGGTCTTACCGATTTTTCATTTGTTTTTAGCAATTTGGATAGCATGACATCCAGATTCACTGAAAAGCGCAATCATTTTTTATTTAATGAACAAATTTGAATAGGAAAGTGATTGAAGGGAGAATTGGGTAATTGAACCGGCCGGCTTTCTGTTAAATTTCTGTTTTCTTTCTTTTAAATTGTTGTGTGTGTTCCAGATTGGGGGAAAAGTAAAAGAAAGTTGTGATAGCAATGCAGAAAATTGGTGAATAAGTTCAATGAGTTTAATAAGTGAAAAGTGAACAAAAAAAATGAGAAAAGCTCAAGTTACCAACAAAAAATTTCACTTTCTTTCTTTTTCTTTTCCTTTTTTTTGAGAAAAGCGATGAAAAGCTGAGAAAAGCAGAGAAAAGAGGCAAAAGAAACGAGTCTTTTCTTTCTTTCTTTCTCTTATTTATACTTTAATGGAGGAATATCGATTGAGAAGGTGAGAAATTGAATCGAAATAAGTTCAAAGCTATTTCATATCATTTCAGAGTTCTTTCAGGGCTATGACCAATTTTTTAAGCAAAGCTGGAACGCACAGAGCGAGAATTTTCATTGAAAACGAGAATTTGAAAGATTTCAAATTTCACAATGAAAAGTTGCGTAACTGAACCGGGCCTGGTTTCTGGTCTTGCCGATTTTTCATTTGTTTTTATCAATTTGAATAGCATGACATCCAGCTTCACTGAAAAACGCAATCATTTTTTATTTAAGGCACAAATTTGAATAGAAAAGTGGTTGAAGGGAGAATTGGGACATTTCACGACATTTCAAGAGTTCTTTCAGCGCTATGACCAAATTTTTAAGCAAAGCTGGAACGCACAGAAAGTAAATTTCCATTGAAAACGAGACTTTGAAACATTTCAAGTTTAACGGTGAAAAGTTGCGTAACTGAACCGGGCCTGGTTTCTGGTCTTGCCAGTTTCTTCATTTGTTTTTAGCAATTTGGTTAGCATGACATCCAGATTCACTGAAAAACGCAATCATTTTTTATTTGAGGAACAAATTTGAATAGAAAAGTGATTGAAGGCAGAATTGGGTAATTGAACGACTAAATTTCTGTTGAATTTCTGTTTTCTTTCTTTTAAATTGTTGTGTGCGTTCCAGATTGGAGGAAAAGTAAAAGAAAGTTATGATAACAATACAGATGTAGAATAGAAAAGTGATTGAAGGCAGAATTGGGTAACTGAACAGGTAAATTTCTGATTGTTAGCCGATTTTTAAAAAGATCTCCCTAAAATGAGCTCCAGATTGCTCAAAAAAGCGAATAAATTGTGGAAAGCGAGCTTTTGAAAGAAAATAATGGATTGAAATGATTGACGATTTTAGGGAACTTTCATTTGAACTGAAACACTCGAAAAATATCAAAGAAAAGGGAAAAGGGAAAAAATCGGTTTTAGATTCGGTTTTCTCTTGTTTTTTCTTGATTTCTTGTCTAATTTGATTTCAAAGACGTAAAAGAAATCGACTGATTGACAAGAAAATGGCAAGAAAACCGCTTGAACAGAGTGCAACAAGAAATAATGGGAATTTTGAGGAATTAACGGACTTTTAAAGAGTTCATTCAACAATCTGGATGTCACAGTTGAAAATGGGGCACAAATTTTAAGGTAATGGCTTTTTTCGACTCAAGCGCCAACTTCGATACGAGTTTGGTGGGAAATTTCGGGAATTTTGACAAAACTCATGCATTCTAAAGAATTTTTTAAGCAATCTGGATGTCACAGTTGAAAAATATGTGAAAATTACAGGAATAAACTTCTTTTTGACTCAAGCACTAACTTCGATACGAGTTTGGTAGGAAATTTCGGGAATTTTGATGAAACGAATAATTCTGAAAAGCTTTTTAATCTATCTGGATGTCACACTTGAAAATGACACGCACAGAAGATGGGAATTGTTAAAAAGGCTGTTTTTTTGATGGGTTGTGTGTTGTTGACACTCTCTCGCTCCGACACCCACCAAAAAATGGGTTAACTTTGTGGAAACGAGCAAAACAGAGATCTAGAAAAGGAAACATGGAATGCACGAAGGGTGGTAAACAAAAAAAAGAAATAATTTATTCAATTTAAACTTTTCTTGTACTATTCTTGTATTTTGAAGCTGCGAAGCTGATCTCGCCCATTTCTTAGCTGAAACTTTGAATCTCGAAATTTTCAAGCATTATTTTGGCCATTCTGGAAGGCACACTATTAAATAATCATCAAAATGACAAGATTAAACAAAAAAAATTATTAGTGTTATTAGTATTGCAACGTACCCAAGTCATTATATAGACTCTGATTTAATTTGAAGATTTTTTTTCAATCATTTCAGCCGATCTGGAGCTCACACTCGATAATGAATCAAAAATTTTACGAGAAAAGCTTTATTAGTTGTTTGCATAAATAGGAATCAATAGTGAAAGAAGTTCAGAGTTTTTTCCGTTTTGAAATAGTAGTTTTCATTTTTTTTTTGTCATTCTGGCATGCACTCTTTCTTTTCCGCCTTGAATTTCCCCATAAATTTTTCGTTTTTCTGTTTCTGTTTGTTTTTAGTGTTTTTTTTTTGTGTGCACTTTCTAGTTTCTCTGCTTTCTTTGGCGTAGGAAAAATGGATGTGAATTTGTTTCAAATAGCTTTAGAAAGCAAATAGAATCTCTAAACAAGCTAAAAAAGCACTACAAACCACAAAAAAGGCGAAAAAAAAAGCTTTTCAAAGTCCGAGAATGGTGGATTTTAAAATTCAGTTTTTTTTTGTCAATTTTTAGTTTTTTATATTTTGTGACTTCCAGATTGTGAGAAACTTGTTGAAATTTTGAAAAAAATAAAAATCCAATGCAAATAACTGGCTCCAAAGAGTTTATTCAAGAAAATCGATAAAATCTAGGATTTCTATATAACTAAATTTCGATCAAATTGCGTTAAGACTTAGCCAATCTGTTCTGTTCTTTTGTTCCTTGAGATCTTTCGGGTATTTAGATTTTCTTGTGATTGGCGCGTCAGTGAAAACTTGATAGACTTGTGCTCGAATTTTTGAAGGCCATCGACCGACTCGTTTCACATTTTTATGCGAGGAATGCCACGAGAAAAGTCGTGTTGGATGGTCCATTCTCCAATTTGTGCCGTATTCAGCCTGAAAATTGGGATTCAAGCTTCGATAGGCTTTAGCTTTCATCGACGGCATCGAGGGGAATCGAGAGAAGGCAGACAAACTAGCTTTTCTTTCCTTCCTTCCTTTCCCTCCTTCCCTTCCTTCCCCCTTCCTTCCCTTCCTTTCCCTCCTTCCCTTCCTTCCTTTCCTTCCTTTCCTTTTGATTTCCATTCCTTATCCATCATAAAACCGACTTTAAACCGTTAATTCAAGTTTCTATTCAAAATTGCTGTTTCAATTTCTCGAACTTCTAGCCCTATCCATTTTTCTGTTCGCCGTATTGATCAAAATTCGTAAAAGATCAAAGTTAGACTGTTAATCTTGAGAGTAAAAAAAATTTGGAAAAATACATTTACAAGAGAAAGTTACTAGTTCAGCAATCTTACTTGGATGCCCAAAGATATTTAATTGACAGCTAAAACTTGTTAGTTATTAGTTGTGTGTAAAGTGTTAGTATACATTATTAGAGAAAACGTTGATTTACTCACCTCAAGCAACTTCTCCACCTCACAAGGGATTAAAAAAGCGTGATCGAGCAGATCGGCTGAACAGAAATCGGTGATTCTGTAAAGAGAGATAGTTGAATTGGGAATTATAAACAATTTTCAATACAATTAGAAACCCAGATTTCTAAGCTAAACTAAACGGTGAATAAAGATTTTGGCAAGCTGAAGATACTAAACTCGGTGAAAGACCAGTAAATTAGTCTGGCTCTGGGGTTAGATGCTGTAGATGGACGAGAACACAAAATGTAGCTCATTCTGAGACACTCTGAGACACTCTGAGACACTCTGAGACACTCTGAGACACTCTGAGACACTCTGAGACACTCTGAGACACTCTGAGACAAGCTCCTGGCTTGACTTGACAAAAGAGCCGTCTTGAACCCAAAAATTCGTTTGGAACTTCCTGTACAACTTCCTGTACTTCCTGTACTTCCTCTACTCCCTGTGCTTCCTGTACTTCCTGTATAACTTCCTGTCCAATGTTTAGTGGATTTTCTTCACAGTTTTGGAATTTCAAACCTTGGATAAGTATATTTGTGAAAATGAAACCTTGGATAAGTATATTTGAACTTGTTAAGCGTCATGCGATCAGTGCCAGCCACCCACGAGCTCTCTCCATCATCGTACATCAAAAAGAGATCAATCGACGTCCCATATTCTTTCGTTTTCACATTCAACTCCATTGAGTCGTTTTTCTGAAAGTTTTCACTCGATCGTTGGCCATTCTGGATGTCACAAACCAATCCAATCTTCTTTTTGAGCCTTAAATAAGGCGGATTTGTCTTGAGAAATTGTAGAAAATCGTCTTTAAACTCGTCAACTTTGACAGCAAAATCGATATCCAAAGTATGGGAAATGATCGAGCACTCGCGATACCAACCTAAAAAAAGAATTTAGGCTTATAAAAGAGAAAAAAAAGGCACCAAAAAAAACCCTCATTTTATACAATTATTTGATAGCTTGATAGAGCTTGATAGAGCTTGATTTTATACAATTATTTGATAGCATTTTATACAATTATTTGATAGCATTTTATACAATTATTTGATAGCATTTTGATACTTGGCCAAATTTTGATTAAAATCGATGAAACATTAGACTCAATCAATGCCAAAAAAAATCAAACTTTCACTCACCCAACAACGTTCCACCATTCAAAAAACCCCAAATCCCGAATTGATATAAAGAATCGCGAAATCTTGCGATGTCTACGATGCTGCCAAGTGGAATGTAGCGGCGTTGATCGCGCGCTTCTCGACTGAAGCCTAAAATTTCAATTTTTGAACTAGAAACTGCTTATTTGATTTTAAATTCCTTTCATCTGGAAGGCACACAACATTTTCCATGAATCAGATTTCTAATCTATTTAATTTTAAGCAGAAAGTCAAAAAATGAATCTTCTACCGTAGCCCTTCATCTTACAGAACTTTCAAAAGCTTCAAATTGGATATAAGCCAAGTAATTGGCTAAAAATTGGCTAAAAATTGGCTACATTACCGTAAGCCGAAACCTACTGTAATTTTTGCACTCGACTTTTCGACTTCGTTCCCATAAATGCAAAAAGCGCGGAATATCGGCCGGTAGAAAAACGTTGCCGAAAGAATAGAGGAGAAATCTGAAAAATCTCAAATTTCAGATAGCTTGATAGCTTGATAGCTTGACAGGCTTGATAGCTTGAAGGCTTGATAGCTTGACAGGCCTGACAGGCTTGATAGCTTGACAGGCCTGACAGGCTTGATAGCTTGACAGGCTTGATAGCTTGACAGGCTTGATAGCTTGACAGGCTTGCCAGGCTTGATAGCTTGACAGGCTTGACAGGCTTGATAGCTTGACAGGCCTGACAGGCTTGATAGCTTGACAGGCTTGACAGGCTTGATAGCTTGACAGGCTTGCCAGGCTTGACAGCCAGCTTACCAGGCTTGACAGCTTATCAGCAAATCTCAAATTTCTCTTTCAGATTCTCTAAATTGCCCTCCAGATAGGACCTGGGTAAAATGTGAGATCGATTTTCCTTTGCGGGATCGAAGAATTGCCAGTAGTCTTTTTTTGGATTATCACGGTAAAGCCAAATTTCAATATTTTCTTCGATTTTCCATGAAACTTAAAAGATTTTCGATTTTCGATTAAATTCAATAAAATTACCACCGAATTTCTCGAAATCTCGCTCATCAATCGCTAATTTCAGCTTTCCACTCAATTCTTGGTGACAATTTTTCGAGAGTTCAAGCAAAGCGTCGGGATCTGGAATCGTCGAGACGGTCAGAATGACTTTGAACACTTTAGAGTCGGTTCTTCTGCATCAATCAAATTTCCAAGCCACTCACCGATCAATATGGAGCGCACACTGATGTTCAAAGTTTGTAAAGTGGAAAAACATTCAGTCTGAAAAAAATTCGTTTTTAGAGAAATCACCAATTGCCTCAATTTACCGGTTTTGCTTCATTTTCTCGTCTTTCCGATCCATCAATTTGTATTCTCGTTTTCTGAATTGACAAATGCGTGAAGACAGCATTCAGGCGACAATCGAGAAACACCACCAATAAGCACACCGCCGCGAAGAGGAAACAAAAGAGCGCCAACTGATTAGGCATCCATCGAGCGTTCTAAAGCCGATTTTATTTCGATAGAATTCGAATTTTGATATTCTAAAGATGAAAAGGATGATTCTGGAAGTCACCGCAAAAATTGGGGCATAAATTTTCGTTAGGAAAAGAATTTGAAATTTTTTTGAAAAATTCAAGTGCTCAACTCTGACGAGCAGCTTTAGAACATGAAAATGCCTGAAACTTGAAGCGCTTTTACGCTAAAATTCTATAGATAAGAGCGCTTTTCGCTAAAGAATACTTTTTTCTGAAATTTTTTCAGAAAAAAAGGCAATGGATGGGAAACGAAGCCAATGCAAATTATACAAAAAAAGCGGAATCAGAAAATGAATGAGCTACCGTAGCATTTTTGGTCAGCGAAAGTTTTTTTTCCCATCTCTTCTGACACTATCATACAGGGTGCCCAATAATCGAAGCAGCTATAAATGTAGGAATGTGGCGGCTTGGGTTGCTCTAAGAAAACGTCGAATTTTCAGAGATCTACTCACTAGAGTGCGCTCCAGATCGATGCTAGAAAAAGTTTCCGATCAAGGGCACGTAAACAAACCGAGAAATCGAAGCAGCTATAAAGGTAGGAATGTGGCGGCTTGGGTGGTCATAAGAAAGGTCGGATTTTCAAAGATCTATTCACTAGAGTGCCCTCCAGATCGATGCTAGAGAAATGTTTCCGATCAAGAGCATGTAAACAAAGCGAGAAATCGAGGCAGCTATAAATATAAAGTGTGAAAAAGGATCTTATTGCAGGTCGATTTGCGTGCTTCTTGCTTGTTTCAAAAAAAAGGTGACGAAAAGAAAAGGTTTAATATCTTTTTTTTGGTTGAGGCGAGGAAGTTCTGATTCCAGATTCAAATTCTGCATCAGAAACATTCAAGGCAAACAATGAAGGGGTTCCGGTGAGGGGTTCTGGTGGGGTTTCGATTTAAGTCTTTTTAATAAAGATAAACTATAGTTTATCTTTATCTCAAAGTCTTCACACGAGGGTCAGTTACGATTAAAAAAATCCAAAAAATCTAAAAAATCTAAAAAATCAAAAATCCAGTTTTTTCGCTGTGCTAGCTGAGCTGAGCTAAACGAATTTTCATTTTTGTTTTTAACAGAAATGAGGCCATTCTCATTTCTTTCCTTTTAACAAAGACAGACAAGATTTTCTTTTAACAAAAACGAAAGCTATTATGAATAAGATTTTCTTTATAAACGATAAAAATTGAGGATTGATTTGTGGAAAAAAAATTGAATGAGAATAAATTGAACGAGAATAAATTGAACGAGAATTGGATGAGAGAAATTGGATTGGATTGGGGAAAAGATTGGATGAGAAAAAACTCGTCCAAAATCGCCGACCTCGATAATTAGTGCCAAATGGTTGATCGTTTTTTTTTGATTAAAAGCTTCTAGGAAAGTTTTGGGATGCGTTGTGCGGTCCAGGAAATCATTTAGCGAAAAGAATTTAGGAAAAGCTCTTATACATCACCCACATTTATGATGCATGCGATTGGCCACAGAATGCCTGAAGAATCAGCCAGAAGTCTAGCTTCTTTAGCCTGAATCAGTCAGAAGTCTAGCTTGTCTAGCCTGAATCAGTCAGAAGTCTAGCTTGTCTAGCCTGAATCAGTCAGAAGTCTAGCTTCTTTAGCCTGAATCAGTCAGAAGTCTAGCTTGTCTAGCCTGAATCAGTCAGAAGTCTAGCTTGTCTAGCCTGAATCAGTCAGAAGTCTAGCTTGTCTAGCCTGAATCAGTCAGAAGTCTAGCTTCTTTAGCCTGAATCAGTCAGAAGTCTAGCTTGTCTAGCCTGAATCAGTCAGAAGTCTAGCTTCTTTAGCCTGAATCAGTCAGAAGTCTAGCTTGTCTAGCCTGAATCAGTCAGAAGTCTAGCTTCTTTAGCCTGAATCAGTCAGAAGTCTAGCTTTTTAACAATGCTTGTCTTAGTTTACTAGTTATTTGACGGGAATTGAAAACCACTTTAATCACTTTACAAGTACTGAAAAGTGAAAAGAAAAAGAGAAAATTTGAGAAACTTCTCAAATTTCGAGTTATATAGGGTCAAAATTGGCTAAAATGCATAAACAATCGTCTTTTTTTGTTTACATTTTTGCAGCCCTCAAAGGGAATTGGCATTTCTCAGCCGATTGAATTAGTCAAAGAGAGAAAAAGGGATTTGCCGGGAGATGAGGAATATTGTTCTGATAGAATTCTGATAAAGTATAAGTCAAATTTTAAATAAATTTTAGTATACTCGTATTTTCTCTAATAGTAGTGAATAGAAATTTGGCTGGTCGATGCTTTCAGGTACACTAAACAATACTTACATTTTTAAGCTGTCTTTCAGATTGTCTCAGCTTTATGTCAACCACCAGGAGCTTGGATCCCATCTCTTTTGTCGAGACTCGTCGAAACAGCCGGACTCAAGACAGCTGGACTCAAGAAAGTGATTTTAGAGATTTTAGAAACGATGATACACAAGCCCACGTGACGGATTTGATTCTTTGCCTACATTCGAATGTTCAACATTTGTCACCGGTAAGGATAAATAAAGAATGGTGAACTGGATCCGATTCAGCCAATAGTGCATCCCGGCGAGCCGAGTTGGTGACTATTTGACGGCTTTCAAAGTTTTCACACAAGCTCTAATCTCTCACAAGATCTCATCGTCTCACAAGATCGTCAACTACATTTCCCCACCCCACGCTACGCTTATCAGAACCATCGATAGGTTCTGATAAGCGGTTTACGAGATTTTGTGCAATTTAGGCGGCGCTCTTGGTGCACTACTATTAGAGAAAATACGGGATTTTAAACGGACCAAGCCAAGCTCAGGTTCGACTCTTTAGCTCTTCAGCTCCTCAAATCAGCTGCTCTAAAGGGCCGAAATGAGTGTTAACTCAGCCTGAGCCTGAGCTCTTGGTGCACTACTATTAGAGAAAATACGACATTCTATTTCAATTCACAGTGAACACTTTCAATGATCATTTCAGGTTTCAATGCAGTCTCCATTCATCTGGTATTTCTGAACTCTGCCTGCACCCAGAGCAGCCCTCAGAGGAAATTGGGGAGGACTGATTGAATTAATCCAATGGACAAAAGAGATTTTTGAACGGGAAGAGGAAAAACCAAAAAAATCAAGTCAGCTACGAGAGACGACTATTGCCAGAATAGTTAAAATTGGATTTTTTGTCAAGAATTGTTTGATGTGCTGTCCAGATCGATGATTGAAAAGATTTCAGATTAAAAAGATGCAAATTACAGCGAGAAATCGAAGTGAGAAGAGTTGGAGGATTGGGGGCTGGGATTTTCTGGCAAAGGTCGGATTTTCAAAGATCTACTCACTAGAGTGCGCTCCAGATCGATGCTAGAAAAAGTTTCCGATCAAGAGCACGTAAACAAACCGAGAAATCGAGGCAGCTATAAAGGTAGGAATTTGGCGGCTTGAGTTGTTCTAAGAAAGGTCGTATTTTCAGAGATCTATTCACTAGAGTGCGTTCCAGATCGATGCTAGAAAGATGTTTCAGATCAAGAACGTGTAAACAAACCGAGAAATCGAAGCAGATATAAATATAGAAGGAGAATATTGTCATTGTGTCTCAATTACAGTGCGCACTTTCAATTTCAGATCATTTCACTGATCATTTCAGGTATTCCATTCAGCTGGTCTTTCTGAACACTGCCTATAGTTGATTAAACGATTTCTAAATTATTGATGATTTTGGCTTTTAGTGACCAGGAAGATTTTCTGAGTCATTTATTACATTTTAAAATGTGACAACTCATTTCCGAGCCAACTAACAAGGCTCCCAACGAGACAAAAAGCAATATACAGTTGTCGCAACCTAATACAGTGCATTCCAAAAGTCGAGATACGCCTATTTTCCTTTCAACAAAGCTCTGCCAAAAATGGAAATCAACTTAAAACTTCAAATATCAAAAGCAGGAGTTCAGGATGTGATTTAGCGGCAGAAGAGGATGAAAAAGCGAATGAAAATTGGACAAAAGCCATTGTAAAAATTGCGCTAAGGTGGATGGATCTTTGGTAGAATTTTTATGACTTGGTGACTTGGTGATTTGGTGAATGCTTAATTTTGACATAAACTTTGAAGTTAAATATCTCAAGATTTTAGAATCATCATCCCTAAACGAAATAAACCATCAGAATCAGCGCAAAAAACTGCACAAGATTTGCTAGATCACGACCCAAAATCGAGTTGTAAATCCAAAAAAAATCCCTATTAAAGTGGATGATCTTTGGAAGGCACTTGAACACGAATAGCCGAATTTGTCATTTGCTTTGCTTTCAAAAAAAACTAGCAGCTTCAATGCATGCGAAAATTTTTAAGCTTATTGAAAGCTTAAACTTTACCTTTCAAAAGACTCTTAGTTTTGTTTAGAATTATAGAAATTGTATAAATATAGATTTTCAAACCTTCTGCATCTGATTTAATCAAAAAATCCATTGCTTTTTTTCAGAAATCCCGACGGATCTACAAAACAATGAGGATATCTCGATGCAGAAGGATGTAGAAGGATGCAGAAGGATGCAGAAGGATGCAGAAGGATGTAGAAGGATGCAGAAGGATGTAGAAGGATGCAGAAGGATGTAGAAGGATGCAGAAGGATGTAGAAGGATGCAGAAGGATGTAGAAGGATGCAGAAGGATGTAGAAGGATGCAGAAGGATGCAGAAGCCTGAGCTGACCTTGAGCTGGTCTGAGCTGACCTTGAGCTGGTCTGAGCTGGCCTTGAGCTGGCCTGAGCTAGCCTTGAGCTGGCCTGAGCTGGTCTGAGCTGGCCTGAGTTAGCCTGAGCTGGCCTTGAGCTGGTCTCAGCTGGCCTGAGCTAGCCTGAGCTAGCCTTGAGCTAGCCTTGAGCTAGCCTTGAGCTAGCCTTGAGCTAGCCTTGAGCTGGCCTGAGCTAGCCTCTAACGGAATTTACAGGTCTTAAGCATTCTTGAGCATTCTGAAACATTCTTGAGTTTAATTAGTCAGCTCAACTCCGAGCTAAGCCTCCGTATTCCATTGCTAAAGCAGGAAATGTGAGGTTTCCAACTTTTCACAACCTGCATTTTTGTTTACCTTTTTGATTTAACATGTGTTCACTTGCTAAACTTTTCCATAGTTGTCGTTGGGGCACTCCAACGACAATGAAACGACAACGACTATGGAAAAGTTCTCAGCTCTCGCAGTCCTCCGCACGGACTGCTTGACTGCGAGAGCTGAGAGTTCGCGATTGTTTTCGAAAAATTGACAAAAGCTATTCGATTTTGATTGCGTTTTTTCTTCGATCTGGATATCACACTAGGATTTTTCGGATTTGAATTTTTGATTTTCAACAAAACAAAATAAATTTCTACTCGATGTGCAACTCTGAAAAGTTCAAAAACTCTAACAAACCGATTCCATAAAATACAATAAGCAAAGAAAGAAATGCCTTCGAGAATCCCCTCTCCAGTCTTGCCCAATCCCAATTGACGTCTTTTAGAGCTAAAGAAGTGAACATTAGTGTTTTTCCATCGTTCGCCCGAGTTTCCCTTTGAATAGATCGGCTGTTATTTCTGCTCTTTTGCCCCTTCTTCCCTGACATCCATTCACAAAAAGGCGGGGTAGTCACGAGGGTTTTTTTGAGCCTAAAAAGGAGCCCCAAAAACCGCCCAAAAACCGCCCAAAAACGAGGGGCTAAGGGATTCGGGCCCTTTTCCCGAAAATATATAGTGTTACGGATCGATTGGCGAGTGTCTGCCTCGAATCTGGAGCGCACGAGAGACATTGAGTGGCTTGCATCCGAGAAAAGATGTGAATGAAGAGAAAGCGCTGTGAGACCCACCCTGGAATCGTAGTTCCCTCTCCCCGGAGAAGACAAAATAGATGGCATCCAATTGATGCCATCATGCCCTTTTCTCGCCATGTCTCTTTTCCATCGACCGGCGCGGAGAAGAGGTGCAATTAGTGGGTGGCAGTCATGTAGCTCTCCCACTCTCCTCCCTACATTTATAGCTGCCTCGATTTCTCGGTTTGTTTACATGCTCTTCTTCGGAAACTTTTTCTAGCATCGATCTGGAGCGCATTCTAGTGAATAGATCTTTGAAAATTTGACCTTTTCTTAGAACAACTCAAGCCGCCAAATTCCTACCTTTATAGCTGCCTTGATTTCTCAGCTTGTTTACGTGCCCTTGATCGGAAACTTTTTCTAGCATTGATCTGGAGCGCATTCTAGTGAATAGATCTTTGAAAAGCCGACCTTTTCTTAGGGCCACCCAAGCCGTCAGATTCCTACATTTATAGCTGCCTTAATTTCTCGGCTTGTTTACATGCTCTTGATCGGAAACTTTTTCTAGCGTCGATCTGGAGCGCACTCTAGTGAATAGATATCTGAAAATATGGCCTTTCCCAGAAAACCCCAGCCCCCAATCCTCCAACTCTTCTCACTTCGATTTCTCGCTGTAGTTTGCATCTTTTTAATCTGAAATCTTTTCAATCACCGATCTGGATAACACATCAAACAATTCTTGACAAACAATCCAACTTTATCGATTCTGGCAATAGTCGTCTCTCGTAGCTGATTTGATTTTTTCAGTTTTTCAAATTTTCTTGCCAAATGCGTTCCAGAATAGAGCTCAGTTATGCTTTTTTTTCGTTAATTTTTGCTTTTTGTAGCCTCTGGGCGGGCGTGAATGCCAAAAAAGGCCAAAAAATCAAAAATTTCTTGAAACCAAAAATTTTCAAAAGTAATTCCCGTGATTTTTATTATTTTTGACATTTTCGCATGGCATCTCAAATTATAGGCTAAAAATTTGAATTTTTACACTTTTTCAGTTTCTTTTATGCTTTTTGGCGTTTATAATTGAGCCTTTGCACTTTGAAATCGTTTCATTTTTAAGAATTCTCTTTTCACGCTCAATTTTGCTGAATTTTTTCGAAAATCTTATATTTTGATGAATTAAATCGGCTAAGCTGGATGGCACAAAAGATTTTTAAACTAAAATTTTAGTGTTTTTTTGAGTTTTTGAAAATTTGACTTTAGCGAAGAGTTGGCGCTGCGGGATTGACGGAATGAAATTGAAATGAAATTCTCTTGTGTAAAAGCACGATCCTGGAGCGCACTGCAACTAATGCGCAACTCATCTTCCGGGAAATTGCATTTCTAGGGTCTTGGAGTGGGGGTGGGGAGTGTGGAGTGGTAGGATTATTCAACTCGACCCCAGCGCGTCTGTGTGCGAATTCTGACCTAAACGCGAACGACTTTCGTCAAATTGGATGCCAGCACACAAATGTGAATGCGAGAAATTCGTTTCTTTTCGGCTTTTTTCGCTTTTCAATTGACGCTTTTTTAATACTGAGTAAAATAGTTGTAAAAACTTTTAGAAAAGAGATATCTCAAAACCGTTTTTACCAATCGATCCGTCTTGAATTCAGCTTTAGGATGAGCTATAAAACGTCGAAATTCGACAAATTTAAGGTAATCTCCCAAAAAATCGGAAAGG